GGTTGTATATTAACATGTGTAGGGGATAAGTTTACTTGTGGTGATCTACCTGTCCCTATTATGATCCAACAGTGGATATTAATGTTTTGATATATTGTGTTGGTTTTGTTTTAGATGTTATTAGGATGTTATGTTGACTCATTATTGTAGCTAATATTGTGATATTTGGTGATTTCACTTACCAAGAAATCATCATCAGTCAAAGATCCAACTCTAAATAATCTTGCATGTGGAACTAAAGTTTTGCTGAATTATAGTATTGTATTTACCGCTAATGCATTGTGTTTGATTTTGTTATTGTGCGATTAGATAGGAGGGCCTAGCAAGCATCTATCTATTATATACTAAAAGTCCATGAAACTTCCTAAAAACACTCTCAAACCGCCATGTGGCTTCCTCAAAACGCTCCTAAATCGTCACGTGGCATTATAATAGATAGAGAAAATTCCAACCATTGATTTTCACTTAAAATAGGTGGACCCATTATTTTGAGCCATTAGATTTAAGCTAATCCGTATCCTCTCATCTCCGATTGCCGCGTACCTCCTCCTCCCCGCACGCAAGTCGTAGATAGCTAGGTACACATCTACTCCTCTCCATCTCCCCTTTTTTCTCCAAGGTTGTTAAGATACAAAGCATAATTTGTTACAATAAGTTAGATAGAGATATGGAGCCGGCTGTGCAGGAGCTCGCTGTGCACCATGCATGCTACCTAAATTATAGGAGTGATCACAGTGATACACTTGAACTACACATTCAGTTTATTATACACTTGAACTACTGTTTTTTAATCAAATCAACGGTTTAAGACTCATATTAGTTAGCTATGTTTTGGTGATAAAGAATTATTACATGTTGGGATTTTTCAATTTATCACATGCACGTATCATTTTCATGAGTCCTCCCCAAAATTGAAGGAAACCCTAAAAATTTCCTTCAATTATCAAGTCTAATTTTTTATTCAAATCGGTGGATCAATTATGATACAATAAGGCAATAGTAACTAATTAACTACATACGTACTCTCTCCTCCTCCTCTCCTCTCTCATTCAATTCTTCATTCTTCTAATTTTTAACTAATTAGCAACTTAATATAAAAACAAAAAATAATTAGAAAGCTAAATGATTATAATTCTTAAGTTATATCTGGTTTTTAAGTTCAACAATATAAAAGTAAAATATATTACTTCACAAATATAAATATATTTAGTAAAATTAAGATCTATATATGATAAATATCCAATCAATGTTCTTTGAAACATCTTCTAAATAATTCAATATCCATATTACCCATATTTCACTATAAATAATACGTCATTTGTAGATACCTATGCGTGTCAACCAAATAAAAAATCAAACAAACTATATCACCTTAAATCATCGTACATTCTCAATAGAGAATTTACATGTCACGTGTTACGTCTTAAATTTAAAAATAAAATCTTAGAAATTATAGAAAAACACATTTGACCACCGATTATGAATTAAAAATATATATATCTATTATTTTAAATTATTAGATATATTTTTTAAAAAAAATCTTAAGCCGCTAGGTGTTACATTTTAATAATTAAAAAAATATTATTCAAAATTTTAGGAACAAAACAATAAATCATCGGTTTTCATCTAATTCATTTATAAAATTTAGGAAATAAACCCCGCCCCCGCCCCCACCCCCCAAACTTCACCCCCTCCTCACATATGCACAAACACAACACTACCCGTCCCCTCCCCCCTCGGCTCGCACTTTCCCCTACCCTCCTTGATATTTTTATAACCAATAAAAAGAGAAATAATAAATAATATTAAAACATACATATCTTTTGAGCCACACATCTGATTCTAATCTAAATTGCTATATTTATAATTAAACCAACAATTTAAAGATCCATAACGCCTATATTTTAAACTTAAAATAAGAGTAGTATAAAATAAAACAAGATATAGAAAATATCAATAGGAACATTGGTTCCTACTTTTCACTAAAATTAGAACAATTATACATGTTCCTATTTTTTAAGTGCTTAGATATTATTGGCTTTCATGACATTATGAGTTCCTTTGCACATTATTGTATATATAAGCCACACAATGTTTACGGTTTATAGTTGGTTGAGAAGTTACTTTTGTAATTATTAAAATGTTCAGACTCATATTGACTAGGTATTTTCCTTTTTTTTTTTTAAAAAAAGAAAGATACTATAATCACACATATATTAGGGAAGGGATATCTACGATATATATTTAGAAATTTATATATAAATATATAACAAATTGTGTCAATAAAATATATTCATTAAAAATAAAATATATTCATTAACAATAATAGTTATTTAGGATTTGCTAAAAAAAAGAAAGCCCCTAAACATTTTATTAAACAAGACAAAACATCACATGTTTCCAAAAACAAATTAAATCTAACTCCTTTCTTGATAATAAAGAGATCATAGATAATTGTTTATAGGAATTATATATTCGACAGAATATATTAAATATTATGTATTTTAAAAGCTAACAAATAGATTGGAAAAATTATCTAAGCAACACTGATGAGATAAGTTATGGATAAACAATACTTATGAAATGACAAGTGTCATCTGGCTGATATTTTGTCATTTTATATATATTTTTTCAAATATAATTTATAGTACACGCCCGCGCGATGCGCGGGTTACCTTCCTAGTTAGAGTTAAAAATGGATCCGTCAATGCTAACCAGTAAGGCAGTAACAACTCAAGTCCATCCACGGTCCTCCTTTATTGATGGGCACCCTTAATTATTTCTTTATTGATGAAATGAACAATTCAGTGTGCGATCAGTGAAGCAAAAATGTACGATCAACAGCGTAAAAAAATGTACGAACGACGAAGCAAAAAGATTGATACTATGTACTCCTGAAGCAGAAAAGCCTGAAGGATGGACAAACCCTAGTAAATTATACGTATTTTTTTGAGATATAAATTATAAGTATTACAAAGGGGAGGACGGAAGCAAAGGGGAGGGCGGCAGCAATGGCAGCAATGCGTATTTTTGTGGTGGTTGCAGTGACAGCAAGGGGGTGTGGAAGGGCAGGCTAACTCCGCATCTAGTTCAAGTTTGAAGCAGGGAAGAAAATAAAGATTAGAGCTAATCTTCTAGTTTTTCTTTACGGTTGTTCTTTTTTATATTTCTCAATTATGAGTTTTATAGTGTATGCACTCATATAAACCTTTGGCTGTGTATATCCACTTTGGATATAGAGGCTGGATTTTATCCATTATCTAAAAAAAAGGGGGGGGGGGAGAGGGTAAGGCCATCCCTGCGCAGGGCTTTGGCTCGTAGCACAGGCATGGCGTCTCTACGAGGTACGCACCTCCCCGCACTTCTCAGCTCCTTTTGGCCAAGCCATGGTCAGTGGCCAGCGACGCAGCGTCGGTGCCCGCAGCAGGCATTGTCATTCTTATTTTGCCGGCGCCGCTCTCTTCCCGTGATGGGGCCTATTCTGCATCCACCACCTGCTCCCAGTAGTAGATGTGTTTGTTTCTTGTCGAGTGTAGGATCGATGTTTTTGGTTGATCCTTCATGAATCATTTGAATGAACTTTGGGTCTCTTTGAATCGTAGGATGAAAAAAAAAGAGTAATAGGAAAAAATGTAGGATTCTAATAAGAATGCAAGTATAAAACAGAGGATTGCAAAACGCAGGAAAAACACAGGTTTGACCATTTGATTGAACAACAGGAAAAACACAGGAATCGGATAAGAGAGATAGACTCAAAGAAAAGTTTCCAAGAGGTTGGAGCTTTTGCTAAATTTTCTCCAAAATTTATATAGGATTATCCATTTCAAAAAAATTTCAAAGGATATGATATGATTCGATCCTTTATTTCAAAGGACTTTATAGGAAATTTTTCTATAAGACCGAAGTCCTCTAAAATTTCTATGTTTTTCCTCCAAATCAAAAGGGCCTTAATCTTTGTACGTTGAGGCTATAATTTTCAGCGTTTGATAAATATTGAGAGCAGTTTAGTTTAAAGAAATTTACGATTCAGACCGTAGCAGAAAAAAGTGTGTATTGCATAGTAGAAAAGAAAGATTTCAGTCAAACAGAAAGTTTAATTAAAACTCCCTGAAGTTTCCTTTCATTCATACATCCAAACAGCCAAAATTGTAACACATTCCTGAATCCAAAATGTAGCAGTGTGTATAGAGAAGTGGCTGCAATTATCTCCGTTCTCAATTGACTCTAATCTCGAACCAATGCAATCACCGACGAGTCAATTGTTGAGGATCGATGTCGGCTAATGACAACACGAAGGGATGCTCCGGCTGAAGTGGTATTTGAAAAACATGGCAAGGGGATTCACAATCGCAGCGAAGTTGCGTATGCGGGGAAACCAAACAACGACCTCCCATCCGAGCTGCTTGCGCACCGCTTCCGCATCTTCAGGTTCCCTCCGGCAAGAGGAGCAGGAGCCTCGGCCCCGTTAAAAACAGTGCGTCCATCAATTCTACTATTTTATCCTTTGCATTTTTAGTTTAGACAATTATATCCTTCTTAATGTCAGACAATTATATCCTTCTTAATGTCTATTACCGTTAATATAGATAGACCTGGTTCCTTGGATTAAAAAAAAATGAAGATCTGGATTACTTCTGCTGTAGAGAGCGCGGTAGGGAAGCTCTTAAACATTCTTTTTAAAAAATAAATAATATGTTGCGCAAGCTTCCTTTATAGTTCTTCTAAATATACTCTTACCGTTCTAAAATATACTAGCTACCTAATATTCGATTGGACGTATCCTATCCTAGTGCTGGTACTAGTGGCTATATTTTGAGAAGTAGGAATTACGAAATAACTCTTTTGTCCCAACGTACTAAGACGTCTTCCAGGATTCATTTACACAATGCTTATCAGCAGGTTGGGGTCTTTGCGGTTCTCATATAATTAACATATATGAAAGAGAATTAATGTAGAAAATAAACACTTTGCAGGTATATATGGAACTATGGATTCAACTATAAATTAAATCTCAACCATATATATGATCAATAACAGTAACAGTCAAGACTAGATGCGTATCAAACCTGTGTTATTATATAACATCTTTATATCGGTACAGATGCATATATTTCAGGCGCATCTATTGCATTCTTCAAATTAACAAGAAAAGTGGAAAGGAAAATGACGAACAACAATATACGTACAGTATCTGCGATGTCTGTTGTGCTATGAAAAATACTGAATATTACATCGCAGATCGATACATGCATTTCGTAGCATAACAGACATGCACATAGTAGTAGTAAGCAGTATGAGGAATTAATGATGTGCCCACACGCATCCACGAAGTTTGATGGTATAGTTCAGCCGTTCCGGATCATCACTACTCCCAGCGTTGGAGCAGTTACAGCGACGACGAACAATGGAGACAGCTGCAGGTACTCTAGCCAGCTACGAGGGTATGCAAATGCAACCCAGAAAAGGAAAACAGTATAACACGCCCCCAGGATAATGGTGGCTCTCTGCAAAACAAGAGGAAACATGAATTTAACATGGTAATTTGTAGAAACAGGAATTGCGATGGTTCACTGTGCAGGTGTAATTAAATTGATATACTACAAATTGAGCATGGATAGATGAAATGGAAAAGAGGGGTTAGAAACATATAAGTGTATATATATATATATATATATATATATATATATATATATATATATATATATATATATATACATATATATATATATACATATATATATATATACATATATATATATATACATATATATATATATATATGGTATTTCGTGATATATCTCTTGGTAAGCAAATCCCTACACTTGGTCGCTATAAGCCTAGACTAGAAGAGAGATATCTAGTTGTGGGCTAAACAAAATTAGGAGTAGCAAATTGGAAGAAAGAAAAGGTAAGGGGGGGGGGGGGGGGGAGAGAATTCGAAAGAGAGAGGGAGAGAGGCCAGATATGTGTGATCGATGTTACCATGCAGAGGAGGAAGAAAGCCTGGCTGAGGCTGCAGGGTGCCCCTTCCGCCGGCGACGGGGACGACGACGGCCACGCGAATACACTCTTGAGGGTCGGGAGCATGCCTAAAACCATGCTCAGCTACGAGGACAACAACAACGGCTTGCTCAGCGACGAGGACACCATCTGCATTTCGCCAGCGCCTAGGGAGCAATAGAGGAAGAGAGAAAATGAATGTTCAGACACTTGTGATGGTTGGCGATCGACTCTGCTGCTTGCTTGTGCTATAGGGATTGCTATCGGTTGGTAAAAAATGTGTTGATGGGACCGATTCCTCCCAATTCAAAGAAATTAAGGGCTCCTTTGGATGCAGGGGAGGAAACCCCAGGAAAAAGTCCCGTAAACAACAAAACATGTCTCTAGAAATATTATAGAAATTTCAGGAAAAATAGAAAGAATATAGAAAATCCATATAAATAGGAAACAACCTACAAAAATTCCAGAAAAAAAAAACATAAAAAATCAACAAGTATTAGAAATTCAGAAAAATACAAAGAAATATAGGTGAGTTTATGTGGAAACCAACTTCGTGACATGACATAAGTTAAACTTTAGAATCATCCATATCATACAAAATTTAAAATCTTTGGAATCATCCTTGCATCCACAAATATACTGTACATCATATTTATATCCACAAATGTCTGGATCAAGAATGAGACATGGGTCCATTTAAATCTTTATCTCTTCTATCTTCTTCGTCATCTCTTCAACAAATCTTCATATATTCTAATAAATCTGCCATGATGAAAAAGATAATCTAAAATTTAAGTAATAAATATAAAATAGTGATACTTCAGCAATCAAATTTGAAGGACGGCCATTGATACTAGCTTAGGAAAAAAAATGCATGCACATCAACCAACATATTGCAATTGCCAGCTACATCAGCGTAAACAAACTCTTTGTATAAGCACTTTCTTTTTAGATCAAACACCCTACATGCAGATACACACCATTATTTTTAAATCAAACACATTTGAAGTCCATGTTTTTGTATTGATAGTTTTCCAACAATACTCTATTTCAAGTCCATATTTGAAAGTAAGTTGAGCATGCAATTCAAATTGAATCCTGGCAAGAGGAAGAATGCAAGAGCACAATTATGAATTATCATTATGGACATGATAAGGAAAAAAAGTAGTAGTTGTTGTTGTTTTAATTAATCAGTACTACTAAGTCACTTTGTTTGGCCAGTGTATTGTGCAGTGAGTGAGAGAGAGGAGATTGAAACATCTGTGTGTGCGTGTCTTGTATATAGGTTGCTGCCAAAGCTTGTGTTTTTTGAATGTACAATGCCACCTTGCTCATTTTCTGCTGGTGATACATGACATGAAACTAAAGTTTGGACTAATGTATAAGTATAGAGCATAAAAGACTTCATTTTGTAGTAAGTATGAGTTCCTATCAAAAATATGATTGTTACCATTTATTTAGTCCCAACATGCATGCTAAATTAACCACTAATTCTACAGTTCCCTGACAGAGACTACAAGAATGGATCAGACTAAAAAATACCTCCAGAAAAAACAAAAAACTTGATGCTAGCAGCTCAACCAGTACTGAGATCTACCTCTAGGTTAACAGAGCTGACAGCATCCAACTAAAAGAACTGCATCTCTAATTAACTGCAAAAAACTGTTACTGGTTTGCAGACTAAAATTTCTCATATACCTCACTAGTTGAATGATCCTCACTGCATGTGTGATAATTCCTCATTTCTTGGGACTGGCACATTGATCTCATATATTTAGACTGCACTAAGCATGATAATTACACTGCAGAAAAAACCAGAGCACAACCTACTCCATCAAATTAGAACATCATCTTACCAAAACTCATTCATGATCTAAAACAAGAGCACCATACGCCCACCCATATCCCCTTCTGAATCGCTTCCATAACAAAATGAAATGCTACTGCAGGGTACAATACTACAATGTATTAGAAAGAACAGGAGAACAAATTACAACTCTCCCAAACCAAATCAAGAAACATGCCATACATACACCAAGAAAACTAAAGTACTGAACGAACCCCCAAGAATCAAGCAGCAGCTACAAGGGCACGCACAAACCTAGCCGGGCAACCGCCGGCGGGCGTCGCGCAGCGAGGAGGAGGAGGCGGATCTGCGCCTCAGCGCCTCCTCTGCCAGTGAGTCGCGCCGCCTTGGATCCCCCCTGTCCCCGCCTGCTTGGAGCCGTGTGCCCGCGCTGCCGGCTCGCCGCCTCGTCGTCGTTGCACCAACTGCCGCGGTGCCACCCGCCGCGCCCACGCGTTGGTGCCTGCGATGCAAGCGCTGAGACCGGAGAGCGAGATTGGGAGCTAACTAGAGGAGGCGGAAACCCTAGAGGAGGAGAACGGAAACCCAGGAGGAGGAGAGGAGGGGAATAAGGAGAAGAGCTTACCCTTCTCGCCGGAGGAGGAGTCTCGGCGGTGGCGCGTCTCGCCGGAGAAGGAGGCGTGGCGGCGCCCGCTGTTGTTCGCGCGAGAGAGAAGCGACTCCGGTTGCGCGAGCGAGAAGCAGCGGCGGATCGAGAGAGGAAAAATTCCCGACCTCCGGAGGTCAGGGACCTTTCCCTAGGGTTTCCCCGCGGATTGGGCCGGGAAATCCCTGCCTCGTGGGCTTCCAAATGGACATGGAATAAAACCCGTGACAATTTCCCCCGTGGGCTTTTCTCCCAGGGAATGGGCTGGGATCCCGGTGGGATCCCGGGCTGCCAAAGGAGCCTAAGAAGAGGTATGGGCAGTATTGTGATTACGAAATTCACTGAAACTTTATGAAACATGACAAAGGAGTCTAATCGGTAATACAGTAACACGGAGAGTACAAGAGAAGTTACATACGACTTGAGCCCTTATTTCCAGGTCTTTCGGTGCTGAAAGTGAATTGGGAGCCAAAAATTCTAACGACAAACCGCGTGCAGGAGGCTGCTAAGAAATTATTGCCTAGAATTATTTGGTTCCAATGTTGACAGATGCCACCAATGGCCAAATAAGTTAAAACATCTGTCGCTGCAATTCCGGAGATACTCTGATAGATAATGACCTAGCTTGACTATTCTGATAGATACTCCGAAAAAGTTGATGCATACTCGCGCTTAATTTACTGTTTGTTTTTGTCGATTTATGCAATGTAATATGCTAATAACGATAGCACGATCGACGACTAGATTTTTATCTAAGGTGCATGTACTGCTACCGGCATAATCTAAAATTAATGGACGCTCTTGATTGCTCGCAGAGGAGAAAAAAGAACTGCTTTTTTAATTAAAAGAATAGTATATTATATATTTTTACTGTGAATATATGATAGGACGACACGCTTAAATTTTTATCTAGGCCTGCCATCTATCGGTATGATCTAAAGCTCTGATTCCAAGAGGTATTTCTTCCGCGTGCTTTTAGCGGTTGCGTTGCGTTAGCCTTCCTGTGCTATTCATAGCCTAGCTACTCCGTTAGTTCGGGCAAGCAAAAGTTGAGTTCACTCTACTACTCCGAGACTCCTGAGTGTTTCTGCAAAAACTTGAGGAGAGGGGAGAGGGTGATATCCATGGAGATGGCCGACCCAGCTGAGAGAAGACGGACGATCCTGCGTCGTCGTCTCGTCGACGAGAAAACTCCATAGCGTTTCATCTCCGCTTGGCGATCATGTTGGTGATGATGCTGAGAAAGCTATTACTAAATACCTTCGTTTACCCTATGCCCGTAGGCATTTGGGATGAACAATGCCAGGTACGTCCACCGGCCAGATGATGTACAACGCATGCATTTCCTGACGTGGCTGACAACGTGAGTTACAACGTAAAATCCGGCTATGTCGATCATGAAACTGATGGATCACCTTAATTACTTTTGATGCATGCAGCTGGTTTATAAGACAATTATGGCGGTACTCCATGCGCTCAATCCGATACTACGGCCACGTACACTTGGTCACAACTCAGGAACGCGTCGTGATATCTTCGGCTCATCGCCAGGAGGAGGAGATGCCGGCCGGCACGTTTTGGTCGATATTCTGTCCCATATTTGTTTTAAATTATTTTATCGTTCAAGCTATATTCTACTCACTCCATCCCAAAAAAGAAACATATCCGGTGAAAACGAGCTAAGAGCTGAAACTCGTGAAAATCATACCTCAAAGTTTTATAAATTTATAAAAAAAATTACTAGAAATAGGTGTAGATATCAAATACATTCTCACCAAATCTTAAGTTTAAACTCAACTTTGTTTAGGACTTAAAAAAAAAGAAAGTTCAGGTAAATAGTAACATGATACTATTCAGCCAAAATTTGCCCCTTTTTTCTATTAAACGAAGTTGAGTTTGGAGTTAAGAATTGGTGAGAATATTTTTCATATCTACACCTATCTCTAGTAATTATTTAATGAATTTACAGAACTTTTAGGTATGATTTTCACGAGTTTCCAACCCTTAGCTCGTTTTCACTGGATATATCCTCCAAAAAAAAAGTCAACTTATACAAGGATGGGACACTTCCTACATGTTAAGATTCATTATACTATGAAGTGTCCCATTCTTATCTAGGTTGGTTTTTTTTGGGACGGGGAGAGTATGTTAAACATGTCTGTTTGATTATGTATAGAGTGATTTTATAATATTTGAGAAGGTATATATTGAGAGTATAAATTTTGATGGTATCTCTCAGGAAGTGTAAATTAAAATTCCCCTTAGAAATAAGTATAGTTTAACAAACTGATACCATGGTTGCCAGTTCAACGTAAAATTATGGTCATGTGATTGTTTGTGTATTTACAATATGATGAACTCGACCGTCTTACTTTTGCTGCAGTTCCGAAGCGAGGAATCTATGGCCGTCAGTTGTCAGCAGAACGAGATACGACTTGGCCACAGCTCATCAGGGGAACGAGTACTACACCCTTTCGCTAGAGGTGGTGCAGGTGGCGGCGCTCCTTTCGCTCATGGGGAGGAGCACATTGCCATCGATATTGATCTGCTACTGCAAGCCACTCCCAATATATTTTCTGCGCGAGAAGCTAGTCCAACTCCTGTAAGTTGTCCCTACGCTGACAGCCAATTATTAATACTATCATTAGCTAGTTCGTGAATTAGTTCTTCACGGGTTGCAACTTAACTACGATTTTTTTTTCTTTTTGCGAACTAGAACGTGCTAGTGCCTAAACTTATTGTTCCAATAACAATGCCTTTTATTAGGACTTCTATATAGGGATAATGCTTCTCAACCGACGCATCGGACGCCACCGTTTGACTGCATAAATCAGCCAGGCAAAGATGCTTTATGTGCATAGCCTCATGTACTAAGGCAGGGTTTAGTTCCCAAATTTTTTTTTTCAAAAACATCACATTAAATCTTTGGACACATGTATGTATGGAGCATTAAATCTCTACTATTATAAAAACTACCTGGGTGGCCCGCATAATTACGCGGCTAGTACCCATATAAAATTATCTATTTTTAATATGGTTTTACTTAAATTTTATTTAAATTTTATTAAATAGTTATCTTGTTGTCTTAATATTTTGAAAGACCAAAGCTTATCATCTACATATTTCTAATTTTATAGTTTTCAAAAATCATATTAGTTATCCTTACTTTTTTGTCACCCTTCCTTTTTTTTTTGCTTTCTCGATCTACCATTGCTTCTATTCATTCTCGTTGAATCCTTTAAAAATTAGACATTGTAGTTTTTAGATTTTATTGTCTCGTTGGGTTTTATTTTTATAATTTTTAGAAGTCCCATCAAACGATGCCACCATACTCCTCTAAGGCCCGTCCAGTGCCTCTTTTTTTTTACTGTCATTGGGATTTTAAAAGTCAAATATAATTATCTTTTGAGTTTATTTTTTACTTTCTAGAAGTCCTACCAAACCATCACTGGCTTTGCCACTATATTCCTGTACAGCCCTCTCCTTTTTTTCTTTCAAATTTTAAAAATCGAACATGATTATCATAGGGGTTTATTTTTTAGAAGTCCCGCTAACCGCCGTGATCGTGCATCTGAACGGTTTGTCTGTCGTCCCTCCTTTTAATCATTATTGGGATTCTATTTGGGTTATGTTAATAATTTTTAGATGTCACATCAATAGTTACCACTCTACTTTTTTACAGGAGTTTTACTTCTCCCCTCTTACTTGTCATTTGTTATCATTTGTTAATGTTTAAAAGTCCCGTCAAACGCTGCCACCATATTCTTCTTTGATTCGTCCACTGCCTGCTCTCTTTATTGTCAATGGGATTTTAAAAATCGAACATAATTATCGTTTGGGTTCATCTTTTACTTTCTAGAAGTCCTACCAAACTATCAGTGGCTTTGCCACTATACTTCTCAATGGCTTGCCCACTCCCTCCCTCTTTAATGTCTTTGAGATTTTAAGAATCTGAACTTGATTATCATTTTTTTTTACTTTTTAGAAGTCCCGCCAACTGTTGTGACAGTGTTGCTTAACGACATGTCCATCGTCCCTACTTTTAATTGTCATTGAGATTTTATTTTGGGTTTTGTTAAAATATTTTAGATGTCCAATCTACCACCACCACTTTACTCCTTTAAAGGCATGTTGCTTCTCCTCTCTTTATTGTTATTTGTCAGCGTTTGTATTCTAGATAAACTTCTTTTTTGTAAAGTCCATATTTTTCATTCCAATATTTTTTATTTATAAATTATATTCCTACTTGAACTCTTACAAGTATTTTTCTATTTTTTAGAATTTATTTTTAATTAATCTCGTCATATGATCTAGGTGATCTCTTCGTTCAGTAGTTTGAACATTTTTATTACAAATTTTAGTCATTTATAAATTGTATTCCTAGTTGAGATCTTAATTTTATTTTTCTAATTTCGGAATTTGATTTATTTTTATGTCGAATTTTAATTGATCTCGTATTGTGTTCTATATGGATTATTATTTTAATATTTTTTATTTTAGTTGTTCAAAATTGTATTCCTTCCTGAACTCTCTTTTTTATTTTTCTAATTTTGTATTTTTATTTTATTTTTTATTCTGAATTTTAAGTAATCTCGTATTGGGTTCTTATGTCGACTTGTCTTTCAATATTGCCTATTTTTAATTTCGAATTTCAGTTAATTTTAAATTGTATTCCTATTTCAACTCTTATTTTATTTTCTTCTTATTTCTAATTTTATTTCATTTTTTACTTTAAATTTTAATTAATCCCGTATTGGGTTTTCATATGGACTCTTCTTTTAATATCTAATATTGCTTACTTTTATAATTTTTATTCCTACTTGAATTATTATTTATTATTTTCTTCTAATTTATGATTTTATTTTATTTTTTGATTCCGTTTTTTTAATATCGCTTATTTTTAATTTCGAATTTTAGTTATTTTTAAATTGTATTTCTACTTGGACTATTTTTTTTCTTTGTTTAATGTGCGAATATTGGGAGAGAGAAAAGGCATGCATTGAGTTCAGTTGTGTTACGTTGCCTGGTCTCTGATCGATCCATGCAGATGGAGTTTTTTTTTTACTGTAGTGTCATTATCCTATTCATATTCTATTCTATCTCTTCCTTCCTAAATTTGTTAGTATTTTATTTCTACTTCTATAAATATAGCTAATATAGCTTGTATTTCGTATCCAACAATACCAATCAATCTATCTATACTATTAGGATCTAGACCCACCACGATCTAAAGGCCTAAATATTTTTCTTTTTCTCCAATTAATGTGAGAATTTCTAGCCTCTACAGCGAACGTGGTGACTTCTTTCAGGGCTGTCTTAATAATATAATAGATAGATAGATTGGAGATGTTTCCGCGGTCCGTCATCTGTGTTTGAGTCGGTTATAAAAATTAAAGATGTTTATACGCTTCGTCATCCGTGTTTGAGTTGGTTTTAATTTTATGCTTTGGTTTTAATATATATCTCTTCTCTACTATTATAAAAATTAAAGATGTTTTTACCGGTATTTTGGTACGTCATCCGTGTATGAGTTAGTTTTTAAGTTCGTTTGATTTTGGAAATACAAACTCGTATTTGAGTCGGTTTTTTTAAGATCGTTCACTTCTGGTAATACAGAAGGAATCATATAAGAAATATGTTTAAAAAAAACTTGCATCTTAACTTGAGACGATCGGACTCCTTACTGCAGCTCATGATTTTCTATATATATATATATATATATATATATATATATATATATATATATATATATATATATATATATATATATATATATATATATCCAAGTGAACTTCCACAGTGAATTTCATCTTAACTAAACCATATAACAATAATAAGATTAAAATAGACTTAACCTGATGCAACGCACGAATATTTTTTTCTATTTTTTCTAGTATAGATAAAAATAAAAACTAATTACATAGTTTGTATGGAAATCGTGAGACGAATTTTTTGAGCCTAATTAGTCCATGATTAGCCATAAGTGCTACAGTAACCCGCATGTGCTAATGACGGTTTAATTAGGCTCAAAAGATTCGTCTCGCGGTTATTTTTCATTCGTGTCCGAAAACCCCTTCCGACATCTGGTAAAACATCCGATATGACATCCAATTTTTTTTTTTCACAAACAACACACCCTAATGCATTATGCCCTTCCCTGTGCAACTGGTGCTATCTCCCCCTTACCCTTAGCCTTACTCTTGCATGCATATAAGGCTTAATTTATTAGTAAGCTTAAAATATTTCTTCTCTTGGATTACTTATCTGGTCTACCATCCAACCACATCATTGTATTCGTTGCAATTAAATCATTACAATAAGATATTGCATGATTATATTCTAATGAAAGGAAAACATATGTTTCAACAAGTATTTCAAGAAAAAATGTTTTAATGGCTAAATTTGTTTTCACCATGTAAAATTTAATGTTTGACTGGTGATCAATTAAAACATTTGACCGCTAATTTTTGGGAGGAAATCAGACATCCTATTGGTAGTAGCTTTGGTTGTAAGAAATAATCTGTACTTATTTTCTTATTCGATAGATCATATATATCTATTTATACCACCACCATAAATATTGGTAATGAAATTAAGTGAGTATAATTTATTATTTTTACTGGTAGTGAAATACATGAATCAATGACTAAGACTAGTTCTACCGATGAGACTACTATATAACCTGCACGCTGTGGGTCCATACCCACGCTAATACTAGCCTGTGTACATTGTTATCACCATAGTTATATTGTGATGCCCTTCTCTATCTAAAGGATTGTCTGGTAACAGATTCTGATACTAACTCCATCCCCTACCACTATTATATAACTTAAAGTTTAATTGTAACTACTAGGACTGTGTATATTTGACACTTATTCTAATATACGCCACATAGATCATAGAATCATCATGTTGATCCACCGATCCTTTAGACTTGAGTTGTCTTCTATTGCACCTCCACCAAGAAGCGATAGTTAGCCTCCTGACGAGGTTGTAGTAAGCTTACAGCCACTAAAAATAGTAAGCTTACCGCCACTAAAAATAATAGCTATCTCATAAACTACTACTTTAGTCTGAACTCCATATGCAATAGTGTACCCTCACACCTCGTAAAGCTCCGACTCCACCTTCACTCTAGCCATCATCAAAGTCATCTTGCCCTTCATAATTTCAATAGTATTCTTATTCCAACCAGCTTGAAATATTGACCCTTCTTCATGCAAGGTTTCAAACTAAATCACAATTCTTTTTTGCCCTGATGCATGCCTGGCTCCTTGAAGAACATATTCGCCTCCATCTTTCGTCTTGGTTTTCACTTCTCCTGCTCCCATGACTAGATACCCTGCGTCATGCCTAAGTAGACAAAACAAAACTCACTTGACTGATTGGCATGAAGAGAATCATTCCTTCCTAGGTATCACATAAAACGACCCAACCGAGTACAATATATAAAACGACCCAACCGAGTACAATATATGCGCTTCCGGCTTCCGCATCATTAAGCTATATGATTGATAATGTAAGAAGATCACCACTAGTATCTTTGAGTCACTTGAAGAACTCACCGCATTAACCCTAACTCTTATCCTTCAGTGTTGGACAATCTTGCTTTTATGTCCCCCAATCATCACATCTAAAGCAATGCACCATATTCCTTTTTTATTTTTCTTTACCTTATTATGCCCTGCATGCTTTTTTTTGACTGGCAAACCTTCTACCCGAGAAGTTTCATGTTCTTCGTTTCTTTCTCATCTGATCAGAAAACAGCAACATAGAAGTGATATCTTTAACTTGGATTATTTTCATACGTTATAGTAGTCACCACATGCTCATATGATTTAGGTTATTAACTTTCACACCCATCTTTGCATTGTTCACATGTTCTGGCGGATCTGACTCTTCCTATATCTTTAGCCCTAACAAACTCATGCTTCAAATACATCTTATTAGTTAGTCTTGGACATAAATAAGTCACCAACTTTTTTTTTCTAAACTGTCTTTGGTGAGCTCTCCCTCGTCGACCTGAACTGAGACATAACCGTATATCATCATATGGATTGATATCCTCTAACTTACTTCCCCACATGTCAGTGACTCAAAATAAGAGGGAAGTAAGTTAGAGGATCCTCTTCCATCAACATATATAGCTGCCTGCAAGTACATCTCCCTGGCCTCAGTGGTCAAATCTATTGGGACTATCATATTCGACACTTATTCTAATTATACTACCTGCAGTAATTATGTGAATTAGAAGCTTGTAACTTGTAAGATTTTGCTAGGACAATATTTTGGATGTTGGCAATAAGCTCTTTAAACATAAATGCATTCATATCTTAGTTCATCACCATATAATTAAGGGAAAAGTCCATTTTACACCCTCGAACTCTTATGCTTGTCCAAAATACACCCCAAACTACAAAACTGAATATAATACACCCTCGAACTGTCAATACCGGACACTTAACCCCCTCCCCTGAGGGGCTGTTTTTACTGTGGTTTTTGACACGTCGGCTGCCACGTCAGCCCTCACCACGTCAACGCACAACATAATATGGGCCAAGCCCATATTCTGGCCCCCCCTCTCTCTCTCTCTTCCTGCCCTGTTCGTTCTTCCCTCCCTCGCGACTATTGGTGGCGGCGGCGTCGACCTTCCGCTAGCGACTGAGCGCAGAGCCTTCCGCCGGCGACCGTCCGTGCAACCCTTGCAGTGCCACTGCCCTCGCAGCAGTTCCCCACCGCCGCTGCCCTCGCAGCTCTATGCCGCCGCTGCAGTCACCGCTCTCGCAGCCCCACGCCACCGCCGCCCTCGCAGTTCCACACCACCGCCAACGGTTGTGAGGGAGAGAAGAACGAACATGGCAGGGAAAGAAAGAGAGAGAGGGGGAGAGAATATGGGCTTGGCCCATATTAAGTTATGCGCTGACATGGCGAGGGTTGATGTGGCAGCCGACGTGTCAAAAACCACGGTAAAAATAGCCAGCGGGGTTAAGTGTCCGGTATTGACAGTTCGAGGGTGTATTATATCTGGTTTTGTAGTTCGGGGGTGTATTTTGGACAAGCATAAGAGTTCGAGGGTGTACAATGGACTTTTCCCTATAATTAAATTGCTTAGTTTTTGCTATAAACAGCTCATTGCCATATTCATTAATTTCGTTAGTTTTACTATTAAGGGTACAGGGGCTTAGTTTTACTACAAGCAGTGAGATGCCGTATTAATGGGAATCACTTCAAGGGGGCTTCTCAGTGTCTGTACATGTTAATTACACCATATTAACATGTAAGGTGCAGCCAGCGCTGGCATCAGTCGGCTCTGTTACATATCTAGTGTTGTTAGAGCGAGTACAATAGAGTCAGTTGTAAGCACACATGTAAGAGAAAAGAGAAAAGAGAGAAGGAAAGTGGGCTACATAGTTGTAGCCAGCTGCAACACAGACTCCAATACATTGTGTGTACGAAAAGTGGGACCATATATTAATAATGTAGTATATACTTATAGGTAACTATTGTATGAATGAGTTATTATGCTTATAGGTAACTATTGTACGAATGAGTTATTAGATTGGCTGTAGATAAACTGAAGCTGTAGTTGGCTATACTATTAAACTTGCTCTTAAGGGCAGTAGATGGTTACGATTTTCCTTCTAGATTCTAGTAATGAAATAGCATGCCGCCATTAATTATAAACCAAACATGTTATTCTAGTCATGCAAAAACATTTAAGGGCAGTAGGTGGTTACGATTCTTCTTCTAGATTCTAGTAATGAAAAAGCGTGCCACCATTATAAACCAAACATGTTATTCTAGTCATGCAAAAACAGTCTCAAATCTATAATTTTGTAATAAATTAATCAAAATACATGTAATTTTGTGAAATTACTTTCATTATAAACCAAACACGTCTAACTTTATAGCGTGTTTGATTGAAAAAAATAATATGATGTGCTAAATAATGGATTTCGTTTCTGTTAATTTCATTTGTTGCAGGTGACTCCAGATGACCGGGTCGTTGTTGCACAAACTTTGCAGACAATATTAGCTAGTATTTTACCTTTATGTGCTGCATCGCGGCCTCTTTTTAAGGATGGTCCTGAGTACGCCAAGGTCGTGACGTTTGGTTTTCTGGGTACTATCGTTCTTGTCGCTTATGCTGGGGTGTTTGCCAAGGCGGCCAACAGCAAGGCCGCGTTGAGGCTGGTGGTTTCTGCAGCTATTGCTGCCATGACATTTGCCGTGGCCTCTCAGCTATCTGGAATAGGGTACATTGTTACCGCTTCACTTACTGGTGCCATCATGGCGGCCTTCATAATGCTGGCAGTATAATTCACGCCCGGCCCCCGCTGCTGTGAACGGTAAGAGAATTCATTTAGCGGCTAGTAGCAGTAGCTAAAGTTTTCACTGTTTCATTTACTCCCTATGGGGTGTATAGTCTCGTGCGTTCTATTCTATCCCAGTTTAATTATCACATAGTTCTTGAGTTCTTTCCAAAATAATCATCATCTAACAAGTACATATTTATTTATTTATTTATTTATGTAAAGAGAAAATGAGTATCATTGAACGCTACACGCAACCAACTAAAATTAATTCTTATAGGTACAATTACATGCAATATTTAAACCTTGATGCAATCCACGGGATACAAATCAACGTATTACCTTAACAGATGAGAATTAATTACAGAATAACGAAGGTTTAGTTGTCAATGGTCTCTACGCTATTTGTTTAGGTGATGATCAAAATATAGAATGGAGGGATTATCATATTAGAATTAGTACTCTAATTCCTGCACATATCTACCATTCATCCATACAGAGCATTTTAGAATTAATCTTAATTAGTTCACACATATCTAACCATTCAACAAAATATATCGTATAGTAGAGTTGCAGTTTTCTATATTGTTTAAGTTTAAGATTAAGATTTTACCTCAATTTCCGTTAGCATGATTTTCAAACTATTATACGGTGTGTTCCGTGTGAAAACTTTCTATATAGAAATTACTTTAAAATATCAAATATATCTATTTCTAGAGTTGAACAAACTATTTTATCCATTTATAGAATTATGTATGCTTTATAAAAGTACATAAGAACAGTATCTTTCATGAATGCTTGCTTCTGATTATTTTATCTTTTCAACGTCAGCAGATGGAGCGGGCGCCGGCCACCTGAGTTCCAGGAGAAAGAAGCAATGGAAACCAATTGTATTTGACTGGGTGATTATGTTGACAAGATTTTTGCTGTGTAGTCCTTTTCAAAATGTAAAAAATGTACGACGTCGTTCATTTTTTTTAAACGTTTGACCATTCATCTTATTCAAAAATTTTAGTATAAGTATATAAAAGTATAAGTTAAGATTATATTTTATTTAAAACAAATCAAAAAAAATAAATAGTATTTTTTTAAAAAAATAAATAAGATAAATAGTCAAACGTTATGAAAAAGTCAACGAAACCATACATTTTGAAATTGAGGAAACATCACAGTTACATACATTTTAAAATTGAGGAAGTATCACAGTTGACATACTAAACCTCAGCAATGTGTTGCTGTCCGATCGATCCGTGCCATAAGGGCATGCGAGAACATTTCGCAGACACTGGTTGCATTATCAAATAACTCGAATCATTGGTGTGCAGACTTTGACGTGTTCTGTTGCATCTTTTTGGGTTACTTGTCATTTGCTATGCACTCTTTGCTATAAGATGACACTTTACTCAGGTAGTGCACACATTGCTTAGGTGATCATACAATAATATGAGCTTCGTTTTGCGTGCCGGTTCAACCCCTCCTCCCGAACACAGCCTAAGTCGCCCTTCTTACCGTTTCTGTCGAAGTTGTCGTCGCCTTAGTCGCCAGAGCACCATACCACACCACCCCCAACCCTATTGGCCATCGTCTGTCCGTTACGATTTACACACCCGTTATTTTGGTTCAGTCGTGTGACAACACACTCCGTTGTGTACTATTCGAAGCAATGACAAATGAAGCACCAAGAGCAAGGTTAATAGGAGAGCCCGTTGTTGGTTCCAATTAGTAGCCATGTCATCTATATTAAATCTTATAGCCAATCTGTAGTGCAAAAGATGCATTGTAACACGAATATTTTATTAATTTTGTGGGGGCCGCCATCTTCCCCAATCTCTTCCTCTCATCTCTTCTCTCCCGGTTGTGGATGCAGGGAATGACGGTGTACCTGCGGCGGCTAGGGCGGAAGAGGACGACGGTTGTGGCAGAGGTGGAAAAGAGCAACGTCAGTGGCTACTGTGGACAATGGCCGCAGCGGCGGCAGATAGACGCAACGAGCGCGGAGGACGAGCTGCGGTGAAAGAACACGACGACGGTGGCAAAGACGGATGTAGGCGACCGAGGGCAGGGTGGAATACTGGAATAGAATTGCAACGGCGGCGGAAGAGGGCGACGGCAACGGCGCGATGGACGAGGGCAGCGGCGACGCCGGGCATAATGGACGAGGGTGGCGGATGCAGTTGACGGCAACATCGGTCATGGCGGACAAGAGCGACAGCAGGGGCGGACGTAGTCATCAGCGACAGTGATAGTGGCCACGGCGGACGTTGGCGACGGCGGCATACATGACGACTGCGACCTGGTTGAGCGCGACGGCGACGAAAACAGGCAAGAGCAGCTCGCGCGGTAGCGGTGTCTGTGGGCACGGTGGATGCAGACGGAAGCGGCGGCGCGAGCGAGAGTGGTGAGACAGGCACAGGAGATGGCAGCGGCCGCGGTGGACGAGGATGGCCGCCGCGGGCGTGGATGGCGAGACGGACGTGGGCCACTGCCGCGGAGGACGAGGACGGTGGCGAACATGAACGGGGACGGACGCAAACGAGGATGGAGCGATGGCAGCCGTGGCGGGATGACTGCAGGCGAAGACGGTGGCCGCGGAAGACAGCAATGGCGGCGGCCAGGGAGGACGAGGACGACAGCATCCACGACCGCGAGTGGGGTGCGGGACGGCGGCAGCCAAGGCCGCGGGCGAGGGTGCGGGCGACGGCGGCGGCCTCAGAAGACAGCGACGACGGCAGCCACGACCACGGGCAAGGGTACGAGCGGGGGTGGCAGCGGCGGCGGCCTCGAAAGATAGCGACGGCCGCAACCACGACCGTGGGAAAGGGTGTGGGACGGCGTCGGCCACGGAAGACCGTGAACACAAAAGGATGCGCTGAGCCACTGAGGCACGGGCGCCGCTAGCGCGTGCCATCGTTGTGGGCCCCACGCCTCGGGCCACGCATATAGCCAGGCAACTAATTAGTCGCCCGCCTGTTCTCTCTCTTCCCCTCTCTTCTAGCTCAACAAAAATCCTACGTGGATCTCTTACCATCCATTATTGTACTTGCTCTAATGTGATAATGAAAAATGATCATAATAAATCAACGGGAAACATAATATTTCGTATTGTGGTAACATAACTCTAATTTTAATTCAACAATAAACGTGTCTAAGTGAGCGTAGCTTAACTGATTAGGTTTCTTGTGGTGCAACCAGGTTCAAGTCCCAAATTTAACACGGATGCTCGTATTTACAAGTAATTTTTTTAGTGGTAGACGACATACCCGTCGACAACAAGATCCATTTTCACAATGCTTATTATCAGCAGGTTATGGTCTTTGCAGTTTGCACTGAACTATCTCAGACCCACCATGGATCATCCGAGCATCATTTGGTACATTACATGCTGTACAAGTCACAGCAAGAAAACCCTGTAAGTTCCATCTTGTCCCCCAGTGTTCTAGTGGAGTAATTTCCTGCCAACCTCAGTCTACTTCCCTACAAGCTAAAGTGTCACTGATCACGCTGTCCAAGAAACAACATGGAAAAAAACTCGTTGTTCTGTGTGTCTAATCTTTGTTCTTTCTCTCTAAACCAAGACAGGCCGCTCTTACAGGCCCTCAATCTCGAGTGCCTTGCGCACTATCCAAACCACCCTCTCTGCAACACAACAGTAATAAAGCCTAAGTGACAAAAAGGAAACAGCAGCAAACTAAAATAACATACTTCTGCGCTGTTTTGTTTTTGTTTATTTCAATTTAAATCATAAATTAAGCTACCACTTACAGTTATTAATGGTGTGTTTAAGCTATAGCTAGAGGAAAAACTCCAAATAATGAACAAAAGTGCCCCTAAAATAATCTTATAGGCATTGTTAATTTCATTCTAACAATTGCATTAATAGCAGTAAATCTAGCTACAGCTTAACTGATAGTGTAAGCCTCTATTAAAAACAAATTCGACAAGAAAACGAACTAACCTCTCTCCAAGCGTCGTGCATCCTGGATAGCCACTGCAGCATACACAGGTAGGATGACAGCTGCAAATAGAAGGGGCAGTAACGACAGGCTATCAAGCCAGGTCTTGGAATAGGCAGCCATAACATAGCCAATAAAAAGCGCAAGCAACCCTCCAGCGAAGACAATGGTACGCTGCAAAACAAGAGAAGCACACCAAAAAAGGAAGGGAATCATATATCCATGGGAAGTACAAAGATTACATTGCATTATCAGAATTAGTCATTAACTGACGACTCCTTCTCATTTCGATTTTCATACGGAGTCTATTAGACTCAAAACTCAATCACACAAATTATTTCATTATGTCAACTCAGAAAGGGTATCTTTTTTAAGCAGTCTTAGTTCCCAACTTAACCAAAGACAAAAGGTATCACATGTTACTAACTTACTATATCTAACAGTTTTGCATTTCGTTAACTATATCATGTATTTTGTATTTATATGATTTTGTTTATCACAAGTAAAAACTTGCCCATTTTTAAATGCAAACACAAGAATGAAACTCACCATGCAGAAGTAAAAAACCCAGTTCCTAGTGATCGCGACAACCGCCTCTGCCGCTGCGGTCGCCGGTGTAAAAAAAGCTGCTATCTCCATGGGGCTCCGCCTCCTCCTAACCCCTCCAGCTTCCATGCTGATAAGGTGTTTGGTTTAGAGCAGGGAAAGCATCAACAAGAAAAAACAACACTATCCACCAGCTAACAAGTGTTTACACATGCAAAAGCAAGGAATCATATAGCAAAGATAAAGGATAATGTCAGGGAGGTGAGGCATCGGACTTGTTCAGTCAAACAAAATGCTCATGGTCACTAGTGCTTAAATCTGGAAGTTCACACTCCTAAAGACAGTTTCGGTTGTGAAAAGTTTCCGTTTTTCTCATTGCATAATAGTAACCAGCCAAGCAATCAACTAGACAGTCATTACCACACAAATGAACCAGATTTGAAGTCAAATGTGTGGGGGAAATTTTAGGGCTTGGGAAAATAATACCTTCGGTCGTGGTTACCCGCCGTGCGCCGCCCTCTCAGACTCCTTCAGCCGCAGCCCTCCGCCGCGCCGCCGGCCGTCGGGTTTTGGGAGGAGTGGGGGAAGACACAGGGAGGGAGGGAGGGAGGGCGCCGCCTCCGCCTCCGCCTCCGACGTGCGCCGCCGACCCCGACGACGACGTGCGACTTCCCTCCCGCCGCCTCTCCTTCCTTTCTCCTGCTTCGAGGGGTAGGGCGGAATGGGGTAATGGGGTTGGGAGTTGGGACGGAAGGGGTAGGGCGGTGGCAATTTACCCGTAATTTGGACGAAACTTAATGGGTAGCGGTGTCATCATGTCATCCGGTTCAATTCACTCTAGTTCAATTTTTAGTTGGATTTTCCCAAACCGCCGGGGCGGGATCACCGCGCCCTGACGATAAGCACGAAACCCTGTAAAAATTATCAAAATTTTAAATTATATTTTAACTTTATTTGAATTTAAGGAGGTTACCGTGGTTTTTCTTTTACTATACCCCGTGGTAAGGGCGGTTACCGGCGGTTTTGCAAACCCTGGTTGGATCCTTTTGGGCGGAGGTGTCGTATTCTCTACCAGTGTCTTCTCCCTCCTAATCATGAGTTCACGACATCCGGCGGCAGGCAGATGAGGCTAAGATTTATAAAAAGAACATCTAGTTTGATCGTCGATTTTTGAGATTTTGGAAAGATGAGTGCTCTAGCTTCTGTTTTCTAGTTTATTTTCTGGATTCTAGAATTACAGTTTCTCATAATCTAAACGAAAAGTTTAACTGTTTGGAGGAGCTTCTGATTCTGCGGCTGCTAGAAACTCCCTAAACAAGGCTACACAATGTTGGTAACTACGACATAAGGTATTATTACTGACTTTAATTTTGTTAATTTATGTGGGAACTTCATTGAAAAAATTGAAACGGAACTATAGTAATAAAAATATAAACTAGAGAGATGGAACGTGGTCTATATCGCTCCACAGTTTCACTCAAGAGATGGCTCTTGTAGTTAGTTGTAGGAGTTAGAGTCTTATCAAACCAAACATGCCCTAATCGTGTGGTTGTGCTCTAGCTCTAATAAAAGGTGGATATAGGAGCTAGAGCTCTGAAAAAACCGTTAGTTTCCCACGACACCTTGTTGAGTTTATCTACTAACATATGCTAACACAGGATAGGGATCGTCGTGTAATAACTTGTCCTCCAGAACCGCACAACACGACGCATCCGACGAGCGGGTCCGCTTACACATATCACCCGAAAAGCGAGGTGATATGTGTAAGTTGGCCCGCCTGTTGGATAGGTGAGGCTACAAGATTAGAAATCTAAGTGGGCCTTTGTAGAAAAGTGGTTCCTTAATAAGAGAAGCTTACCAAAGTCATCGATGCAAATTTCTCTGCAACAACGAGCACCACATGTGGCTCACCACAAGGTCGTCAGTACTGCAAAGGAGCTCGTTGGACAAGACGAGCGCATAAGCTCATCACCATCGTCCTTGATTGCATAGTGCTCATGCCCCACGGAGAGAGCTGACATCGACAATGACGCGAGGCATCTAGTGGAATAAAAGCATATGAGAGAGAACAACGAGGAGGGTGGAGAAATATCCACTAAATACGTATGTCTTTTCAAAATTTGGCATCCAATCCACGTATCTTTCAAATTTTGCTATGGGGATGCGAATTACTAAGTTCCATATCACTCCGTTCGTTATCCATCATCGTAGTCCATCTCGTCTCACTATATGTCTGCCTATATAATACATATGAGTAAACACCATTGTCAGATGACTAGAATAGCATAAACTAAAAATTCGTATATCTGCTGACATGGATTAGATAGCAAATTCCGAAGGACATGCACATTTATACATATCCGGTGCCAAAACAGTGAAATTTCACGGGAAGAGCGTTCAATCCAACGGCTCAAATCAGCCACCAACTCCCCCTGAACCACCATCGCTAGTCGCTACAGTGAATTATTGTCTGTATTTCTTTCAGTAGTTGTATATTCCATTTTGGCAACGCCATCGCCACGTCGCCTCGCCACCCGAAGCATCGAACCCGAAACGCTCACCCCAAAATTCCCCATTCCCCAAGCCCTAACCCTAGCTTTGATCCGACCACCGCTTCCCCTCCCCTCCCATGGACGACGACGCCGGCGACGCCTCGCCGCCGCCGGCCGCCGCGGGGGTTGGCGCCACCGCCGCCCAGTCGCGGGACATGGCGGCGTCGCCGACCAGCTCCCGCTCCGTGACGGAGACGGTGAACGGCTCCCACCGCTTCGTGATCCAGGGCTACTCGCTCGCCAAGGGGATGGGCGTCGGGAAGCACATCGCCAGCGAGACCTTCTCCGTCGGCGGCTACCAGTGGGCGGTCTACTTCTACCCCGACGGGAAGAACCCCGAGGACAACTCCGCCTACGTCTCCGTCTTCATCGCCCTCGCCTCCGAGGGCACCGACGTCCGCGCCCTCTTCGAGCTCACGCTGCTCGACCAGAGCGGCAAGGGCAAGCACAAGGTCCACTCCCACTTCGACCGCTCCCTCGAGTCCGGCCCATACACCCTCAAGTACCGCGGCTCCATGTGGTAAGCAAATCTTCTGCCTCGATTTGGATTCGGTCGTGAGGTTGGTGAGTTGCGTTTTATCCATTCGAATGTCTAGTTTGGATCGGTTAGTGCTGAATTGCGGATCGATGTTGGTAGCCAATGTGCTATGTGTGATTCAGTTGTGATTGTCCTGCAATGGCGATTTGAGTATTGGCATTATAGTTTTCATGAGATTATTGAGGTTCATTCATGTGAATACCATCATATCATATATAATACTTGGCATTTGCAGCTTTACATTTTTAGCAGCTCAGAATACCAATATATGTTTCTACAATTATTTGAGTTGGGAGGTGTTAGTGCCCTTGCAATAGTTTGTTGTATGCCATACAGCTTATATAGTCACTTTTTTAGCGGAGTTGATGCAACCATCAGAACTGCATAATAGAATTTATAGCCCTTGTGTTTCAGAAGAAGGAATCTTAAACCTTGTCTTGAAACTGTCACCTTCTTATGCTTTATATTCATTGGTTAGGATAAGTTTCCTTCTTCTATTGGACTGGCCAGTAGCCACCCCTAAAAATATTTCATACTGCCAACATGCAATTTGTGATTTGGTTTTGCCGAATTCATGCAACCACTGTGTTGTTTGATTTACCTGGCTTTCATGCTTTGGGATTGCTTCATTGGAACATTATGCATTAGCTACTGTCAAGGGATTTTGGAATGGTTTTAAACTTTTAATGCAATCTGTTGTCAGCGATTTTTTTTGAACTGTTTTGTTAGTTTAGATGCGTACCAATAGCTTATTGTTGTTTCAGATTCGTACATTTGAATCTAACTGAAGTGACAGATACCATTTTACTGAAATACGGAAGGTGAGACTCCTATTCTGTACTGGTATGTTAGATATAAATGGCAAAGACTTCTATCTGACAATCGATATGCTTAATGAGTGTCCATTCTTGTGTTTTGAAATATACAGTTAACTATCTTATCAGTTTCTGATAATCAATTTTATTCTCCTTTCTTTCAGGGGTTACAAAAGGTTCTTTCGGCGAACCGCTCTTGAGACGTCGGACTTTTTGAAAGATGATTGCTTGAAGATAAATTGCACTGTGGGTGTTGTGGTGTCGACTATTGATTACTCCAGACCACACTCTATCCTGGTTCCAGACTCTGATATAGGCTATCATTTTGGTACGCTTTTGGACAATCATGAAGGGGTCGATGTTGTTCTTAGTGTGGGAGGAGAGAGATTTCATGCACATAAGTTGGTGTTGGCTGCACGATCTACTGTATTTAGATCAAAATTTTTCGATGATGAGGATGGGGAGAAGAATGAGCCTGGTGAGAATGATGATGTACAAGAGATTGTTATTGATGATATGGAACCAAAGGTTTTCAAGGTTTGTTCCAGCTTCTTATTTTGAATTTATTTTATCCTTGTAGCTTTAGAAGTTCAGAATAAGCACTTACTAATGCGAATTTCTTTGCAGGCAATGCTTCATTTTATCTACAGAGATACACTTGTTGATGATAACGAGTTGGGTGGGTCAAGCTCTGAGGGCTCTATCTTCGATACATTGGCAGCGAAGTTGTTGGCTGCAGCAGACAAGTATGACTTAGCAAGGCTAAGATTGCTATGTGAATCTTACTTGTGCAAAGCCATTTCTGTGGCTACAGTTGCAAGTACTCTAGCATTGGCTGATCGACACCATGCTATGGAGCTTAAAGCTGTTTGCCTAAAGTTTGCTGCAGAAAACCTTTCAGGTGTGTACCTTACATTCACATCAATTCTGGTTTGCATTCATTGCGTCCTATGGGCCCAATTTTGGCCCTATTTTATGTCAATCAAAATGCTTCAGCATGGAGCTGTGAATCTGCAAAATATCTTGATTTGGTTCAATAAATAAATTTTAGCCCTGTGTGCCCAGTGTGTTCATTTGTTTGGTCATGTTGCCATGGGAAAAGTTCCTTGTACTCATCATTAAAACTTAACAATTGTTCGTTGTAGACGCATCCATGCTTTCAGTATCTGAACCAATAACAAATTCTTTAGACCAGCACAGTTTCATGTTGTCAGGTTTGATTTTTTTTCTTCGGCAGCTTACAGCATGTTAAAAATGTGCACTGGCTGCAAATTTCTTTTAAAGCTCTCAAAAATTAAATGGGAAGTAGCATGTGCATACTTCTGGTATCTTGTTGCATTTGTTCTATTGGTGATACAGAACAGAATACCTGAAACGTGTTAAGGAAGAAGCGATTATAAAACTATTTATGTTCTTAAACTGGACTGGTACAGCTTGCTAGATAAATAGTGGTTAAGTTTGCAAGTGGAGAATAATATTATGAGATGAGCGGCATTTACTTTTTGGTCAGAATTTTAGCTCTGTTAAAATTCCATTAACATATACAATTTAATTATTTCAGTAATTTCATATTTTAACCATTGTGCCTGGAAAATTATTGCTTCCACGTGTCATCGATTGAAATCTTTACCTTTTGGTTGCTTTCTGGATGCAATTATGTTTATACGGTTTCATAACATTCCAGATACCCTTATGTCTCTGCAGCTGTAATCCGGACCGAAGGATTCGATTACCTCAAGGACAACTGCCCATCACTTCAATCCGAGATACTGAGAACTCTCGCCGGCTGCGAAGAGGAGTGCAGCAGCGGCGGCAAGAGCCAGAGCGTGTGGGGTCAGCTCTCGGATGGTGGTGACACGAGTGGCCGTAGGGTTAGGCCAAGAACCTAAAAGACCCACCACATAACACTGACCTTGTTTAGCGAGCACCTGTGTAAATGGCGACATCAATATCATCTGTATGTGACAAAGATGAGATCTGATAGTTGACTTGGACTTCATCTCATCACGCTCTTTTTGCATCGTAATTGCTATGCTGTTTATAAGTTTAGCTGATTGTATTTGATCCTGTGACCCGTTGCTGCTGTGCGGACGCTTCCATAAACTCACTACAAAATGGTGATTTTTTGGGACTTGTTCGAATCAGCTTTCTTCTGCTAGTAACAGATTTGTTTTAGCTCTCTTTAGTTTCGACTTGGATTTATTTGATCGAATTGGATGGTTATGCTCAGAAGGTAAAAACTTGCAAAGGATTTTTGTTCTTAACCAAAGGGTCTTGGTTTAGAAATTTTGATATCTTAGCATACTCACGCCTGTGTGGCTGTGTGTGGTTTATGGACGCTTCCTGTTTGATTAGTTATGGACACTTACATTGGTTGGATGAGACAACCTCAATCCCCGTCCACACACAGGGATTTTATCAAAAAAAAAAAGAAATTATTGAATAAAAGTGTGAATTAGAGAAACTTCGATGTGACTTGAGAAAACCAAACATCCTGCAAAGCGGTTGCTTTCTCACGATCCAGCACTTGGATTGGCAGATCCCACGGCGACGACACCCATTCCGCCTCCTTCCGCGGATCTAACGCCCTTGCGTCTTCTCAGCTCCCCTTCTGTAGAGTTCACCCATTTGCCATCTTTATCCATGTCTTGCACAAGCTCATCGATCTTCCGGAATTGATAAGGCCATCTTGCGTTGTACAGAAATTGCCGAAGATCGAACCGGTTATCCTCGGGCGAATAGCTCTACAGAAATTGTCCAACGGCCCAGGTTACAGCAGTGAAGAAAAGATCAGATGTTCATACGCATATGCACTGAAAAAGGGAAAAATGCAGTACCTCCGCATGATAGGATGGTGTCAGGACAGTCATCTTATGCCGGTTTATCGCGTAGTACTTGAAGAAGTGCTTCACTTTGTCAGCCACTTCGGAGGGGGATAGTGTCCCACACCACCTGTGGCACAGGTTCTGCGGCAATATATGTTAGCATTGTAGTTTATGCGCCAAACTCTGCTGAAATTTTATGTTTTGCGTTGATCATAATAGAATCTGATGATTTAAAGATCCATTTCAAATTTACCCTGTTAGATCCTACATTTTTCAGATGTATATTTCATTAGCAAGGCAATGCTCTACACCAAAACAGCATTATAAACAAATACGACTGAACAAGTTTGAGTTAAAGCATGTCTAATGTATTTATTATTGCATAGGTTGATTTTTTATGATTATTTAAAGTACTACTACTATTGTTTTTAAGATAAGTAGCAGGCAGCAGCATTTTTTTCCAACCTTCTCTATCATCCATCGCTCATCCTACAAGTGAGGTGAACTGTAGCCAACCCTTTAACTTACTGTTTACTTCAGTCCATTTTATATTACAGTTGTTCTTCTATACTTAAATATAACAACAGCAGAATATGTAAAAAGCTCCAGAAAAAGAAATCCCATAAAAAGGAAAATCCTCAACAAAGCAGACTTACTCCTTATAGTAATTACTGAAAATGCCATCTCGTTTGGAACAGTAAAACTACCCTTTGGTCAAATATGCATATAATCAAAACAGCATGACTCGGTTAGAGAGATGCATGAGAACGCTAGAGCTCTAGGTGAGAGTTCAAGGGAAAAATAAACTAAAGAATACACAAAGATTAAAGTTTGCTGTGATAGGAAATATCCTCTTCTGATTAAGCTATCAAAAGCATATCAAATTCATAGAGACCAACCTGAAACATTGAAACAGGACCACAACGGAAAATTTTCCTTAACCTTCCATATATTGACAACTCCTCGTATGTCATTCCCATGTCCACCTCATCCAACTAATTAAGCACAAATAATGTCATATGAGAACAAGACTAAAACAAGATGAGCATTCTGATAAAAAATGATAAAATTCTGCAGTAGCCAACTAAGCTATTTCATGCAGAACTGAATTTAATGAATAATCTATAATTGGAATGATCAGTTGCAACAGATAAACATATGTAGTTCTGGTTTTTAGGCCATAATTGTTTCTAGCTTTAACATTAAATTCAAGCCTTTTGCTGTTTTGCAATATGTGATAGAGCTCATGATTAGACAAACCATGTTGTAATTTTGAACTGGAAATTAGAGATCAAATTTCCAGGATATGTAATTACCTGATTATAGTCCGCACGGATCGGCTCAAGCTCTGCAGTAGGTGGCGCCGCTTCAACCTCAGCAAGGGAAGAATAGTGAAGATGAACTGCTGCCCATCGCAGGAAAGCCCGGAGGTCCTGCTTACTTACACTTCCAATGGGATTTATATCTGCCGAGCTGCAGTCATACTTCATAGAAGAAAAATATAGTTATTTATCATTTCCAGTTAGTTCCAGATATGATGTACAAAATTTACGGATTCAGAATTAAGAATTCATTAAGGAAATGCTATATACGTGGTTCCTCTTATCTTTACTTACAAAAACCAGGCAAACTGGCCAAGGCATTACATCTAAAAGTTAGAACATCTGGGTTGCACTAGTATTTGAGCAACTTACTTTCGTCAAATAACCACGCAATCCTTCATCCACATTTGAACTTCCCAGAACAAGATAGAACCCGGATTTGTTATGAACCCATGGCATAAGTGACGCCATCATAAAGGCTAGTACCATCCTGATTCGAGCTTGAATATTTTGCAATCCCAGATTCTCAGTATTGGAACCCCCATCAACCTGAATTATTTTAGCATAAATAGTAGTCAACAAAATGTAATAAGAATGAAATGATAAGACATAAGGGAGTCACCGCTCATGCTAACTTCCATGTTTGCAATCTGATTTTCAGATGATGTCAGATAAACCATTGCAGTCACAATTGTTCGTTAGAACTTAAACCAAGACAATAATATTAAGTTTTGTCCTCGACAAGTGTATAAATAATAACATATTACAGTTTATCCAAAGAGCATTGTCAACAAGGTGTCAAGGTGTGACAGGCGTCAAGGTGATCAGTTAGCAAGCTTGTGTAGCAGATCACCTTTGCCTTGAGACCAGATTAAAACAAATAATAGAACCTGATGGTGCATCAACCAACTTTTGGGGTGGCAGATCACTACCAGATCGTGCTACATATCCAGGTCACCAGGCTCTGTAGCAAGACCTTTGGTAGTGAGCTCAGACCATCACTGCTGGATTTGACTACATGTGGCAGCCACTTTCACCAATACTGCTAACCATGGCCACAGTCCACTTAACTCCTTCAGCAATGGCTGGTACTCAGCTCCTACCACTAGCTCACTGCTGTATGGGTGCGGTGAGTTGGCCATGTGGACTTATTGGGCATCATGGGTTATGAGGACCCTTGCCATTCATTGGCAATTTAACTATCCGATAACCTCTTTTATGAGCTATACAGTAAAAAAGTACTTCGTATATATCATTGCAATAATGCCAACACATCAATGCTTTACTGATTAAGGATTGTCCTTTCATATTTCAAACTAAAACATCATACTTCATTGCCACGTTCCATGTTTAACTATTTACGCTATTTGCATTCCACTTTAGCCCACAATAAATTAAAGACAGTGGTCTAACTGAACTACACAGTAGAACAATGCATGCACTTTCTTGGTCTCAGTGTTTATGCAATTACTGGTAGATTTCTTCCAGACCAGTCTTCATTGCCCTGGATCATATTTTTACTACACATGGGAATATTTTGCATCTCATTGTTGTTGGATAAACGTGTCTTTATAGCCTTTGCAGAAAAAAAAACACTTCCAAAAGGATAAAAACAGCAAGTCCGCACATGTCAACTCAACTCCTAGAATGCAGTCATGCAATTTATGTAGGAAATTAGAGTAGCATATCACAAATACCTTGTACCGTGGGCGTTTCCCAGTCAATCTTTCAAACAAAGAAAGCAATGCAGATACTATACTATCAATTGGTACATCCAAGTGGAATGAACCGATCTCTTCAGCAAGCATTTTCGCTCGTGATCGAGTACCTTCAGAACTGTGACAAAAAAGTAGAACAGTATGCTAGATGAATAAAAAGTTACTGTTATAGCATATATAGATAAATTTACATACGAAATCGAGAAATAGTCCATGCATCATTGACATAGATTGATCATCAGCATGTGTAGCCAATTTCCTCTAGTCTAAGACCCTTTTGTCGTACTCGCTTATGAGAATTTGGATCATCTATGCAAACTTCAGAAACAATAATATGCAATACATGTCAGAAATGTTATTTTCAGTTATATTAGAAAAAATATAAATGATACAGGAAAATAGGGTTTGTTAGTGTCAATACTGGTTTTATCATATTATTTACTAGTATGTTCTTTCAAAGGTGTTTTGAGTTGCTTATTGCTAGAATCTAGCATTGTCTTATAATCTGGTACTCCCTCTGTCCCATAGTATAAGGGATTTTGGATGGATGTGACACATCTTGGTATAATGAATCTGGACATACCGTATGTCCAGATTCATTATACTAGGATGTGTCACATCCATCCAAAATCCCTTATATTATGGGACGGAGGGAGTATTATCATGCAAGATCACGAATTCATAAGTATCCAATGCAATCCAGTCCAGACTTGCCTAGTATTTGGTAAAAACCGTGCCTATTATTTGGTAAACTAGTGTGTGTATAGCTCCTTATTCGATATGGCAAATTGTTGGATTATATTATTCTGTTGACAAAAATGGCGGTTAGACAATAGTTGCTGAACTTTTATCGGGTCGTCAACCTAGAATATTCTGAATTCCATCAGAAGCTACAATGATCCATTATGGGCACACGTGAGCGCGCGCGCGCGCACACACACACACAGAGATTATTATTTGTGTGTATAATAAATCTATGAATAATGAGGCGATACAGTATGCTAACCATTATCAAGGCAATTAATTCACATGAAATATTATTTCATTTTCAATGCATATCAAACAACAAGAACATACATAAAATATATGATCTTAGAATAAAACCCACCTATTTTCAGTCCCCATGTAAACAGTGTAAAATAAACGTTTTGCGAGCTCTCTGCTATCTTTAGGGAACTCTCCATCCTTGTACTGGCCAATCCGCATAGCATCTGCCTTAACTTGCTCATCTCCATTCTCTATATCTGCATATTATGGGGACTGAATAGTCATCAATTTCGAAACAGGCACGTCAGTTATAAATTCTGATGTTACAGAAACAATTTCACAAAAAAGAAAAGCGTACAACCATAACTGATCAACTGGCAAAAATGATCTAATGGTAAATGGGCAACAGTACAGAAAGGATAAAGCTTCTTGTTACATGAATGGCCCACTCACACTTTGGCACTAAATTTACAGCATCACTTATCTCATCCATCCAGTAGTTCTCTGCCCCATTTTACTATTCTGTTCTTATTATGCTAGTCAACATGATTTGACTACGTTTTGAAGGCATTTCATCAAAATCTTTTGCTAAAAAGAAAGAGGAAGAAAGACAATTTGGACTGACCTTTTACGACAAGCTGGCACATGCAACCAACTATTGCTGCAACAGATGAACTATCCGCACCACCAGACAGTGGCAGCAAAAATCCTGATGCTCGACTTCTCCGCAGATAATCCCATAACCAACAACTAGGTCCAAATGCAATCTCCTCTTCAGGACGATGATACATAACCTACCAAAGATAGATGCGGCAGAAAGATGTCATACAACCTTTTCATCTGCACAGTGGTCACCACCTATCCTCTACACTTTGAGGCTGTAAATACTATAAAAAGACAAATGGAGTATTTTGAGTGCATTAACAATGACACAGCAGGGATTCATGTGATAATTTGCTCAGGATAGAAAAAAACTGTATTTAAGTAACTTCAAGTTCAGTGATATTATAATAGCAATTGTATTTGCAGGCCTACTTTCAGAGACAACCGCAAGAAGATCAGAAAAGAAAAAGAGGAACTCTCACTACACTAACAATCTAAATAACTAATCTGTGGCAGGGTCTAAATGGGTCTAGTGGTACATCTCAATTAGTCAAATTCATATAATCCATTCATTTTAGCCTTCTGCACCAATTACCAAGACCAGTGCACTATGCTGAGTTCTTACATCCTAAATATTGCTTATTTTGCAGTCTAAAACTATAGTCCATGTACACAAAATTAACTCCACAGTAAATGGCACCTCTCCCAGCACCAACCTAGAATACCTAAAGCGGCATCTAGCAGAGAACAAAGCCCATAAAACTACGTCTAAAAAAGAATGGAGGGAGAAATTTGACAGGAAGTCTGTTAAAATCAGCCATGAAATAAAGGAAATTTAATAAATAGCAATATATTAGACAATACATATGTTGCACGATAGTTTATGAAAATGAATTAGCTGAACCCACATGGAACTAGTTTTCAAATTGCATAATATGCTAAACAATTATATGATGCTTAATATTGTTATTCCCAATAATTGATGCTTGAGGACATCTTAAATCTCTTATATTTAAGAAATCATGTCAAGATAGAATCAAAATAGATATATAAACAGGAACTGACCTCAACAGGACCAGTTGGAACCATTCCACTCTGAAATGGCTTACAAAGCTTATATGGTACCTTAACAAAAGGTACTTTGGTTCGGTGACTTGCTTGCTCTCTAAAACTAGAAACAGATGCTCGATAACTTGATACCTGATGGTACAAAATAAATACTCAGTTTATGCAAGAATACAACCCATGAACTTACATCAAAGACTCAAAGCTGAATCAGCATTGTAAGAACCAGTAATTTTAAACTCATAGAGAATAGCAGAACACAGATTTATGACTTCAGAGAACTGCAAGTAGTCATCAAAACGGTGGAAGGACAAGAAGAATTTGTTAACATTAGATGAAGCAAAGAATGCAGCTATCACTGAATAAAACTCACTTATAATAATTCAATACTGCCCCGGGTTGATTTTTACAAGACGTATTTTGAATTCAAAACGCCTTTAGATTAAATTTTGATCATTGATTTCTCACTAAATGTATTCTTAATATCTATGAAACCAATATTTTCACTTCGAATACGATATTTATACACTTAAAGTACTAGTAATTTAACAAATTATTGGTCCAAATCTACAGATTTTGATATGCCTAAGAAAAATCAATGGAGGGACTAATAGTATTCTTTCCACACTGAGGCAAGAAAAGGAAACAAAAAACCGAGAAATTGTTTGTTTGTTTGTGTGAGCATAGCTCATTGGAAAGACGCATGTTACGAAGGGAGCTATTCCTTCACATGTTCATAAGTTATAACAGATAACCCTCCATTTTGTATATTTAAAAACTCATAATATACAGGAAATAGTAACGGCAATAATAGTATCTCAATGAGCTCGAACTTACTGCATCAAGATCTACCAGAGCATCCAATACTTCAACGTCTTTTAACGAGAATTGAGATCCCTGTGCAACAACGTCTCCATTGACAGCGATGCAGCAGCAACCATCTAGCAGGAACCATTAAAATAACTTTGAAGAAATGAATTAACCTTTAGACCTCTCAGATGAAGGCAACGAAAACATTAATGTAAAAAAATAGCACTATTGTTGACTCCTTAAAGGTTTGAAGGATAGATGGCATTCAGAAACTTTAGAAGACAAAATGTTAAACAGAAGTATTGTATCTTGGGTAGACAGTTTTAGGATAATTCAATGTAGAACTTTAAACATTCCAGTTCCAATATATACTATTCGAAGTACGGTCCATACAGAAAATCAACTACAATCACCAATTTAGTGCTGTCCCTCTGGGGTTCAAATGCTGAAAGACAAGTAAACTAGCATCTACTACTAGAAAGTGCATCCTCCTCCCACAGTTTTCATGCACTAGCCGCCTCCAACAAATGAGCAGAGGAAGAAGGTGTTTAGGTCAACAGAAAAAAAATCCATGCTATCTTACAATAGGTGACAATGGACACTTTCTGACACATGAAAATAATAACAAGAGTAGTTATGGATGCAGGGCAGCCCATGCGGCAGATTGGGTTAGAAATAAGCCACTTAAGACGGGAGATCATCTAGTTAGGAAAGAAGTGAGAATTGTTAATAGGGATTGAGATCCTATAGGTGTCAAGTCAGTCCTCCTGATATATAGAAGGATCCGATGTACCCCAATTATCAATCAAGCAATGATGAATTTCTAAAGAGGGTAAGCATCATATCCCCTGATCTTTACTCTTATTCTAACCCAATCGATAACAAAGAGACCTGCATGTCCAACTGGAACTAGAAACAAGACCACATGCACTACGCAGCATTTAGTCTAAACAAGAAAAAAAAAAGCATATCATAGATCAGATAACGCTAAAACAATTTTTACAGCACAAAAAAATGGCATTTTGATATACCATAATAAAGGCGTCCACCATCACAACCCTGTTGATTAGCATACATGTAAACACCACCACATGCAAGGGTTGCATTTCTCATCGAATCAATCCTAAGACTGAGCTTCCTTAACTGATGATGGCTTCCACTTGCATTCACAAAAACCTCAACACCATTCAACGCTAGGTCAATGCGAGGGGCATTTGCAGTGAAGAGCTCTTCACAGGTTTCAGAAGCCAATGATCTAAAAACATATCAATTGAAATAAGAAGCTGTAACAGGATCACATAGTAACCAAATAATTTAGCAGTTGAGTTGATCAAGAGACAAATAGGTTTGTAGACAATGTATGAATTTACTGGTTAACACCATATTAGCAAAGAGAACATTTGAGCATGCTAATAACAGCATCACAGTTTAACTGTGTTCTGATACCATGTTAACCTAAGTGGAAGCCAACTCGATTGTTACTGCACAAGACCCGATGGCAGATATGGTGGGTACAAGTGACATGATAGTTTAACTGTGTGCTGATACCATGTTAACCTAAGTGGAAGCCAACTCGATTGTTACTGCACAAGACCCGATTGCAGATATGGAGGGTACAAGTGACATGACCCTAGACTATCACCACGGGACCACAAATATCTCTAGTGCACACATGCTAATACACTAGTACCTTTACCTCGGTTAAAAAGAGAGGTCTAAAATGCAACTCATTAAACCCTAATGGTTGCAACACCCATGCGATTATGTAGCAGATAGTGCGGGCACTTTGATCCCAATAAACAATAATTAGTAGACTATCTGGTATGTTAACCAGGCAATCGTCAAGCTGAAATCACATCTACATATAAAAGAATAATTCAAGTAGTAGTACTTACACATCAAGAAATTGAATAAAACCATAACCAAAAGGCACAGTATCCTGGGACGTAACCTCCGAGATATCAAGAGGGAGTTGAAAGTCAACAAGTGCATCTTTGAATGTCCAAGCAGAAAACCATCGAAATTCCCGATAGTTTCCATCATTTGCAAGAGATATCTTTGGCCTAATCATGACTATCTTGCTGTTTAAGCAGAACACCTGGCAGTTGTACCGTACACTCTTGAAAATAACCGGCATTCCTATGCTGCACAAGATGCCATCCGTATAGCCGCCAGACAAAATGTCCTTCAAGCACTCCCATCTGCAGATTAGTCAAGTACAGTGGTTAAGAGTTACTGGAACAGAATATAACAGTACATAGAGTGAGCATCCACACGAGCATACGAGAGAGATGCTAAGATCTGAGTAAAGAGTTCTACCCGGGTTTAGAATTGAGGGATGAAAACTAAACCAATCTAAAAAACAATAGGTGCTAACTAATCAACAACAATTAGTTAACTTCAATTGCAATTTCTGGACGCCGAAGCCAACTCAACCAAACTAAAGTGGAAATACACGTATTAATTTATATGACATTAATAGATTCTCATTCTCCATAGTTTCACTCCTCGTTACAGAACCAACCAACAGCATCCGCCACTAATAATCCACAAATTATAACAGGAGAACTCCTAAACCCTTAAGCATAGGCAGCTGTGACTGATGATGACGAAGATTCAGTTCAGAGAAAGGGGGGATAAATTAGTTACGCGTGGGCGGCGGTGTCCTGCTCGAGGAAGTGGTCCTCGCAGCCGTAGCCGGTGAGCTCGAGCTCGGGGCCGACGCGGACGGCGGCGCCGGCGGCCTTGGCGCGGGCGATGGACTCCTTGACGTTGCGGAGGTTGGTGTCGAAGTCCATCGCCCACTGGTTCAGGTTGCACGTGGCCACCCGTAGAAGCCTCATCTCGCTCCTCCCTCCTAGTCCCTCTCGGATCGGAGAGACTGAGACGGCTGGGGGGGTTCGGGAACGAGGAGAGCGGAGGAGGTCGTTCCCGCCGCCGGCGGGCGGCGGCGGCGCGTGCGAGGGAGGCGAGGCGAGGCGGCGGTGAAGGCAAAGGCGGTGTGCGAAAAAGATTTTTTATTTTGTTTATTTTTTGAGGTGAAGAGACGATGAACTCGAATGCGATGCCGTGGCTGCGGTGCGGCTCGTGCGGCTGGCCTGTTCCTGGTTCAGGTGGTGTTCGCAACTGAATGAGACGAGGATTATGGCTACGTTTGTTCTAAGAAAATTGAGGGGAAGAGTTACATCGTTTTTTTGTATGTTTTTCGTTCATAAGAAGATTGCTATAAAAGATGCTTTGAAAAATCATATAATTATTTTTTAAAGTTTAAAATAATTAATAATCGATTAATCATATGTTAATAACTTATCTCGTTTTACATATATTCTCAATATTCTCTTTTTTTTTCTCTTAAACATAGGCAAGTAAGATTGTGAAAAGGATTAAGAATGTGTAAAATGAGAAGATCATTAGTGAATGATTAATTAAGTTTTAATTATTAAAAATGTGAATATATATAAGTAACTTCTATATAATAAATTTCACATGAAATGTACTTATAGCAGTTTAAAAAGCATGCTAATGAAAGCCGGATTTCAGCCGGACGAGAAATCGCATTATAATTAGAAAAGAATAGATCCAGTGTTTCTTCTGGCATAGGAGAGTGAGGCTGTGTTCGGAACTCCAAGTTCCCAAACCCCTCTCCGTCGTTTTCTACGTGCACGCTTTTCAAATTGCTAAATGGTGTTTTTTTTGTAAAAAGTTTCTATACGAAAGTTGCTTAAAAAATTCAAATTAATATATATTTTAAAAAAATAGTTAATACTTAATTAATCACGCGCTAATAAACCACTCCTTTTTCCGTGCAGGGAGATGGGTTCCCAACCCCAGGAGCCGAACACAGCCTCGAATCAACGGAGAAAAACCACTCGATTGCTTGATCTAACGGCTGAGAGGAAACAGGATACTACCTCCGTAGCGATTGTATTTGTTCTCACAAAACATAGTATAATGCAATAGAATGAATGTGGCGATATCTCAATGCAAGTTCACTCGGTCCAACCAACTTTTGTGGTGATCCCCATGCAAAAATGAATAATTCGACAGAACATTTTCCGAATCTAGACAAAAAGCATCGAACTCGAAACTAAATAGCAACCACACTTCAGCACTTCACAGACACACGAAACACCACCACAATCAGGTAAGCTTGATTCTAGTACAGTCTAGTACAAAAGAAAGGATTAACTTCAGCAGTTCAGCCACAGGATTCCAAGTACAAAATAACAAAAACTTCAGCATATGCTGCAGCGAACGAGAACACACCTCCTGGGTTTCCTTTTGCCCCGGGATATTGCTGTATTAGTAGCTTTGATACGTAATTAGAAATATTTCTGTACACTAGTTGTTGAATCCTTTTTCTTTATAGAGGAATCGCAAGTACTAATAACGCGACGTCGGTGCTAAAAGTTTAATAGTTTGTCTAACTTCACGAGTTCTGGGCGCCTCAAAATTGATGTTCTCTGTCAATATCACCGAGTTGCCTGTTGCATTGCTTGAGCTGGCTCCACAATGTTCTTTGCTAGCATGGAAGTCCGCATGTTAAGATTCTTCAAGCTTTCGATAAACTGCTCGTGGCTGCAATGAAAAAGGATATGTTGGAAAAACTCCCTCGTAAATTGATGATAGAAAAATAGATCAGTATTCAAGTGATGCTTGCCCAGAAGTTAGCATGAATTGCGTGTATGGGTGATTGGCTGAAGAAACTTACATGTTAACATGATTGGTCGTCATGATAAGAGTTCCAGACACTGAATCAATCTTGGCATCGAGCTTTGAATTTCTAACTAAGTTCATTATCCACAACTCCCCTTCATCATAGCGCATGTTCAGTTTCTGAGAGAGCATGCTGTTCATTGCAAAAAAATTGAAATAACTTCTTAGATTTGAAAGAAATTGCATTCCTACATGGTCCATATAATATAAAGAATAAAACGCATGAACCCTGAGAATTTAATAAACTGTTCCTAACTGAGATGACAGAACAGAAAGATGCAACAGATAACTGCCACCATGTAGCGCATTACAGTTCTTTTTTCTTTTTCCTTTTTTTTTTTGCCGCTAAACATGAAGTGTTGTCCCTACAATATGGAAAGCAGCTGACTGACAAAAATAATGCAAGACCAAGCAAGGCACAGAACCGATTTGTTGTATTCGATATACAGTATGATTTAGTGAATTGATAATTAATAACTGCAGTTCCCTACTATTCATCTATAGTGGACTTTTGCATGTTAACAGAAAAAAAAAGTGAGTAGTAAGACAAAAACACCCACCCAATATCAATGGACCGATGAATACGGCAGTAAGTTTCAAAGATAAACAGACGAGCATTTTCAAGGAATTCATCTCTCAAAGGAACAGTGATGGAATTCCCTTCCTCAATGCGCTTTCCCAGGAAAGGATCATTCAATATGACCTACAAAGGCAGCCATTAGGACAAAGAAATGCAAGACTGCAATATGATCACCATTGAGAAGACAGTGCTATTAGATATCGTATAGAAATAGCCTAGAATTTGGTAGTGCAAAATCACCGGTATGCCCAGAGAAGTGGTTCTCATTTAATTTAAGGAGGGAAAATAGAAAAGTAACAACAATGAGCTAATGACCTAACGTTCAACTCTGGAAATTTTACAGGCCAGGACACCGTCAGACACCCTCAGACAGGCCTTTCTGATATAAGGATGTGAAAGCTGAACTTTGATCGCAAAAAAAAAAGTTAGGCATCATATAGCAGTAGTGTGTGAACATATAACTTTTTTTTCCAAACAAAGAAAAAGAGGGGAAATTATCTTTCAATATTTTATATTTCAACAATAATGCATTAAGTAAAAAACAGATTAATCATGGGGATGGACAAAAGGTTCAAGACGCGCTAATATACCTCCTCACACTCTATGAGTTTCTGTTGTGCGCCATCAAAATCATAGTTAACAAACAAGCATTCCAGAAATTCAGTAATGGGATCCTTGTAGCTGTGCTGCTCCTGCTGAATGACTTTAATCAACTCCTTAAGCATATTCCTTCTCCTTTTGTTCACAACAACTGCTGTAGCAAGGTATCTCAGAAGATGTGGTGCATTTGTCTGGATTGCATTCAAGTACCTGAGGAGACGTAAAATGCAAATTGAAAAGTTAGCTGAGATAAAATTTGATATCACAGACAAACATATTTTCCATCATGGGAACTAGATAGCACATTACAAATAATAAAGCAAATGCTTTACGGACGACAATAGCCCCTTGGCTCTATAATCTCCTCTTTGATTCTGCTGTTATTTTCCTTCACATTCAGCTTGTCCAGAAAAACCTACTTCAAAATTTTTCACTCTTTTTATATCTTAACGTAGTTCTATGTATACCAGCAAAACACATCTTAAGAGTTAACTCAATGTACGAAAAATATATAGATTTTTTAATTGGCAGCTTTGCATGGTTCTATCCTAGACATTAAACCATGGGGCAAATTATTAATACCTTACCAGCGAAAACAAGTCATTTAGTGTTAGTTTTTAGCGGCATTGCTTATTGGTTGTTGAACCAGGGTACCATTGGCTGTGTAACTGCATAAGACAATAGTGAACACAATAATCATGAAATTTTAGTAAACAAACCTCTCCTGGAAGAACAGATCTATGATCCCATTTCTGCCGTTTTCATGGTTGTAGAAGATAAAGATACTCCAGTGCATCAGCCATATCCTATTCTGAAGCTGATTTAGCGGTGAAGAGAAGTTCTGGGAGATGAAACAAAGAAGTAACAAACGAAGTTATATAAAGCAGCTGGCCACTCCCAACAGGAACTATTGATAAAGTCTCCAATCAGTTATTCAAGCAAACCTTTGAATCAATAATCTCCTTCAAACGGTTGAGCTCCTCCAGTGCAACATCCCAGTTCTGCATCAAAATCTCAGCTGCCAGCTTTCCCCACAGGGCACTCAAGCTCCTCTCAATGTTTGTGCACAGAGCACGGTATTGATGCAAGTACTGAGCAGCAAATGAGTAATTCCCACAGTCAAACTGAAATTTGGCATACTGATACAGAGTCTCAATCTGATCAGGACCAATCTGCAATGTTAACAAGAATACGATTATTAACTGCATAGCAACCTAAATGACTTGGCATATGGTAACTACAAAAATTAACAATTGAAGGGGAATATCAAGAGTTGTCCCTCACATAAACGGATGCAAGACATCAGAACATCCCCCAGACTTGATGGCAATATACAATTATTCTAACCATATACACCATATTAAGATCAAACAACATCTGAAGCTAAGAATCATCAGATATCCTTCTCCCGCAGTTTTAATTCAATAATTGGGGATTTATCGACTATGTACACAGTACACAATTGCTGGGCACCTGCATCCCAATCCCCCACATCACACATTCAACTGTGCCCCCAACAAGTGAACATACTTAACCAATCCCCCAACCTTCGCATCGCCATCTGCAAACTACAACGCTACTCAAAACCTACATACAGCTAACACCAACTAGACGATGAACAGATCTAGTAAGCCGCAAGCCCTGCAGCTAGATCGAGGGGGGCGTGGGGGTAAGTTTGGGCCTGACCTGCTGGTTCTGGTGGATGTTGTCGATGGCCTCGCCGAGCGAGGTGAGCCTGGAGACGACCTCGGCGCGGCGCTTGACCATGTCCTCGGGGACGTCGTCGGTGCCGTAGCGCGACTTGTGGATGTCCATGGCGTAGTCGACCATGTTGGTGCCCCGGAGGAGGCGGATCTTCGCCTCGAGGATCTCCTCCTCCGGGTAGAGGTGCCGCTCCTGCAGGAACTCCAGCAGCGGGAGCACCAGGTGGCAGTCCAGGTGCCCCGCCATCCGCGCCGTCAGGTCGTGCTCCGCCATGGCCGCTTCCCCGCCTCCCCTCTCCGGTGGATTGGTGCGCGTAGGCGCTAGGGTTTTTAGGGTTCGCGGGTTGGTGGCGCGGAAGGCGGAAGAGCGGGGAATACACGGGACTGGGGTGAGTGGGTTTGTTTCAATAAAAATTTTGATTGGTAGGAGGGTTTATGGTTGATTTTTTAATTTTTATCCAAAATAAAATCTTTTAAAACTTATTTTTAAAATCTAAATCCTTGTAGTCAAGCAATCCCGTCTAATATGGCAAAACAACACTAGCACACTACCTGCAGGCTGCAGCGGATGTGACCGTTTTATCCTACCGTGCTAGCGAGAGCGATGTGGCCAAATAACGCTGCCACACTAGTTGGAGGCTGGAGCAGCATGACGGTATTGTTTTACCACACCAGTTTGGTTGGCGTGGCCAAAATGTTCATATATTGAAAATGAATTTTCATGAGTTTATTTTAAAATTTAAAAAATTAAAAGGTTCAAAAAATTAAAAGAAACTCTAGGGTAAGACATGTTTTGTACTAGTAAAAAAATAAATTTCATAAAACACCTATTTTATGGTCAAAATTTTAGAGAACCACGGATGGTCGCGATGCTCCGCCTTGCTTTCACAACAAGTGTGTGAGCTTTTATGGCTATCCGGTTAATTATTGGTTAATCCATGAGTAATGCCATGCCATACACATCCGTTCTCCCCTCCTCTCCCCCTCCTCGATTTTTTTGTCTAAAGAAATGCAACAATTCCGCTTTTAAATACTTTCAAATACTACTGCATAGCAAGGTTAATAGTATCGCCGATTACCGGCTGCAATAGTGTCCAAGTAATCTTATAGCCTGCATATAATAACTTAGCTATAAAGGATGGCCCACCGAATTGAGCTGGAGAATAAATAATATTTTCAGGAGCACACCGATATTCTCTCTCCACCTTATCACTTTCACCATCGCACCATGCACCATCCATTTCTTTCTTCTATGTTCTTCTCCCTTCATCCATCCCCTTCCTTGATTTTTCTGTACGAACATAAGCATAAGCATGCAACATCCAACAGTCAAAGCTTGCTCCCAAGCTCGTTGTAGGCTTGTTGCCCTTGTATGCGGCTGTTGCACCAGCACACACAGCACTGCGCCACGTTCAAGGCAGGTCTCGCCAAAATGGCCTCGAGCTCGAGCTCCTGTAGTCTGCCGCCACCGAGGATCTCGAGCTTCATGGGCGAGGAAGCGTCCGCAGGTGAGGCCACAAGTTGGAGCAAGCTGAGCTCGAGGCCATGACGGAATTGAGCTGGAGGACGACGACTCCGCGACGATGTTTTAGCTCCTTCTATCCTCATCAATGCTTTCATCCAGAAAGCGCGTGCTGAAGCCAAATAGTCGCCTGCTCACGTTCTCTCTCCCTTCCAACTCAACACTATAACCGACGTGGCTTTCTTATCACCGGTCCGCGATGGTTTATTGCACCTGCTCTAAGTCGATACGTCGGTTTCCAGAAAAAGAGGATAGGAATATAAATTTAGTACTTGGACCCACCGCAGGCTGCCCACGCCCAAACCACTTCTACTCGTAGTGTTCTCACACACCACTGACCTGTGGGTCCCGCAGAGTCACTCACACCACACGTGGACCCCATCTATCAGTGATAGGAACTCACCTTTCCCCGCACATGCGGGTCCATGGTAGTAGTCTGTCCCCACATGTCAGTGAGCAAAACGTAAAGGTAAAATGGTACCGTCCTACCGGGTGCGGAACGACACCACACGAGCACGTCGCGTCGGCAGGTGGGTCCCATCCCCCGTGGGCCCCACGTGTCATCCACGGTGAGGCAGATCCGCGCGTGGAAACGAAGCGAGGTTGCGGGCCCACCCACGGGCGTCGTGGGCTCGTGGCCTCTACCCTTTTTATTTTATTTATTTATTTCATCGCCCAAAACACCCAACTTTTCTCACGCGCAGCGATTCCACCCCCACCGCCACCCGCGACCACAGACTCCACGATTCTCTCAGAGAGAGAGAGAGAGAGAGAGAGGGGACTCAGCGAGCGGTGGGCGAGAGGGGGAGATCGAAACCCTAGCTAGGGTTTGCGCGCGGCGGCGGCGGGGATGTCGACGCCGGCGAGGAAGCGGCTGATGCGGGACTTCAAGCGGCTGCAGCAGGACCCCCCCGCGGGGATCAGCGGCGCGCCGCACGACAACAACATCATGCTCTGGAACGCCGTCATCTTCGGGTGGGTGTCAGCCATGGACGCGGAATTCCCATCTGCCTCTACCTCTCTCCCCCCCTCCCCCTCTCCTGCGCCGGCCCCCCGGTGTTCTAGGGTTTCGGTGTCCCCGGATCTCGGGGGACCCGAGGTTTTCAGCTGTTTTTTTTTGTTTTTTTGTTGTAGTGGCTGTGGTGCTAACGAGGAATTGTTTTCCGTGTGATGATGTTTTGCAGGCCGGATGATACGCCGTGGGACGGAGGTGAGGCTTGCTCGGTTTGGTTTTGCTCCGATCTGTAGCTGGTTTAGTGATTAGGTTGTGGTTTACTAATTCCTTGGGGATGGTTCGATGTGGAAATTGGAATCGTTAGGATGGATATAGCATCATGAGTATTTTGCCCAGGGAGATGAGACCGAGTGAGTGGGCAGCTGATTCCACATAAACTTAGAAGGCAGATGAGGATTGTCTGTTGTTGTCTATGTCGGTCTTGTCGGATATGTGGGGAGATCGAGCCATGCAATTCTGGAAGGGTCATTACAGGGTTAGGCTATTGGCTAGATGTATGAATTCCTTAACACGTAAAATTGAAAACGACAAAAATACATGGCATACTTATGATGCCTGTCACCTAAGCAGCTCTAATTGAGGTGCGCTGAAACTGTCATTTGGTAATTTTGGTTTATGTGAATTCTACATGATAATTGCTAGAGTAGGCATGGTTTCATTAGACTAGTCAACAAATGAACCTTGCCATATCTATCACATATTCAATAACAGAAATGCCGATTTAGGTCCTGTTCGAATCCACTGAAAGAAGTGTATAAACTTTTGGGTAAAAGTGGCACGCTTTTCAAATTGCTAAACGGTGCGTTTCGTGCGAAAGCTTTCTATATGAAAGTTGTTCTAAAATATCAGATTAATCCATTTTTTCAAGTTTGTAATAATTAAAACTCAATTAATCGCACTTTATTACCACCTCATTTTGCGTGAAACACTTAATCCTTATCTTCATCTTCATCTTCAGGAGATTCAAACACCACCTTAAACATACTCTAGAAATTAGAGTGACTGCTGCATTTACTGTCTAAAATGGAGTAATAAAGTTGGGAGTTGGTGTGAGCTTGCCTGGGAAGTAGGTTGCATGTTTGGTTCAGGAAGGTAGGTTCTACTATTTGAAATATATTGTTTTGGAAGTGCATAACACATGAAGGAATAAATAACCTACAAATAATTATGGATAGAGTTAACCATGTTGCCATGTGACACTTATTGTGCATGTTTTGAGCATGTGGTGCCCCGAATTATCTGTTCGACAAATCAGGGCACTGTATATTTTTTGCTGTTTTGTCTTAATCAGTTCGCAACGAACTTAACTATTTGACTGAATCTGATTATGATCTGCACATATATAAATTTAAGTTAAGTTATGGTGTCAGATATTTTCCAACAACTAACATTGCCCTTTTTATGGAAAAGAACTTTCTGTTTTTTTCTCAGAGTTCAGGTCTTCTTCTTTTCCCCTCTTCTATTTGAGTTGCGTAAACCTCAAGTTACGTCTTAGATATATGATTGATGATACTACGGTTCTGTTGCACAAACCAATTTGTAAGGATGGATGTTAAATCCTCTATGCAAATCTTGGTGCCTGTTTATTTTATACTGTTTATGTAGGTTTTAGTGTAAGTTGAGCTGTTTAAAAGATTTACTTTGTTTTGCTTTTGAGTTTCAGTCTTGTTTTGAAAATAAAATGAGTACACACTTATCTTTTAAATGCATAGCTTAACTGCATGCCTACAGTGCAAGAACCCTTAAAATTCTTAGGCCATGATCCTACCAAAAGAAAAGAGAATGTCATGATGATGTGGTTATGTTATGGGCGTAGAAAAAGGATACTAGTGGGAATGCTTGGGTTTGCGTCAAATTTTACTTCATTTCTTCTCTGTGGTTGTTTATTCCAGTGTTGTTGAGGCGGTAATGCAGTTTAAGGCAACCCACCACTGCGAGGCGTAAGGCGTTGCGACGCCCTATGAGATGGTTGAGGCATGATTAATGGAGGATATGGTAGAGAAATTAGGAAGAAAAAAAGGGAAACCGGTAAAAGGCCCACTAATCCAGGCAGCCAGCCCACCAAAGCCCAACATAAGTCTTCATACCTACGTGTTCTATGCCCTAAGAGGCATCTTACTCCACCAGGCACCAGCTGCCATGATGAGAAGAGGAGTCCCCAGCTGCTGGCCTCATCCACATGACCTCTACTAGGGTTCTAGGATGAGCTTACCTCTTCTTCTTTCCCTTTCTTTATTGGTTTTGCTTGTAAGGCCTTTTTCTTTCCCTTTCTTCACAGTGGACACCTTGGCCTCTGTGACCGCCTTAGCGCTATACGCCTTAACAACCTGGGTTTATTCTTTAATTCTTCTCATGTGAAATCCTTGTCTGTAATGTAGTAATGTTGTATGACATATTATCTTCCCTACAACTCTATCTGCATTATGTGATACTGCTGCAGTTCTGTACCCCTATAGTCAGGCCATACAGTTAAATACTCAGAGCCAGGAGAGCTTGCACTAGCACTATTATTTTTATATGATGAAAGATGTGGTCTTTTGTGTATTGGTTCCTGATTGTTCTTATCTATCATTGATCTATTGCTTATATGACATTTCTTTAGCCTTTGTTGTTTAATTTCATTAGTTATAGATAGCCTTGAATCATCTACAGTACGGCAAAAGTGATGAATGCAGATGTTTGGGAATTCGGGATTATGGTTATTAGTAAGACAATAGTTCTGATACAGGACAACAGACAACCAAAAGCCACATAATGATTAATCATGCTTCAACTTTTTGTAGCTACCAGTCTGCCAGCATGGTAACTTGAGAAGTCGACTAACAGTTAACTCTTACGTATCTGTAGGCACGTTCAAGCTTACCTTGCAGTTTACAGAAGATTATCCCAACAAGCCGCCGACTGTTCGGTTTGTTTCTAGGATGTTCCACCCAAATAGTAAGCTCTCTTCCCGTGTGATTATATATTGTTCAATAATTACCTTACATTTGTAAACAAATAAAGATCTTCGTTTTTGAATAATGGAAAACTTATTTAACATCATACTATTCATGCAGTTTATGCAGATGGAAGCATCTGCTTGGATATTCTACAGAACCAGTGGAGCCCTATATATGATGTTGCTGCCATATTGACTTCAATTCAGGTACCTTTTTGATCAATTTTCAGACTAGCAAAAAGCATTTGTAATGCCATGAAGAGTAGTGCTTACCATGAGTAATGAGATCTTTCTAGGTGCATTATTTTACAGCTTCCAAGGTCATGCAAATTACTTTTTGTGGAGAAACTTTAAACTTAGTTGCACTGTTGTGCGTAAAAACCTCTTTACAACATTGTCATGGAAACCTACTAGAATGAACCTCTTACACTTTACAGATTGGCAGTTGGAGCATTATTTATCTGGCACATTTATTCTTACGTAAGAATGAATCCTCCTAAAAATTTTGCACTTGAATGGAGGTTTTCCCCTGTAACTTTATAACTAGCTCTGGTTGATCAGTTCACTGACTGGGGGACAGTGACTAAAATTGAACTCATTTTATTGGAAGCTAATTCCAAAGCTCCCTCACAAATGTCCACTACACTATTTATAGCCAGTTAGCACTTAGCAGGGTGCCATTGTCCGAACTTTGTAAGCATGTTAGTAAGATCATTTGATGATATAATCGGTTAGGTTGTTTGCTTCTACACACCACCATTTCCAATGGTTGTATAGGCTACGTAGCATGCATGTAGCATGGTATTGTATCAAATACTTGAATCGCTGAATTGTGATGCATTTGCTTTGCAGTCTTTGCTGTGTGATCCAAACCCCAACTCTCCAGCAAACTCAGAAGCTGCCAGACTGTTTAGTGAGAACAAGCGAGAGTACAACCGCAAGGTTCGTGAGATCGTGGAGCAGAGCTGGACAGCTGACTAGGGCATGCAGCAGGGCAACGGGTGGTATCCACCATGCCAGAAAGATGCAATAAGCAACCGTGAAAAACCTGTGCGTTTCTGGCTCTCCAGATTTGCTGTCATCTTAAAACATTATAAGATCTCCAGTGATTGCTTGTAGTCCGTTGATGTTTTTGTGTTCCCATGTCCCAGTTACTCTTGGCTGCTTTTATGTAGTGGTGTTGACCTCTCATGCACTAGGGCATTCTGCTCATGTAAAAAGGGGATTATCATCATAATATGTGAATGGAAGCGAAATGGGTCATGAGATTTGAGTCTGCTTGCACAATGCAGTTTGTCTGCATGATCCTTTTGCCATGTAGTTTGGCTGTTGGTGCTGTCCTATGCACATGCTTAATATTCTCTGCCGTTTGGATTTTTTGCAACATTTTGTATTTTTGTAGGAACAGAAAAAAAAATTCCCGTGATACTTCTCATGATACAAATGGTACCAAACTGAAATTTATCGTTCCTCGAGTGATGCTTTCGTATGGTATAAAGAAGGGTTTTTAGGCCCCTTTGAATTGGAGGATTGTGAATTTTGGAGGATTTAATGTCCTAAGGATTTTTTCCTATGAAACCTTTGATTCATAGGAAAGTATAGGAAATTTTCTTTAGGATTGCATTCCTATAGCCCAATTTCATAGGAAAATAAGTAAGAGGTTTAACCTCTTGGAAACTATCCTTTGCTTTGTTTGTTTTCTATGGTGATATTTTCTGTGTTTTCCATTCCTGTAGAATTAGGAAAACATGCCACATCAATTCCTACGTCGGGTTTTTAGGCCCCTTTGAATTGGAGGATTTAATGTCCTAAGGATTTTTTCCTATGAAACCTTTGATTCATAGGAAAGTATAGGAAATTTTCTTTAGGATTGCATTCCTATAGCCCAATTTCATAGGAAAATAAGTAAGAGGTTTAACCTCTTGGAAACTATCCTTTGCTTTGTTTGTTTCCTATGGTGATATTTTCTGTGTTTTCCATTCCTGTAGAATTAGGAAAACATGCCACATCAATTCCTACGTTTTTCCTATTCCTTTGTTTGTTTCCTATGGTGATATTTTCTGTGTTTTCCATTCCTGTAGAATTAGGAAAACATGCCACATCAATTCCTACGTTTTTACTATTCCTGTGTTTTTTCTATTCTGCGTTTCAAAGGGGCCCTAGGTAAAGTAGTGCTCTTGATTGGTGTCGGGGGCCTGGGGATATCTCCTTTTACTTGTCCATGTAAAGGTCTAAAACAACAAATGCGATACATGGTATTGACACCATTGACACAATGATAACCGAAGTGCCCCTACAGAGGACATGCCATAAACGAGGTACTGAACCATGATTACATTTAGACCTAGATTCGTAGTGAGACATTTATAGTCCTAGATTCAAAGTGGGAAAAATTACAAAATTACAGTTGTGCTTAGCTTCTTACATATTCAAAAGAAACATATAGAAAAGGCGGTAAAAAAAAAGAAGATAAAAAAAATGTGAAGAAAGTAAAAGAGCCCACTGACTTCTACTGGTCTACACCAAGAAGGCCCTATACACATCTTATCTTATAGGGTAGTAGTACACCATATGCCAGTTCCAGTCTAGCTTCAGCTGCAGCTGCCATCTGAATTGTTCTCTCATGTTCGGTTCTTGAAAGATCACACTGCAAAATGTTTGCTTCATGTAATGTTTCCCGCTGAATTGCCGTTGCTGTTCTTGCCTCAACCTAGAAATCCAAGAAAACACAAGAAAATATCATCTCAGATCATAGCTGAATGCATAACATTTCCCTCAACTATCAGCCATGGATGATCAGAGCATGATAGTTCAGATGCTCAAAGTGCAAGGTTTGGTTTGTTTGGTGATAGATACCTGCAGGCTATGATGGAGTATCATCTACAGATCTACTGGTCGTCTTCTAAGTCTCTGGGGATCTGCGACGGCGACAGCGGCGACTCCTCGCTGCTCCGGGAGTCCCCTCTCCAGTCATCCTGCACCTGCGCGGCGAACTGCAGGTTCCACAGCACGTCCTCCACCGACGGCCTCTGCACCGCCTCCTTGGCCAGGCACCTCAGGCAGATCTCCATCACCGTCTTCACCGACTCGTCGGAGCACCCCTTGCTCACCGCCGGGTCCACAAAGCTCCTCCTCTTCGCCGTCCCCTCCGCCGTCAGCGCCGATTGCAGCTGCAGAAAGAACACAGGTGAGTTTCTTTTTTTCTTTTTCAGAACTTTCAGAAGTGGACAGTGTGATGGTAGTATCTGAAGTCTCATGAAAAATTCAGTTCAGTTTCAGTCTTTGGAGGGAGTTTGTGTTGCACCTGTTCTTTCATTATCTCCACCTCGTAGATGGATGTGATGGGCCTGCCTGAGATAACCTCGAGTAGTATCACGCCGAAATCGAAGATGTCGAGCTTATCACCGTTCGGTACACTGCGAGAAGAAATTTGCAACAGAAAAGTTCTTAAGAAAACCAGTTGCTTTTAGTATAATATACATAGATTCTGCTGTAAGGTGATTTGTCAAGTACCTATCAGATGGATACTTGTTGCCAGATCCTCCCTGAATTCATCCACAAAAGATGATATAAAACAACAATGTTAGTTCAGAGTTCAGACAGTGCCAACTCAAAATTCAGCGGTAAGTTTACATGATCAGAGTTTCCTGAATCATACCTCGGATTTCATGGTTTCAGATAGGATGGGGATATTGTAGCTGCCTATTTTGGCAACAAGATTCTGGTCTAGAAGAATGTTGGTGATCTTCAGATTATTCGCAAATAGGCCAGGTATGATCCCTCCATGCAAGAATTGAATTCCTTTGGCAACACCAATGGCTGTTGATATCCTCTGCACCCAGGTGAGCTTTCTCCCTTCTGTTCCTTCTGAAGTCAAAAGTATCAACAAGTTCAGTGACATTCAGCTAACCGAGTAACTGATTATTGGAGACCGATTTCAGGAGAAGATGGTAAACTTACGTGAAATTCTGCCTCTCAGGTTGCCATTCTGAACGTATTCGAAGACGAGATACAATTGCGTGATGGTGGAATCGTCGAGATTGTATTCGAAGCAGTGTCCAAGTGCACTGACCAAGTGCCTGTGCCTGAGCTTGGAGATCATCTCAATGTGGTGATTGAAGCTCTGGGAAGTCTGGCTCCTCTTCACCTTCAGAGACCTGATTGTCACCGGAGTTCCATTGCTTAGCCTTCCTCGGTACATCTGACAGTAAAAAAGAGCAAACCATTTTAGACATGGAGCACAACAATTTTAGTTGCAAACTTGCTATGTTACAACTTGCACATGCCTCAAAAGAAAAGGTGATTCTTGAATAGATTGAAAAATATGTATGGAAAGATGGCTTTGGTACTCTGACAAGAAAAAAGAGAGAAAGCTTGTAATAACTATAAAAACTGTTCTCTTTAATCTTTATACCCCAATTGTAATCTAGCAGTAGTATTTAACTCATTAGAATAATCAGAAAAGTGAATGGGGGCATAAAGCATACTGTCAATTAACAAGAACATGAAAAATTAGGTTCAGTGAAGATGAAGTGGCCATAACTAATCCAGCAATGATATTCTGAACAAAATGTCCCTGGATTGTCAGTGGGAGCAATGGTACAAGGAGTACCTGTCCGTGAGAATCTTGCCCCATCATATTTGATACTTCGAAATCATTAGTAGCCGCTTCGAGCTCGACCAAAGAAAATGATCTGTATGCTGGAATTCCCAGAGCTCCCAATTTCACTGTCTGAGATATGTAACCTGTTTGGTTGTTCCAGGTAAATGCAACAAGAAGTTAGTATTTCAGATAAAGTTTCAGAAAAAAAATGGTGCTATCAAGTTAGTTACTCTTAACACTAGGCAAAGTTCCAGAGAAATGATGCCAAAGTTAACGAATCTAAAAAAGAGCAAAAGATGTACAGAAGTTTCAGTCAAAGAATCTGAAATTCAACAAAAGTTTCAGAGATTGTGCCAAGTTGGTGACTCTGAAATTCAGCAAAAGTTTCAATGAATGACTGAAATTTAGCAAATGTTCCAGCTAATGACTGAAATTCAGCAAACTTTTCAGTTAATGAATCTGAAATTCAGCAAAAGATTCAGTTAATGAATCTGAAAATTCAGCAAAAGTTTCAGTGAGTAACTGAATTTCAGCAAAGTTTCAGTTAACGATTCAAATTCAGCCAAAGATTCAGCTAATGAATCTCAAATTCAGTAAAAGTTTCAGTAAATAAATCCGAAAAATTCAGCAAAAGTTTGAGAGAGAAATTGACAGGGAGCAAGATCATACGCGCATCGGCGAAGAGCTTGGAAGGATAGGCGCTCGACGCGTGCTCCACGAGCCTCCGTGGCGGCCTCGCCTGCGCCCTCCTCATGCTCGCCTTCCTCACGGCGAGGAAGACCGCCACGCCGGCGAGCACCGCGGCGGCAATGGCGGCCGCCACGACGCCGGCGACGAGGCCGGACCTGGCGCCGCTGGGCTTCCTCCGCGCCTGGTCGGGCACGATGCCGACGGCGATGGCCTGGTTCTTGCAGAACGGGGACGGGTGCTGCGTGTCGTCGCCGGTGGCGAGGCAGTTCGCCGAGAAGAGCACCGTCTTGGAGGAGTCGGAGTCGGAGTCCGCCGCCTTGCCGACGGCGCCGGCGGCGAGGCAGGTCGGGAGGCTCCCCGTGAGGAGGTTGGACGAGACGTCGACGAATTTGAGGTTGTTGCCGCACGACATGTTGCCGGAGAGCATGCCGGTGAAGCGGTTGCCGGCGACGCTGAGGTACTCGATGGACGGCAGCGAGAGCAGCGCCGGCATGAACGGGCCGACGAACCTGTTCCTGGACACGTCGAGCCGCTCGAGGAGGTAGAACGACGCGAGCTCCGGCGGGAGGCCGTCGCTGAACCTGTTGCCGGCGAGCACCACGCTGGCCACCTTCCGGCCGAGCCGCGGGAACTCCGGCCCGAGCGAGTTGTTGGCGAGGTCGATCACCTGGAGGTTCTTGGCGCCGCTCATGTCCGGCAGGTTGCCCGACAGGTTGTTGCTCGCCAGCGACAGCGACCGCAGCGACGCCATGTCGCTCACCGACCCCGGCAAGGTGCCCTCCAGCGAGTTGTTCCTCAGGCTCAGCACGGCGAGCACCGGCAGCCTCCCCAGCCACGCCGGCAGCTCGCCGCTTAGCATGTTGTCGTCGGCGATGAACGTCTGCAGGTTGCCGAGCCGCGACAGCGCGAGGGGGAGCTCGCCGTAGAGGTAGTTGCCGCTGACATTGACGATCTCGAGCGCGGCGAGCCGCGACACCTTCCCGGGCAATGGGCCCCAGAGTCCGAGTCCGGTGAGCGTGAGCACCCGGAGGTCGGGGAGCCTCGACAGCGTGGTGAAGAAGGAGTCGATGGAGAACGTCTTGGGCAGCGGCGGCGGCGTCGGCGAGCCGCCGCCACCGCCGATGATGTGCAGCTGCGTGACGCTGTCGCCGTAGCACTCGACGAACGCCGACGTGGTCTTGTAGTCGCCGCCGTAGCAGAAGTCGGTGTAGTTGTGCCAGTGGCCGAGCACCGCCGGGTAGCCGAGCATCTGCTGGATCTTGAGCAGCGACCATGTCTGCGACGCCTGCAGCTGCGTGCTCCCTGGCACCATCGCCATCACCACCGACACCAAGAACAACACCACCAGATTCTTCCCTCCCATTTCTTCAGCTTCTCACAAGATTTCTTCAGCTCCTGATCAGTTCTTGATGAGCACCAATGTGCAAGAACCAGCAGCAATTTCTGAACTGGAGCAGAGGAGATGAGCAGAGCAGGGAAGATAGCAAGAACAGCAAAATCTGTCTTAACTTTTTGTGATCAAGAACAGTGACAGAGGTGATAGATTCTGGTGATGTGATGAAGAAGGGGGAATTTTCTGAAGATTTGATGCTGGGAGGAGGAGCAAGGAGAGATTGATTAGCTGAAGGACAGCATGATGGCATCAAGCAACTGAACTCTTCAGAAAAGGCTGAGCTGAGAGGAACTACAGTTATTGGAGAGATAGCTACTGGTGACCTGAAAAAAATGATGTGTGCCAAATTGACCAATCTTTTACTACAGGGATCTATCTGACCACTAATTCATTTCATCCCAAAGCAAGAAAGCACTGGATGCCAATGACTGCAGCAGCAGAAACATCTCCAGATTTGCTTCTTTCCTTCAAGAACTGGCAACATGAGAGAAGAAAACAAAAATTATAGTAGTATCAGGTTAGAGACCAAAGCATCACTTGTGTACCAAGATTTGTAGCACTATCACTAAACTACAGTACTTGCAAGAAACCTCACCTTGTTATCAGTCACTGAGAAAACATAACTACTGAAGATGAACAGTGCATTGGATAGGTCAAGGAGATGAAATGCCAGCGAGTGAAATGAAATGTGGCCAAATAATATATGTTTTTTGGGGGTTTGTGAGGGAATCATATGCTTAGTGTCGTCTACTACTGCCCTACTGTCGCTGAGCAAGTGAGCATCACGGGGTGGCACAAATATGAGGCAAAGAGACAAGGGTCTCTCCAAAAGATTGAGCTGGAAAATGGAGGTTGGCATAAGGACATTCAGATGGGAGCCCAGTGCACTCTTTTCCTTCCATTGTCCCCTTTATAATTATTCAGAACTTGAATTATGATAGGAAAATAATGGTTAACTTTCTTTTACTTGTAATTATGCCCTTTTTGTGATAACATTCTTTGCCTGTGCTTTTTTTTTCTTCTCTTTTTTCATTCTTAAGATTTGCTAAAGCAAGACTACAAGAGTGTAACAAACCTGTTGTTTTCACCTTCCAGGAAGGAAAGAAAAAACACAACTTTTGTTTTCTGGTAGGTCAATGTTTGCAGTGCAATCAATAGACATACAATTTGTGAGGTGGTGGTAGAGCACAACACCTTATCACATTGTATGCTCTACAGTTGCTTCATTTATTATATTACTTTGATCTGGTGTTTAGAACATGTTGTGGTTTCTTTTGCTTTATTCCCTTACTTAAGCGACAGAGAGAATACTAAGTATGCATACTATTTGGTGTCAATTAATCTATACACAATGTTTAGAATACGCATAAATCATCTCAAGATTGATGAGTTTATTTACCAAATGAGTGTATAATGTGCTAAAACTCTCTTCTAATTACTATACATTTTATCAAATATTTATCAAGATCTGTAGTGGTTACATATCCATTTTATTTTCATTCTACCTATGATTTGACTTAATCCATTTTTTCTCTCCTTTGCTGCCTTTTCCTTTGCTTTACTTAAAGCAGGCAAGACAATGGAAGCATCGCTTTCTCTTAGGTGTCAAACATGCACCAACCTCTCCTTTCATGGGCTAAGAACATTCCATAAAAAAATATGAACAAATATAGCTCTTGTTTATTTCCCAACTTTTTTTTCAAACTTCCAACTTTTTCATCACATCAAAACTTTCCTACACACATAAACTTCTAACTTTTTTCTTCGAACTTCCAATTTTAGCGTGGAACTAAACACAACCACAGTATAAAATTAGCTACTATCTGGCAATCTGCATTGCAAAATGTACTGTGCCCAGTGAAAAATTGGGAATCTGATATATATTCATCAATGCATGAGTGTTCCCACATTTGACTTGGATGAATGTTTGTCAGGGTGTGGGCCCCACTTTACTCACTGTAGCCTTGGAAAAATTATTAAATGATATATTCCCCAACCACCTTTGGGCAACTTGGCTAACAGTAAACCATTACAATGGTACTGAGGGCCTGCTTGGTTTCTAGAGACTTATTCCAAGTCCCTGTCACATCGGATGTTTGGACACTAATTTAGAGTATTAAACATACACTAATTACAAAACCTATTCCATAACCTTGGACTAATTCGCGAGACGAATCTTTTGAGTCTAATTACGCCATGATTTTGACAATGTGATGCTACAGTAAACTTTTGATAATTATGGATTAATTAGGCTTAAAAAATTCGTCTCGCGGATTAGCTCTCATTTATGAAATTAGTTTTTTTACTAGTCTAGGTTTAATACTCCAAATTAGCGTCCAAACATCCGATATGACATGGGCTAAAAAGTTTTAGCCCCATCTAAACACCCCCGAATGAAATGTCCCATTAGAACACACACTTTATGTGAGACAAACTGATGGTAACACATGGCTGTAGATGCTCTTGGGGTGATTAGTTAAGATGTTTGCTTGGCCAGATTTCCTAGATTTGTGGTCCACAATATAATATTGACATTCATGTGAGTGTTAAATACAATGTAGATTTATGTGAGCCACATTGTAGGTCGATATTTTTTGTCTCTTTTAAGTCAAAGCAACGAAATATATAACCCTAGAATGTAAAATAAATGAGGAGTGATGAAGTAACATTTTGACAATTTCAGATATTACATCTTGATATTTCTGTTAAAAAAATGCTCTTCTCATATTTCTCTCAGTGAAAAGGATTAGTTGGCGTTATTCAGGATATTTCGAGCACTTAGTTCCTTCCAAAATACAGAAACTAGAATTTCAGTTTGCCAATAAATATTTTCCTTTTGTTTCAAAAAGGAAAGAAAATTTTCCACTTTACCTTACAAGCCATATACTGTATGTCACATGAGATAATTACTAGTAATTCTTTTTTCATCGGAAAAAGGGTTGCTTTTGGAGAGATACAAAACGGCAGGCAGTAAAAGTGAAGAAGCCCTTTTAACTGACACTAAAAGAATGTGAAGAGAAAGCAGTAACTAGCTCTAATAAAAGAAAGCTTAAAGAAGAATTAATTTGGTCGATAAATGCGAGCGTATGGGATCGAGTGGCGCCACATTACCACGTTGGTGCGTGCGTCTCTATTAGGGTTGGTGGGCAGTTCCTTCGTGCCATCACTCAATTGATTCTTTGCTCCCCTTCTTGATCTGTTCCCAAACTATACTGCCATAACAAAAATTCCTGCAGTTTGATTTGGAAATTTAGGACTTCTTTTACTAATTTTACTAATAAGTTGGTTGAAATTTCAACAATTTTGTAGAAAGGAAAGAATCCTAAGAAAAGTTGGATGACAATTAGGCTCTTTGGATTGTTCTGTACTCACGTGCAGCATTGAGCCAAGGACCATGTGCAGATGTGTGACCTTGAGCTTCTCTTGCATGGGTGGGGTTACTCACTTAGGTCCTGTTTGATTTAGCTTATGATTATTATAATCTGAATTATTAGGAGTAAGCTGAAACAAACAAATAGATTATTATGCTAGATTGTTATAATCTATAAGCCAGATTACTATAATCCAATAATCTCCTCTAGAGGAGCTTTTTCCAGATTATTGAGTGGCTAAAGACCCCACTACCCTTAGATGCCTCTAATAATCCAGAGAAACCAACAACTCGTAGCTTATTTTATATCAGCTTATTATAATCCAGCTTAGAGTAATCTGATTTAATAATCTAGATTACAATAATCTTAAGCTGAAACAAACAGGGCCTTATTTGGATCAGTTGTAGCTTGCCACTTCTTTGAGCTATATCAACTCTGTTTCTTGCGTGATGAATTTTACGATGGTCTCTGCTGGCAGTATACTTTACCTAGATTTTTTGTTTTTTCCTATTTAGTGGACCACATCTATTTATCACATCTATTTATACTACCACTCAATTACATATATAAAAAAAGCTATATCGATGTTATTAAGAAGAAAGGTGAGTGTGTATGTGAAGATTTGGACGCAGGCCTTCGGGCGAACAACGGCAACCCCTGCCCACCACGCTACGGTGCAATTCTCTACCACCTTAATACTTAGAATACGTATTAGTAGAGACCACCATAAAATTACCCTTCTTTATATCCTCTTAACTTGGGGTTACCATTATGTTGAGCACAATTAATGGCATGCCCTCATGATGCTTATATCAAGGATAGACATGAAGTGAATTGGCCTTAATGCCCAAGAGCTCCAAATGGAGTCCCTCGTGGTGGTGGTGCCATACACCCTTCGTCTCCGAATGATGAATCTTTTATGGTGGTGCCATCTCCTTCACCTCCAAATGATGATAATTCCTGCAACAGAATTGCAGTACACTTGTGCATCTCAAAGGTTTCAATCATGCATTTATTCAGCAACTGTGAATTGCTGCCGTCGCTGAAGGAGACAGTGGAGCTGCACTATGCAAATAGCTAGTACATTCATCATCCATAATTCTGCTCAAAATAAATAAAAAATGGAAAATAAGGTGGGGAAAAAAGGTTCTGTTACTGCTGCTGTTAGCTTTTTTTTTTCTCTCAAGATGCATGTAGCTACTGTATACTGTTCCATATGGTTGGTGCCAGCCACTCTTAATTTGATTAGAGAGCACAGTAACAGTGACATGTCAAGAAAGTCAGTAGCACAATAGAAACTTATATTAGTTCACATGAAAAATATAGGTCATTATGATGTGTCCTGTGTTTGGAATGGTACATAATTGCATATGCTAAATTTCATCCGAAATCGCCACAGTGCAGGATGCGCCCCACTACAATTAGGCTCAAGTGTTAGGCAAAAAGGTTTCTTAAAAAAAGTGTTATGCAAATTAAATTCAGGTGAATGACAGACAAGTAAATAGGTACTAAAGTTCTGCAAAGCATTTGTAGTTAAGAACTCATGATCAGAAGTTCAGAACTGAATTTTTGGCCAATCAATTGCGTCAGAAATGTACTTCACGATCGTCACTGCAGCTAGCCAAAAATCTGAAAGACTGGAAGGCTCCCAACTAATGTGGATTCTATGCATTTCGAGTACTTTAATTAACGGGAAAACAGCACCCACTTGAAGGTGAAAATTCCTCATTCTTGTCAAACCATTGGTAGCCAGCTTAGCTCAGAGAAAGCATCAGCAGGCATCTCATCCTGCTGGGCACAAGAATCTCTGACGACAGTGTGAAGAGTTCATATTAGCAAATAGCAATATTTGTTGCTAGTTGCTACTACTTGCTATCAACTATTTGGCTCTGATTATTCCAGTTTCCAACCAACACAATTAGTCATAAAATTGTACTACTAGATTATTCAGGGTGGGTAGATTTGTCAGCTGTCACTTCACACGGAGGACAATTAGATTAGTGCTAATCAGAGGAGGACACATAGCCACATATACGTACTATCATGTCATGTGAATGAACCATGAATGCATACCAGAGATTCAGAGAATCAGACAGACAGACATGCGTGAGGTGAGGCCAACTGCCAGCGACCATGTAATGTCATCCACTGCAAGCCTGCAAGCTGCAGCAATCACGAATTAATCGAGGTGTTAATCTTGGTTTATGTCGGTGATTAGTTCCCTTGGTTAATGTGCTCTGCAGCTGGGCGGTGAGGAGCCTGGCTGGGCCAGAGAGCGATGCGGCTCGAGCTCTCCCTGGCCTGGTTGAATCCATGGAAGCCAAGGGTATTTCAGGCAGGTGATATGTAAAAACGTGGTAAAATTATTTTAGTTTGAAAGAAATGACCGAAATGGCATTCAAGCGTACATATCCTAGTTCAGAATTGCAAACTATCGAAACTCATTTGGGAGAGATATTTCGACGAAGCCAACTTCTAACGATTGCATATATCCAAATTTCTCGCTAGGAGTGGCTGTGTTAGATGCATGGGGTTGGGAACCCATCTCCTCCGCATGAAAAACGGAACGGTTCATTACTACATGATTAATTAAGTATTAATTATTTTTTTAAAAAAATAGATCAATATGATTTTTAAAATAAACTTTCATATAGAAACTTTTTTTTAAAAAAAACACACCGTTTATTAGTTTGAAAAAGTGCACGCGAAGTAGGAGGAAGAGGGGTTCAGTTTGAAAAACGTGCACGCGAAGTGGGCAACAATTACAAACTACCGAAACTCATTTTGAGGTGATATTTCGGCGAAACCAACTTTTAGTTAACGATTGCATATATTCAAATTTCTCCCTAAGGAGAACATAATAGTCATGGCACTTGGCAGCTGGTCTGTTGAGAAGGGCGGCGGCGAGTGGGTGAAGTCGGTATGTAGTAGCCAAGTAAGGACTGGTTTGCATACATTCGATGGTTAGCACTTATCAGGGGTGTAAATGTATACATTTGATAACCGCCAGGGGTTTAAATGTATATACATTTCGACCAGCACCAATGGCATAGGTCGAAATAGGGGTTGATACATATAAATTTAATTATTTACCCTAAATTTAAACCGTGATCAATGATGGAGGCAAGTAGGAGTTGATTTGCATGAATTCGGTCAGCTGACAGTAATGAGATTCTGAGATGGGTCCTATTTGCACAATTTCAATTTAGCTGTATGGCTTAGCTTCCCCAACCAAAATTTGGTAGGGTAGAGATGAGAAAGATGTGTTCTAGTTTAATATCAAATTATGATTTGTGAGTTGAATAGATAGATACGAGTACTAAAACATGCTTATTGTAGTATCCTAATGAAGTGTCACCAAATTTCTACTATAGTGTTACGAATTTTGTTAGTAGCATAGCAAACCAAACTAACACTCAGTACATATATAGACAAGTATTATACTGTCACCAAATTTTAGTAGCATAGCAAACCAAACTAGTACCCAGGCAAGTATTTGGTAACCAACTAACCAGGCAAGCAGCCAAACACATAGACATTGACGTGACAGTTATCAACTTCTAATCCCAGTTTGCATTGTATAGACTACTCGTCAAGCTTAATGACAAGGTAAACAAGCTCTCTGAATATGAACATTTAATTATCTTAGCCTTTCCAGTCAAGCAAATACATGAACAAACTAGGCACCAAGCTTATTTTCTGGAACCTGCTGTGCCTGTCCAGAACAAAAAATATTTTTGGAGATACTTAAGATGTAGGCAGAACAATTCTAAGAAGCATGAATCAAGCAAGCAAAGCAATTGACGAGCTCAAGTTAATTATGCTGGATATCAAAAAACACAAGACGAGTAGTCGAGTACAACAGCTATCAGGACACACGATGAAACAGGCTATCCAAGTCCCTAACTCTTAACATCTACGTACAGTCCCCTCGCATAGAAACAAGAGTGCTCCACTGATAATAAAAGGATTAATATCTCTTCTCTGAGCTGATACCGCAAGAAAACTACTTGTAACCCCAATATGAGATAGAACAGTGAAGCAAAGGTGGCACCGGTGAATCTTCCATAGTTGGTATAGCAAGAACAACCTGTGAAGGAGAGAACGAAGAGTCAGTATAAATCACAGTGAAATATGTGCAAAATCAGGTGCAATGAAAGGCTACAAATGTATATTTCCTGAAAAGGGTTGTGATGCAAAGTCATGAAAATAATAACATTGCCATAACATGGACTCAAAACTCAATGATCTCTGAGACTCTGTGTGGTAGCTCTGCTGTTCAGTTAAAAGTAACATACAACTTCGAATTGAATTTGACTACCAGTAATAACGGTATAAACTACTTATAGTTTCATTCTTCAATGGTTACAAGCATTGCATTTCTATAATTTGTATGATCATATAACTCAAAGATTGTCCTCTGAACTATTCTTCTAGAATGGTTGATAACAATAGTAGTCGTGGAATGCAAGGTTTACAGATTAAGCACATCGCACAACCACACAGTACGCCAATCAACTAAAACAAAATTTTCAAAAGCTTGTACCTACAACACTTGTAAGAATCAACAGGGAGTACAACAAATTAGTGATTATTTCTTAATATCATATTTGCTCCAAACAAGCACTACAAATAACATTTAGCAGCAGTGCAGCACAAGGTCAATGACATAGGGGTGTATATTGCAAAACAATTCAACATATGGCCCAGACATAAGCATGTCTAATAATACAAAATGATATGTTTCATTGAATTTAAAACTTCTGTCACCGCTAACTGGCCACTAAAAGAGAAAAGTGCAAGTAAATAATATGAGTGCAAGGTATAAGGCACACAATAACCACAAACCGTGACAGGCTTTACAATGCAACAAACTAGGGAAAAACATACTCCATCCAAACTAGGAAAAAACATACTCCATCCGTCCCAAAATATAAGGGGTTTTGGACGGATGGGTCATCGTAGTACTAGGAAATGTCTCATACATCCAAAATCCCTTATATTTTGGGACGGAGGGAGTAGAAAGAAAATATAATCTACTCATATGAAGTTAACAAAATCTCAAGAGCAAGTGATTAGCAGAACATGTGAATTATACTATGTAACAAAAACATTAGAAACAGGAAGATTCAGAAGACATCATCAACCTATAATTGCAATTTGCAACCTACATCACATAATATGGTTCATCCATCTCAAATGCATAAATCATTAGCACAACATAACCATCTAACAGATTTAAATGCATGAATCATTCAAGTTTACCAGCAAAGCTATTGCGGAGGGTTTTGTCCAGGTTGCTGCGGACCGGGAGGCGGCGGTGGCATCCCAGGCCTGAAGGGCGGAGGCGGCATCCCTGGCCTCATCCCCGGCGGCGGTCCTCCAGGCATCCCAGGCCTCACCTGCGGCGGGCCCATCGGCGGTGGTCCCCTCATGAACGGGCCAGGAGGCGGCGGAGGGCCACCAGGGAACGCCGGTGGCACGCCCGGCGGGCGCTGGAACGGGATCGGCATCTGCGGCGGCCGCATGGGCGGCGGCATCTGCCCCGGCGGCGGGCGCACGACCTGCGGGTACGCGACCGGCGGCGCCGAGAGGTTCGGCATCGGCGGGCGCGAGATCTGCGGCTGCATCATGCCGGGGGCCGGCCCGCCCACGCCACGCACCGGGCCGGCGAGCCCTGGCTGGGCCTGGAGCATCTGCCCCGCGGGGACGCCGCGGCCGGCGGCGCGGCCCACCCCGGGCCCCGCCATCGCCGCGCCGGCGCCGGCGGCCTTGGCGCGGGACTCGTCGGGCGGTGGCGGGCCCTCGACGGTCATGGAGACGACCTCCTCGCCGCGGAGCAGCAGGAGGCCCAGCGTCCTCCGCTCCTCGCGCTCGCCGGTGGTCTTGGAGGACTTGGAGGGCGGGAGCTTGCGGAACTCCTCGCAGTCGCCGAGGACGAGGTTCATGTGGCGGTCGAACGCCATGAACTTGCCGACCAGCTGGCGCCCGTCCTGGATCGTCACGCGCATCCGGTAGTTGACGAACTGGAGCATCTTGGAGCCCTTCGGGTTCGACATGGCGGCCGGCGGCGGCTAGGGTTAGGGTTTCGGCGGCGAGGCGGAAGAGGTGGGGGAGGAGGAGGAGGTTTTCGAAGGGGTTTGAGTTGGCGTCGGTGTCTCGGGTTGGGTTGGGTGTGGAGGAAGAGGTGGGAGTCGTGGGCTTTGTGGGCGTTAGTCGGTTGGTTATGGGCCAAAAAGCTCATGGGCTTTAGATGACCTAACTGGGCGTTGGGAAGGGCTTTTTGGACGATGGGTTTCCCCTTTGGAATAAGTCCACTTTGACTCCCTAAACTGGTAACCGAATCAGATTCGTATCCCTGAACGACAATTCCAGATGTCTGGACCCCTAACTATTAAAACCGGTGCAATTTGACTCCTTTTATGGTTTTAGAGGGCGGTATCGCTGACGTGGCGCCTACGTGACGGTATTCACCCGTTTTTGCTCCACGTGGTGTTAAGGTGGCATTCGAATTAAAAAATATGTGGAACCTATTTGTCATTAAAAAATATATCATGTAACCCACTGACATACGGGGCCTTCTCTCGTTCTCTCCCCTCCACCGTGTCCCTTCTCCTTCATCGTCGCTTCCTTCTCCCTCCCTCTCTCTTTCTCCCGCGGAGGGCGGAGCGGCGGCAGGCAAGCAGAGACGGCGGCGAGCGGCGAAGACGCGGGCATGGCGCGGGGGCCCGCGAGCGGCGGAGACGTGGGAGTGGCGCTGCCATTCACAAATCCACCGCGCCCAAATCAGAAGGAGAGGTAGGTGACGGGAAGAGATGGAAGGTGGAGGCGACGACGGCCATGGACTTCCACGCACTCTCTCCCACCGCGAGCTGCAGGCGATGTGCAAGCGCAACGACGGCCATGCCAACATGACCAACGCCACCATGACCGATGCCCTCCAGTTGCTCCCCTCGGTAAGAATCCCCTGATTGATTGATTGATTGGTTTGTTTGATCTGCCCATTTCGAGAGTTTGGATGATTTTGTGTGGGGTTCTCGTGTATATGTTCGTTGTGTGATTTGGTATGGTGCTGGTGATTGATGAGTTGTGTTGGTTGCGGATTAGGTGGATGGGATCCACAAGATCGACACGACGGCGCTGTGCCTCCCGACGCCGAGCAGGTTGACGATGAAGTCGGCTTTGAAGGCCGCCTCGGCGGTCGGCGAGGAAGAGCAGCAGCAGCACGGGAGCCCACTCCCCCGTGGCCGCCGCGTGTCGGTGAAGTCGCTGGAGGCCATCCAGATGGACTTCGAGGAGGGTGAGGACGAGATGAAGCGGGATCGTGAGGAACGGAACCTGGGCGTGGCGCTGCGTAGTACCAGCCGCCGCGCGAGGGCCACGCCAACGCCAATCCCAACCCCCTGCGACCACTAGGCAGACCGCCGCTGCGCGCAAGGTGGAGAAGGCGGCGCCGACCCCAGCTACTCTGCGGAGGAGCCAGAGGACGGCTGCTCGGAAGGCCGCTTCTCCAGACTTCGGTGCGTGCCGCCGCTCGCCACCGTCTCCGCTTGCCTGCCGCTGCTTCGGCCCTCACCGCCCGCCGCGGGAGAGAGAGAGCGTGGTGGGAGAAAGAAGCGGCGATAAGGGAGAAGGGACAGGAGGGAGGGGAGAGAAAGAAGAGAGATAAGAGCATTTGTAGTGTGTCGTTGAAATAGATGGAGAGAAAAAAAAAAAAACGAACCAACCACATAGTGGGACTGTGGGAGTCGACTGGTACGTGTCAGAGCCGTGTCAGAAAAAAATCGAATTGAGTTTGGAGGTCGAACAGAAGGCATTTAAATAATATTTGTTGGCATGTTACCGTTCTAAAATTAATCGGCTAGCAATGTGATATGATAGAATAAGCATTGATACGAAGGTCAAAGCATGCATCGGCTGGAGGTCCGATGCCATTAAATCCACAAGATTGATTAAACAGTGTAACCTTTGTTGTCATCGGCTAAATCCAACTTATATGTATATACAATCCTTATAAACCGATGCAACGTCCAGATAACTTATCGGCTATCACTCCGATAAAACATTAGCATGAACCTATCGGCTTAACAAGATTTATATTATCAACAACAATCTAGTAGGTCAAACCTAACCGATGCAGCACGAGATTGTATATGATAATCTAATACTCGATGAGCCGATAGATCTATCTAATGTGATGGATATAACAAATCTATTTAGAATAACATTGTGATTGTAGAGATATATTGGCTAAGACAGAAGATCAGACCTAACCGAGACAGTTCCAACTAAACCGATGCGTCTCTAAACACAATACAATTAGAGATAGAATCGAGATATCAGGTAGGCAAATGTATCAACCAAAACAGAGTAATCCAAGAGATCGAAGCGATACAGCCTTGAACAGCACCAACGTAGCAGACAGATTCACCAGGACAGGCGGAACGTAGGACTTACCCCTTCGCCGGAGATCGAACTGAACCGATGCAGCCCCGCGTCAGGTGCCAAATTCCGTCGGATGATAAGTAAAAACATCGGTAAAGAGGGTGGCGATGCGCCGAGAGTAGTTGTATTGATCTAGAGATGATAGATTACAATGACCCCAGGTGTACATATTTATACCCATAGGAAGATACTAGTCCTTGTAGGAGAAGAAAGAAACTTTCCTAAAAATAAAAGAAAAACATAAAGTCCTTATTGGACACTAAACACACTTTCCTAGAGATAAAAGAAAACTAAACCATGCCTAATTAATAGATAACTTGCCATGCCGCATCCTCCTTGGACTCGGACTCTTCTAGATAAGCTTCCTTTAATTGATCCGACTCCATCAAGAACACAACTTCTGGCGACTTGACGACTCCCATCGGGTGATTCCAGTACTCTAAAGTCGATACTGACTCTTAGCCGATGATGACTTCGGACTTACCAAATTTTGGCGTTAACAATGTTCTATCCATGACGTGCATGGAGACCCACCCAGGTTCATGAAAAAGGCCCCCAAATATCCATCATCTAACTCTCTGCCACCGTACACGAGAAAAATAACATATGTAATTTGGATTTCCTATCGCAACACACGAGCATCTTTGCTATTCTTAAAAGAAAGAGAAATGAGAGAGATGAAAGGAAATGGTTCACTTGAGGTCCCTTGTCGTCGAGTTTCAAAATTGTCCCTGAACTGAAATACCAGATATAACAGAGCCGTAATCTTATAAAACCAGGTCACATTAGGTCCCAAGGCACTATTGCTCCCCGGTTTTGGTGACGTGGTGGCTGAGTCAGCATGGGGCCCATGTGGGTCCCACATGTCAACCGATAATCTTCTCGACCTACACGGCAAAGAGCGCGAAGAAGCGAAGTAGGAAGGGCTCCTGACACGTCGTCCTCTCAGGTTACACTACCACATCGTTGCGTGGCAGCTCACCACGCCCGCATCATGGTCGCATGTCAGCCACACGTCGAGATTGGTAGAGGATCTCCAAGAGTTGGGAGATGGAGTACGTTGCGACGCCTGAGCATAGTTGCGAGCACCACTGACTCCATGAGTGTCCGTGCATGCACACGAAGAGGATGCCAGACGCTGAATCGCGGGAGAGGTGTGTGGTGGCCGGTGACCAGCAGGGATAAGGGTGGCGGTTGTTGGGTGGCGGCGGTAGGTAGAAGCTCAACGACGGCGCCTAGAGATGGGTGGGGAGAAGGCTGGTAGCCAACAAGAAGCTTGGCAGTGGCGAGCGGCGGGGAGAATGGCGCATGCATTGGGGACGATGCGACCACAATATGGTGTAGATGGAGTTGACCTCGAAGATGATGCGACGGAACCACGCGTGCGCCTCTGCAGACAAGAGGTAGAGCTCGGGGACACCTGAACACATCGGCTTTTGAGCAGCTTGACCCGGGGCGGGGGGGGGGGGACTATGAGCTTGGGGGATAGGAGCTTAGTCAGCGTGACAAGGCAGAAGCCCCAGCCCTCGCGCGTGCAAGTGAAGACGACATTGCAATTGTAGTTGGGACCCGCGCCGCACTCCCCGCGCGCGCAAGTCTATGATGTGAGCGCTCCCGACCGTTGGGAGCCACGTCAGCCGATGGCCTCCGCCGTCGAGCTTTTCCCCACCGACCAACTATGTTACCCAGATACGGGGATACGGATACGGATACGCGATACGTCGATACGGGGATACACCATTTTCCAGAAAATATAGATACGGGGATACGCCCATATATATTTATATATAAGAAAATTATTAATTCTTGAAAGAAAATAGCCGATTACAACGTAGCAATCTTTTGTAATGATCTCTTGTAGTTGATTCAGGTGGAGACTAGTTGAGAAATAGCACCAGCAGTAAACAGATATCCATCGATTAAAAAAACTCAGTGTATTTCAGCATACTCTGACTTTTCTACTTCTTCTCTAACACTTAAACATATCACCACATCCCACAACGGCTTCTTCTCACTATCATTTGGATGAATGATGAATTTGCTGCTAGATTAGCAACCGCGCTAGCTCTAGATGCATTGACACTTCTAGTCACAATAATCATCAGATCTATAAAATATATATATACTCAAGCATCGAAGAGGCCAACAAGAAAACAGGAAAGGGGAACAAGAATAGATAAAATCACATGCAGACTCAAGCATCGAAGAGGCCAACAAGTCAATCGTTCAATGGAACTTGCCTAACTGGGGAACGAAGGAATCAAGTCAGTGGCTGCGACGGCGGCGATGTTGTGCCATGTTGGCGTTGCGTCCGGTGGTGGAGGCGATGAATACACCCAGACACAGATATGCATTCAGCGCCTGAAGGCCCGGCATGCAGCTACGGCGCCAGCGGCGTTGCGCTCGGCGTTTGGTGGCGGTGCTGAGTTCGGCCTTCGGCATGGTGGGCGGCGGCGCCGATGATGGGAAAGTGCCGCGAGGTGGTCGGCCTCGGGCGAGAAAAGTGGAGGCAACGCGTTCATCCTTACTAGGGATGAAGCCATACGGACGTATCGAGAACATATCTGATTTATTTTAATTATTCGAAAATTGTGAAAATCGCTGATATGTACGGGATCGCTGATACGTATCGGATAGTATCCGTATCCCTTCACGTATCCGATATGGATACGACGCTTTCTGGACGTATCCAGGTAATGTAGCCGACCAACACCTTTCTCCCCAATCATTAGCGGATGCCCTGAAGGTTTGGATTGAGATGAGAGTAGAGTGGAGTGAGGTGGAAGAAGATTGCCGGTTGACTTGTGAGGTCTACGTTGGACTCAGCCGCCACGTCAACAAAACTGGAAAGCAATCCTAACTTGAGATAAAAGTGATCCGGTTTTAAAATATTAGAGGGTTCAACGACAAGAAAAGGGACCGTAGATGAACTTTTTGGGGAGATGAAAACATTCCAGCCTAGTGCATATGAGTATACGGCAGCAGAGCGCTGCACGACCTCCGTTCCGCCTCCCCAATCCGTCCCCCGTCTCCTCGCCCGCCGCCCTCGACTCCCGTCTTCTCGCCTCCCGCTGGCATCCTGCTAGCAGAGGTGGCGCCGGCGTTCTCCTGCTCCCGCCGCATTCGCTCACCGGTGAGCATCCTAATCCATCCCATCCGGCCTCGGCCTCGAGTTTCGTCTCCTCGCCGCCGCTTGCGCCGATCCCCATCCTGCGAGGAGAGGTGGCGCCCGGCGTCCTCCTGCTTCCACCGCATCGTCGCTCGCCGGTGAGCATCCCTCCCTACCCACACCTCATCAGCTATTCTGCGTTATCCCTCAAAAAAGTTTCGGGGTTCAACCGAAACAGGGTTAGATCTGCCTCTGCCCAGTTCCACCTACTTTCAACTTGTTAATTTTGATTTTTGTTTTTAGCAGATGTAATTTGGTTACTGAATCTCATCCAAACACTCTTAGAATAGTTGCATTAGAACGGAAAATGTAAGCTCACATAATTTGTACTCATCCAAACTCATATAAATTTCTTAAGAAGAATCTATACCACAAACTACTCATAGTCACACAAAATAGCTTTTTATTAAGGTATATTCTTATAAGAAGTTTTTATTCCACAAAATTTTCTAAAAGACATACTGTAACACTTGCAATTAATCTAATTAAACATTTTTTTTCTTTATTAGGTTATAAATTTTCTAAAAGACATTGTGCCACTTGGCATGAATCTAATTTAGCATTCTTTCTTTATCAAGTTATAAATTGAAACCATCAAACTTACTTTGTCTTCCCGTCTCTAAAACATTGTGATATATCTATAATATTTTAATATTTTTGATATTAAAATAAATTTAGACTAATCATATATATATATTTAAATTAGGTAATTAATAAATTCAAATCAACTATACTTTTATATACCAAGTACAAATCTAATAACAATAGAATGTTAGAAACAATGTGAATTCAATTTTTTTTATAAAGTTTAAGTACGATTCATATATAAAATTAAAGAAAAATATAAATTTATATATAAGTGATAACATAATAAAATGCAAGTTAAAATTATTAAAGGAAAAATATTATTAATAATCAATGTTATTGATGTATTTCTAAATATTTTCACGTTATTTTTATTAAATATCAATGAGTAAAACGGATGATTTGCCTTATGACAAAATAATTATTAAAATTGTTTTTATCCGTTGCAATGTACGGATATTTCGCTAGTTTATAGCAAAACAAAAACACACCATATGCACAAACGCCTTTGGCCTTTTGAGAATTCGCAATTCCAGCCGATTTGTAATTTTCAAACCAATTGAATAATACTCCTAAATTGTTTCAGACTAGTACACGACATCCGTATAAAATAATGCCCTACTTGTCGTTCTTTACTTGTCATTCTCCTTTTTCAAACCCATGGCCTACATGTCATCCTCTACAAGGCATTCTCTACTTGTCATTCTCCTTTTTCAAACCCATGGCCTACATGTCATCCTCTACAAGGCCAAAGAAAAGTGAGCAACTCATCCTTCCTTCCCCTTCTTCTCATCTTCAGCGAGGAGCGGAGCAAATCCTCCGCCGCCTCGCGAGCTCCCCCACCGCCTGACCTATCTCCGGTCGCTGGAATCCGAGATCGGCCTCCTTCTCGAATCCGCCCCCGCCTGTACAGTCGCCGACGGCCGCCCCAGCTGATGGTTCGCCACCGCCCCAGCTGATGGTTCGCCTTCACTGGAATCCGAGCTGCTTGAAGGTGCACCTTTGGCCTTTTGAGAATTCGCAATTCCAGCCGATTTGTAATTTTCAAACCAATTGAATAATACTCCTAAATTGTTTCAGACTAGTACACGACATCCGTATAAAATAATGCCCTACTTGTCATTCTCTACTTGCCATTCTCCTTTTTCAAACCCATGGCCTACATGTCATCCTCTACAAGGCCAAAGAAAAGTGAGCAACTCATCCTTCCTTCCCCTTCTTCTCATCTTCGGCGAGGAGCGGAGCAAATCCTCCGCCGCCTCGTGAGCTCCCCCACCGCCTGACCTATCTCCGGTCGCTGGAATCCGAGATTGGCCTCCTTCTCGAATCCGCCCCCGCCTGTGCAGTCACCGACGGCCACCCCAGCTGATGGTTCGCCTTCACTGGAATCCGAGCTGCTTGAAGGTGCTCCCGTTGGTATACCTTCTTGCTTGGTTACTGTTTTGAGGGTGGCTCTTCATTGGTGGTTGCTGTAGAATGTTCGTGCTGCTTAGAAATTGGATATGAATTTACTGAATTACCGATCCGGGTAGTTCGGCTTGATGGCATATTAGGTTTGGTGTTATGTTTATGTAGATCCAGCTACTGAAAATCTAGTTGAGTGACTGCGTGGTGGGTGTAGATCATACCATCTCCCCCAATCCCCTTTTAAAGAAGTGACAGTATTCGATTCCAAATAAGCAAAGCAAGTAGTTGTCTTTTCCTGTCAGTTCTAATCGATTCATCGAGGAGAAAATAATCTTTGATTTTGTGACGATTCCAGCTTCAGAGGATTATAGTGTCTGCTTCATTCGGAGGTTCATCGTCGCCAAAAATAAATAAAATTTGGCCGTGTCAACTCTACAATTAGGAAGGTTTCGGATTTCTCAACGTGGAATGATAAGAAATGGCATACAGAGCAATGCTGCAAAGTGCTGCGGAGTCTGCTATACAGTCCATTGGTCTTGGTTACGACATTGCTCATGATATACGTCTCAAGTATTGCAAGCAGCGCAGTTCGCCTGACCCGTTGCTCATTGAGCTTGACCATGACGAGGTTCAGGATATTGTGCTCCCTGGTGGACTGACAGTTGCAGGCGTGTCCAAGTCGATTAAGTGTGACAAAGGGGAGCGGACGCGGTTCCGGTCCGATGTCCTGTCATTTCAGCAGGTACGTATCATATGCCCAATTCATATCTTGTGTATACTGCATATTGCCATGTTTAAGACTGAGAAATATATCGTAAGATGCTGTGTAAATGTATGCTACTATGATGTAACAATAATCATGATGAATCCCTTGCTATCTTGATCTAAGAGGTTAATATGATAGCATTCATAGTTCCAACTTCCATGATACCTCCAAAGTAATATAACCTTTTGCAATTCTATAAATTAATAGAAAATAGGATTATTATTTATTGTAATTAGGAGAATTTCTCCAGCAAGAAAATAGAGTAGGAACACAAGTTAATTCAGTATCTCAGAATTACTTGATATGGATGGTTTCAACAATTTGAATTATTAGCAACATAGACTTTAATCTACCTTGTATTCTAAGTAGATTTGGCATAATTTGAGGCCTGCAGAAGTGCAGAGATGCGAGCTCCCTACAAAATGATAATTCCACACTTGCAGTGTCCGTACTAGAGGTTTATAGAGACACACTTCCGTTGTGACATCTCAAGTTTTGACAGTTACCAGAGCAGAGTTATTTTTGCTCAATTGCATGGCTAGACGTTTAGTCAAAACTGTAGGATTCTATCCGGTTTGCTGGTTGCGTGCATTTTTTGGCATGTGGCACTATTCAACGCCACCTATCTCAGGCCACAGTTATCTGACTCAGGTGTTGTGGCACATGAATCAATTAGACTCTGCAATCCAATGTTTTTTCTGTTCCAATTCAGTATGATTCTGTAGTGATATCTCATATAACTGCAATATATGTCACGCAAGCAATTCCTATATACCTTGTTCATAACTGTTCTATGTTTGCCAACTGATGAGCTGTGAACTGATGTACCATTGCTGGCTGAACATTATGTCTCAATGATACAAGTCTTTGTCCATGTCATGCTTCTTTTCCTCTTCAGCTGTCATGGAAGCCGCTTTAAGTCGCAGAGTATAATTACATCTATAAAAGGTAATATTTGTGTTCCTGAAGTTGTGAAGCATTTTGCAGATGTCGGAGCAATTCAACCAGGAATTATCTTTGTCTGGGAAAATTCCATCTGGTTTATTCAATACTATGTTTGAATTTACTGGCTGCTGGCAGAAAGATGCTGCTAATACCAAGTCACTTGCCTTTGATGGTTGGTGTATCACACTGTACACTGTTGCACTCTCAAAGGCACAGATTGTACTCCGGGATCATGTTAAGCAGGCTGTTCCATCAACATGGGAACCTGCTGCATTAGCAAGGTTAGATTCAATTTGAGTCCACGCTCCATGTGGTGATTTAAATTCTGAATGAAAAGTTGAAAACTTAGTATTTATATCCTTCAGAAAAATCACATTAGGTTTAGTTTTTATGTTCTGAAATTTTCAGAACTGTTCTGAGTGCTCATTTTTCGTTGGTAGGCTGGAAGTGCTCATGCCTAATAAGTTGCTTTGTAATGCCATTTTTAGGCCTTACTAATTTATTGTGATCACTGATAAATAACATCAGTTTGCTTTCTACAGTTAGTATTTGACCTATTCTACCAATGAATGAAGACTATGCACATCAAAACAAGTGCTGAACTAAAATTTTGTTTGATCTTGTTTGAGAACAACGTACTTTACTCTTACAGGTTTATTAGAAAGTTTGGTACTCATGTAGTTGTTGGTATAAAAATGGGAGGCAAGGATATAATTTATTTAAAACAACAGCATTCATCAACTTTGCAAGCTGTTGATGTTCAAAAACGATTGAAGGAGATGTCAGACCGAAGATTTCTTGATGCAAACGGGCAATCTGACTTCAGTTTCAAGGATTCCTATGGAAAGGATAAGGTGATTCCTCAGCGTCTAAATTTTTTCTGCCTTCTTTTCTCATGGCATGATTTTTATTCGGCATCAGTGATCAGCATTAACTGCTGTATTTTTTTATAAGCATCCTTGTAGCCCTCTCAATAGTTAAGAGCATGTTGTGTAAAGATCCTTTTTGTTGAACACATCTCATTGTCTCACCATATGTATAATTTTCTTCTATAGTGGAAATGTGGCTTTTCACCAGTTGAAATTAGTGTTACCATTTATTTGATACTATTATCAGAAACTTATATCGTTGATTGGCGCCACATTATTTTGAGTTTACAACTTTTAAAGATTTGAAGTAAGAAATTGGCATATGCATGTGCTATGTTCTATGAGGCTGCATAGCCAAGGAGTATCTTGGGTTTAGCGATACAGTTATACCATTTCACAATTATTCTCAATCTCGATCTCTGTAAGTCTGTATATGTAGGTTAATTGGAATTTAATAATAGATTTACTGTTCTCTGGCAGACTGGCAGTACCATTTTTGTACGAAATATGTTGGTTTTGCATCAATTCCTATTCCCTTTTTTTTTCTCTTCTAAAATTTACAATCTTAGTTTTTCTGTGCTGTTCAGATTGACACAAGAGAGCATCGGCTGAGATTTGTGGACTCCAGTCCATTGAATTCTTACTCTTCAAAGGAGGTATAGTTCTTTTGTGTTGATGCATTTATCTTTGTTCACATTCATATCGGTAAGTTGTGGTTGTGCCACTCAGGATTTGGTGATGATGCCTAAGCGGAGAGGTGGAAGGGATAAAGATATCCTTTCTCACAGCGAGTGGCTGAATACTGTTCAGGCAGAACCTGATGTTATCTCAATGTCCTTCATACCTATTACTTCACTGTTGAATGGAGTTCCTGGCTGTGGATTTTTAAACCATGCAATTAATCTGTACCTTCGATGTAAGTCGAGTTTTCCACTCTACCTCTTTGTTAGTTAACATGAAACTGCATCTGCAATTATGACTAATAATAAGAGAGCCTGGATCTTCATCCTCAGTGGTTTACTTTTGCTTTGCACTTCTGTTATTGGCATAATTGCAGCTTGCTTATTCATGGTTTATAATTGACGGTAGTGTCTAGAGTTAAGAAAAGACGATTATGGCACGCTAATGTCAAGTACTGTCTGTTTTTCAATATGGCAGGATTTAATGTTATCTGTAGGCTGTTTGAAATTTGAACCTGGACCCTATCCACCTCAAATGGTCAAACATGTAGAAAGAGGGTTGACTGGCTTCTCTTTCATATACTAAAAATAGTAGTCGATGTTGTTTACTAATTCTAATAAAAGAAGGTGCTGCTGGAGAATAGATTATGTAATATTTCTATATTTCATAGCTTTGTTCACCGACTGTGCTTCCTATATTTTCTTCTGTGGCGTGTGAAATAATACCCAATTTAGTATGGTGTCACATCATCAGCTAGTCAGCTTGCATTTGCATGGCTCTCTTCCCCCTGTGGTAGTTCTCATCTTTAGTATGGCTGCAAAGCAGGTGTTCTCTAGTAATGAGCTTCAGAGGAAAAAAAATGTACTTCCAATTGAGTTGGATCTTTTTAGGTTATGGGTCACTGTCGTATCATGGCATACAGACAATCATTCTAGCTAGGAAAAAGATGGCATTAGGCCTGAAACAACACAAGCAACTGTGTGACATGTGTAAGTTCTGTGCAGATAAGCCTCAAATTGAAGAGCTGCACCAATTTTTGGAGTTCCAGCTTCCAAGGCAGTGGGCTCCTGTTTACAGTGACCTCCCTCTTGGTCCTCAGAGGAAAAGACAAAGCACTGTATCTTTACCAGTTAATTTAATTGGTCCAAAGCTTTATGTTTGTACCAACATGGTATGTATCTTTTTTTTGTTATCATAATTGAAACCTCCCTTGTTTATATATTTCTTTTGTTTTATCCTTGCATACTTATATCATAATTATTGTAGTCTTGTACTCACTATAACACTAAGTCAGGATAGGCTAGCTCTAGAAGCATTTGATAATGATGAGTTAATGATGATGGTGGTGATAGTGTTATTTGACTTTTGCATATTTAGAGTCTGCATTGATAACCTTGACATTTTTATCTGTAAAAACTGCAAAATTGAGTTTTCATGCAAGTTTGCCAATTGCACTATATGAAAAATCTACTCTAACAAGCCTGAAAAATGCTGTAACCTTTTTTACTGGATGTAATCTTATCATTTAAGCAGTATTCGATGATGGTTTTTTCCTTTTTTTTCTTCTATCACTCGATTTATTTTAAAACAAATTGGCACAGGTTGATGTGGGCAAAAGACCTGTTACAGGAATCCGGCTGTTTCTTGAAGGAAAAAGGAGCAACAAACTAGCTATCCATCTCCAGCATCTCTGCTCTCTTCCTCAGATTCTTCAGCTTGAAGATGATCCTTACAATGACCAAACTCCAGAAGCATATGACCGCAAGTACTACGAACCAATTGGCTCATGGAAGCGTTTCTCCCATGTCTGCACTGCACCAGTTGAATCAGATGACTCCTCCATTGTCACGGGGGCACAATTAGAAGTGGTTAGCCATGGCTTCAAGAAAATACTGTTCCTTCGCCTCCATTTCTCCAAGGTCTGCAACGCCACTTCCGTCAGGAACCCTGAGTGGGAAGGATCTCCAAACCTGGCTCAGAAATCGGGCCTCATCTCAACACTCATCAGCACACATTTCTCCACAGCAGCTCAAAAGCCCGCGCCTCGCCCTGCTGATGTGAACATCAACTCGGCAGTGTACCCTGGTGGACCCCCTGTTCCAGTGCAGACCCCAAAACTTCTCAAGTTTGTGGATCCAACAGAGATGATGCGTGGACCGCAGGATCTGCCAGGTTATTGGGTGGTCTCAGGTGCGAAGCTGCAGCTCGAGAGGGGCAAGATCTCGCTGCGGGTGAAGTACTCGCTCTTGACAGCAATGTTGCCTGACGACGATGAGTTTGCGTTCGATGAAGAGTTTTAGAACCATGAAACCGAGCGAAGAAAAGAAACCCACCTCATTTTGTTTTTATCATTTATGTGCAGCTAACAGCAGGAACTCGAATGCTCAATCTAGGATTTTCGTAGCATTTGTAAGTGAACTAGCTGGAAGTCTATGTTGTATACAGTTGCGGGTTTGAAACATGGAAGCAGAAATGAACGGTCTCTGGCTTGGATGACGCGAGAGTTTGTTGTACTTGTAACAATGTACCATCCCTTCGCAGCATCTGTTCCAGATGACTAAGGATAGATGATCACTAGAGGCTGGGGCGAGCCAAGCCGCGCCGCCTGCATACAACTCGGTTGATTAGGTTAAATTATTTGCTTTCAGACTAAATCAGTGATTGTCTAAGACAACCAAGAAAGGACTATTCTTTCTTGAGCAAAGTTGTAGGCACATGAATCGAACAGCATACACAGGTTACCCATTGATGAGTAATTTAATAGAAATGGTGCTAAAGATTCTGATGAGAACAAAGCTCTCACCCACCATTACAAATTTACAATCCTAAAGATTATGCACACTGATGCATATAAAAAATAAAATCAGAGTTTTACACGATAAATGCACTGATGTATATGTAAAATAAAATCAGAGTTTTACACAATAATGAGATAAACTGATGAAAATTTGCTACGAGGAGATTCACTCTACTCTTGCAAACCTTATGTCACAACTTGAACTTGGTCAGGAGGGTCAGGTCCTGCTTTCCTTTGATGAGCACAAAACATAGATAAATCATCTGAGGGACCAGGTTATTTTATTTCTAGTTTATTATCTGTGAACTTTGTACAGGCATAGCAGTCGAAGCACAAAAGAAGCTTCCGAAGAAAATCCAACCATAAGCTCGTTGCTTGGTGATATTTCGAAAATCATACAAGGCGCTCTCCACAAACTACTCTTGCGGGCATACATAAATTTCTGTCACACAGCAGTCTCAAACTATGAAGCATACATATGGCTTTGTCATGTTGAAAACATAATAAACCATTCATTATGGACATGAAATGGTTGTCATCGACGAACAAATATTACCCAAATCAACATTTTCTAGAAATATATTACTGTGAAAGAGAGCATGATAGGATTATGTAAATAAGCCAAAATATATTCCAGAGAGTGCGATGGAGAGGGATATACCTGATAAATATATTTTAGAGTGCGATGGAGAGAGATATACCTAATGGTATCCTCTGGTAGATTAAGATGACTCTCAATGTAACGTGGTACTACTCCATGTTCACCATTTCTGTAAAACATCAAATTAGTGTACTATCTAAAGACCATGTCAAAACATTGACAATACTAAACTCCAAAAGCCTATCAAATACATCATGATGGGCACACTGGAATTGAACCCTAGCATAAAGGCAGTGAACTTTAGATGCAACCAAAAAAATGGAAAAACTATGTATTTTTTATTATAAAATTCTTATGTAGAACTGCAAAGCATACAACATACAACAGTCGTGTGAAAGTGCACTTTAAAATGGTCTGCTTAATATGTTTATAAGCTAGCAAATGACATGACCTTGTTTGTCACATGATATTTCAAATCTACATAGGAACATACAAGATATGCTTGGTTAGCTTTTTCTTGTGGTTGATTATTTGAATAAATGCTATAAAAAACTTTGCATATCCATTCAATTGTATAACAAACATGTGAGGGCGAAATAGTGAGATAGGTAAACATCTTACTTCAGAGGACCTGCAAGCAGCCGCTGATTTGAGCAACAGAATGAATATAGTGGTAAAGTGTGAAAACTAAATTGAGCAGCACCCTAGTCACCTGCTAGTAAAAATGTGCTACGTAACTCCAGACATAGAGGAGCGTCGAACTCGATGTTCTATGAGGAACACTGAACTGTTGAAGAAAATTCTCATTTTAATTCCTTCTTTCATATAATTATCCTGCAAAACTAAAGGGCACACAAGTATATATGAGTTCAAATGGATGCAGAAGTGCTTATCACACCCTCTTTGGAGAAAATGGCAGTGTAAAGTATGATTCTACATACTGATTCATGTGCTGTATAAACAAGAAACACTAATAACCAATTTCGCATTTGAAATTAGCAATCCAAAAAAAGCTAACAGAGCAAGGTAAGCAGTCGCAGCTGTAGCACCACAGTAACAACGTTTCTGAGTAGAATGAAAAGGCCGGCCAGCCACCACGAATTTTGTTGAGGACGGATAAGAGCATCCCATCCCCTGGGAGGTATACCCAACAGCAAGCAACATGAGCATACTCTGAACTCTGCTCTAATTTGCTCTTTAAAAATAAAACCCCAATATTTATACAAATTTTATGAGGCAAGTACATGAATTTAAAATGACAAGAAAAACAATTGACAAGTTTTATACCTTAGATTTCACATCAATAATATTACGTATTGCAATTGTATAATATATAACAAATATAGCACATAATTCAGTATGAGTTTATATGTTCTTAAAATTGATCATAGATTGAAGTTGTTGAACAAAAAAAAGTACTAATTGTTCACAGTATGAAACATGTAAAGAATGGAAAATGATAAAATAATACTAAATTATATAATTTAAACCATAACTGTTTGGTAGCTACTGCTCTAAAAAAATAATGATAATCTTATTTTTCACTTGGAAGAAATTCCTCTCAATGAATTATAACTGAACAATCATTCAAGCGTTATTGCCTTGTCTTGTTTCATTTATTTACAGTATCTAACAGTACTACTATCTTTGCTATACAGATTGCCCTACATAATGTTTATTTTTCATACCTATATAACCAAAAATGAGACACCGTAAATAGAAACTAAAAGTACCTCCTAAGAGTGGCTGAATTTACCTTGGTTAATAGGGTTCTGACATAATTATCTGCTGCCTCCTGAAATTTCTCTTCTTCCAGGAAATCAAGGGGTATGCGTTGTTGCAATTAGAGACAATTTTAGATTCACAGCTTCTACAGTGCATGCCCCACTCACCATATATATGGATAGACAACTTGGGATTCAGCAAATTAGTTATTAGTGTTGCAATATAGAACGAATAAATACCACATATATCAAGATACTGTTGTGTGCCCGGAGAACCCAACAATTTAACATGAAGGAACAAAGAAAAAATAAAAACAATTTGAGGTAGTTTACCTTAACAACAGATGACCAACCATATTCTTTTTTAAGTGAGCTATAAAATGTGCATAATCGGTCAACATCATCAGTGGAATACTGACCATTCTCTGAGTATAGACCAAGGCACTTTTGAATAGCTATGAAACACCTGTGTAAAACCAGTGAAAATAAATCATTTCCTAGAGTATTATCAAGAAGGGGTACAATGTAAGTCAGAAGAGTGCTATATACGCAATCCCTGAATATAAGAGAATTCCAAAATTGAGTTGATATTTGCATCTCATATCCCAGTGTTCTGAAATTATTCTGCAACAGCTACACTTTACCTAAATGTTCTTTTTAAGTCATAGAGGAAGATTGTAGCACCAAAAGATGCATCAAACTTATCCTAACACTTAGCCTTACAGCATCACTCCACCTAAAAGATGAGCCCAGTTGGCATGGATGCAGATGGTTCCGAAAGTTTTATGTCCAACTATCTAGGGGGATTAAGCCAACCAATACGCATGCACATGGATGCCTATTGCAGTGACCTTACTTGCACTGAAAGTTTGGGCTCTTGGACGGATGCTTTCTGACATGGTATACTAAGCACCTCCCTTCTTCGCCACTTATTCCGTTATACAAGCCTTAGCAGACAGAAAATTGGTTCATATCAGGCCACATATTTCAGATACCATGCACACTAGGTAAATTCTGAAAAACCAGAGGCTAACCATCCTCACTTATCCTAAAAGGGCAAGCCAAGTCGTTGGTAAGCATGATCACCCCATTGTTTATATGGGACTACTGGGTTTAAACCGGCCACCACCCACCAGGTTAACTAAGAACCCTCCTACAAGCTAAATATAATGGTATAGCTCCCCTGTCCTCCTATGAAGAGCATGTGATATACATATATTAGGCAAAGAGAGAACAAACACAAGAAATAACTTAAATCAATCCCATGCAAAGTTTTGCAACATGGACATTAAATACGTGAAGGACTGAAGGCTCATAATCAATCGTGATAACATGTGATTTTTGCCTCGTGGATAGTTCATGTGGTTGCAGACCAAATTGTTGTCATGATTAACTACAGAATGCAAGTACCGATAAAATTGGTTGAATTAGCCGATTGACAAACACTTTATTTATAAAATAGAGCTAGATTATCATATAACTCATAAACTGGGAGATAGTATTTTACAGAAGTTGCTAAAGCATGCATCATCACAAAATTCTAAATTTAAAAATAACAATAATCTAAAAATCAGATATTATATATACGTCAAAAGGAATAAAAATGGCATGTAAACAACATATTAGCATAAGTCCATGTTGAAATTCAAAACCCATATTCACTGTTTTCAGAGTTTACCAGAAGACCAAAGCAAAGAAATTTAAGTGAGGAAAAAAAAGCAGCACAAGTGTCTCACTTGTAGTTATCAGGATTCATAAAAAGCATGGACCTATATGTTTTCTCAGCCTCCTCAAAGCGGCCAACTTTCAACAAAACGTAGGCCATTTGTTCTTTGAATGATAGCTTGTCAACCTAGAAAAAAAAATAATTATGTGCGCCCATCTGTCTGAGTAATATTTTCCTCTTTACATGATTGAAAAAGATAAGACTTACAATTTTGCTATCCTTTTTCTGCATCTCCTCAAGAGCTCTGTCCAGCATTATGCATTCCTCGAACAATGAAATCTGTGGAACAACAATAGCATTACATAACAAGTAAAGATGATGCGAGTATTCAAAATAACACAAATTCTTTCCACCTAGTTTCCAGAGCATGAAAAGTACTTGTATATAAATAAAAGTGATGGCATAAAATCAGAACATAAGTAAAAAAAAAGAATTCATTCAGAAAGTTAGATTGCTTGAAGAAGAGATAGCCAGCAGCAAGTTTTCAACTAATATGAAGAAGAGAGTGAATATAAATCATCATTCGAACACTTCATATTTACAGACAGCATTATGCAAAATGCAGCGCATAAGTTCTATCGTAACCTTATGCCTAGCATGTAACATATCATGACTTATGTCATCCTTCGAAAAATTGAAAGATGGGTGAAAGGCACCGACATGCATCTAATGCACCAAAAGAAGCAACAAGAAAAATGACACTTTTTTCCGACAACTCGATTCACATAGAGCAATCTGAAGCAAAGAAATTCTAGTAAACAATTAATTTAGGCACAATAAAAAAAATATCATCAGAATTTACTTGTGTTTTTTGGGTATAGTACCTTTGCTGAAAAGACACGATAATTTCCTGGAAGACCATCATGCTACAGCTGTATGTCCTTATTAATTTGGAGAAAACAAGAGAGTAGATTAGGCTGCAGTATTTACTATCTACTATATTGATTAGAACTTTAACACATATAGCCAGATTTGTCATTTGTGATTTGATCCCAAGATGCATATTTATAACTCATAGAAGTAATTAATCTATGTATGGAACACCACCTTATTTCTATTTCGGGAGGGATTATGACCCTATACACATAACTAAATCGATGCAGTTTTAGAGAGAGAGAGAGAGAGAGAGAGAGAGAGATCAATTTGGCGCTAGATCCGGCGGTGGCTGGAGCAGGGTTCACTCTATCGGTTGAGGTGTTTGTATCGGGGGTCACCGAAATCTGAAAATTTCGGTCCGAAGTTTCTAAAATTTTGAGCAAAATTTAGTTGAATTTGAATAAATATTACTCAAATTCATGAAAAAATTAAAAAATTTCGGTCAAAATAATATCGTATCGGAAGTGACCGAAATTTCGGTCCGAAATTTCCAACCCTGGGCTGGAGTCGTCCTGCAAGTAGAACTCGACGATCTCCGACAGGTCGGCGGCGGCAGATTCGTCGTCGTCGTAGGCTCGTATCTCAGCATCCCCTTGTTTCTGGCCGCCTGCAGCCACAGCAGGTGCTCGAACAGCAGTCCGTCCACGGCGACCGCCACCGCGCCGCCGCGGGTCTGCCGCCCGGCCGCCGCGAGGAGGCGCCGCACCTCCACCCTTCGTCGAGCACGTACGGCCGGGTCGATGTGGAACAAGCTCCTCTCCCCCTTCGTCGTATATCCTGAATTTTATTTTTTTTATGCTGACAATCATTTGGAATCGGATTTGTATTCCGAGTTGTTGTAATATTGGAAAGGAATAGATCTCCACTGTCGTCTTACGTGGCTGATTCAGCTTCGGTTTCGGTTCAAGGTGATTGCGCCTCTCCATTTTATAGGGAGGGCCTCAATCCAATCAGTTCGTGCGTCGTCCCCCGTTTTTGAGGAATTTTAACCCTCACATCACCACAGATCAGCCGATCAGATCGATAGCCATCGCCGACATGGCCGGTCGTTTCGTGTTCCGTAAATTAGCCTCTCATTTGTCTTCCGAATCGACCAAGGCTTTTCCCCGGCGCTGCTGAGGTTCGTGTACCACTCCCATCCTACTCCCATCCTTCAATTCAGTTAAGTGTGATTTCTTTAGATAATGAAATTGAATATAAGAGTAGTTACTTATACTTCATATCTTGCATCTCAATCTATGCCTTTTACTAAAGAGTTTAGGACGCTAATTCATAATGTGACAGGATGACATGGCTATTCTGTTTTAAATTATTTGTCGTTTTGGATTTTTCGTAAGTAAAACGTTCCTAACATTGACTAGCTTAACATCTTAAGATTTATGCTTTTAGATTCACCATAAGAAATACTTTCTCCGTTTCACAATGTAAGTCATTGTAGCATTTCCCACATTCATATTGATGTTAATGTATATGTCTAGATTCATTAACATCAATATAAAATATGTCTAGATTTATTAACATCAATATGAATATGGGAAATGCTATAATAACTTACATTGTGAAACGGATGGAGTATATTCACAATATATATTATTCACGTGTTGCCAAACTATATGAATTTTTAGATATTGATTGTCAAAGTTAGGAATGTTTTGATCTAAGACACAGCTAAAACGAAAGTGATTTGAAACGGAGGGACTACTAAACAATGCCAAGACATTATATCTTATATATATTTCATGTACTTGCAAAGAAAAAAACTTGGCTCAATTGCCTGTCCTGATTTGTTATCCTGCCTAATGCAGGCGTCGAGGAACTTCAACACCTTGCCAACAACTGGGCTGTCCTCTGTTCATCACACCAATAATCGCGTGATCAACACCTATGCTTGTGTTAGAGGCGCCAACACAAATGCTTTATTCAGTACAACTGCCAAGGTCGATCGACTTGCCGCAACGTCAGACTTCACTCCGTAAGTATATACTATTAGCACTAATTAATTAATTATCTTCTAGCTATATGTATCGGGTCATGTCCTATTATATATCCATCACTGTGAAACTGCAAAATGTAGAAAGGCACACTAGCACTAGCTGAATCAAGTTTGATGTGAACTCGATCAGAAAAGGTCATCAGTATCTTTTTTATTTACTGTATGTAATTACCCTCTTAAACCAGCTGGAACATTAATTTGACTAGACAAACTGTTGTAAACAAAAATAGCCATTACTGTTTCGCTTTCTTAAACTACACAAATCGGTCAGATAGAATTAATACGTGGCTAGCTAGCATATAGCAAATCGTATTTGTAGAATGATGATTGATTTTAGCCAATTTATCTTTTTTTCCCCTTTGTTCAGGAGGCGACCGATACTTGATAAAGTACTCCATGGCATGATCTTATACTCATATACTATGGGCCTTTGTGGATTGTTTGGTCTATTTCTGTGCATTGATAACAAGCGCGCCGCCCGCCGAAATTCAGGCAGCACCCAATGCTGTTCAAAGCACCAGTGTAGTTCCAATCATGAGGACCAATGAGGAGCTCCAAGTACCCTGAGGCAGTGGTGGTTTGTTATTTCAAGATAACTGAAGCTTTATTGTACTCATGTCAACTACTCTCTCCGTCCAAAAAAAAAAGACAAACCCTGGCTATGTATCTGGACATGCATCATACATGATGCATATATAAGATACATACAACCAATGAGTGTGAGCCTATATATATAAGTGATGTTTACATGTTGTGTATTTTATAAGTGATGTTTACATGTTGTGTATTTTGTTCCATGTCACTGGCCTACGAGTGTATTGAGTGATGTTTGCATGTTGGAAAACTTTGTTCTGATTGACCAAACCGCTAATTATCAAAATTGACCTAATTATGCAGATAACATTTTTCTTTTGAATTTTTATTACTAGATAAAATGTTTATTCAATATATCCTTTTCTTCCAATTTCGCGAGACATTGCCTGGCTGTAATTCACCCCTCCCTCCCTACGCTCTTTTAACTCTTGTGTATTCACTGTTCCTGCTTAATACTTCCTCGATCCGTCCTAAAATTGAAATACAAGGTATTTTAGCTATGTAAAATGCATAGTCCTTTTTATTCTTTCACGAATTTCAAAGTTAATTAACCAAGAAGTTTTTCCCTCAAAAAAAACTAATAATTCAACATAATATTAGAACTTTAACATTTATAGTATCGATAAGAATATCTCGTGCAACGTACGGATTAGCAATTAGCTAGTTATTAGTATAATAATAACTTAAAACTTCAAGAGATAACCAGGAAAATTATTACAATAATACCTCGAGAGAACCTAGGTTTCATGAGCCTGAGAGTTTTCAAAAGTGCCAATCACTTTTCTCATCCATTGGATATGATGACCTAATATGGTTCGTCGCTTCCGTACTTTTTTTTATTTTAAAAAAATGTTTCTTCTTTCTTGGATAACTTTCTCACCCAAACATGAAACACAATTATAATTCAATAAATTTACAAACTTACATGAAAAATATTTAAACTTGGATATAAAAATAAAATCAAGCTTAGATAAAAATAAATTAAAACCATACATGACAACAAATTGCACTTAAAATACATAGCAAGTACTCCGTATAGGTTAAAAATAATTATCGTTTTGAACGAGAACATGATCTTTAAAAAGTAACTTCCATTACTATTTTCTATTATAACTAGCAAAATACCCGTGCTTCACTACGGGTATAATGAAAGGTTAAATGCTATAAATACACAGTTAACATATATGTAATAATGTTTCAAGATGGACAAAACGTCCAATGCAAGGTTAATGATAATCAGGACGGATAAGAAACACTATTGCATATTGATATACTCATATTGTCATAACACACGCTCTCTCTCAACTCTTGCATGGCAAGCGTTTGATAATTTCCAAAATCGAACACGGACTCGCATGGAGACGGATCGTTTCACGGCTCATGCGTGGACTATAGATGGTGCGAACTCTAATATGTTGTGTTTTGCAGACGACGAAAAGAAAAAAAGTAATTATGTTTGATTTTCGAATTTAAAGCTGGTTCATTATAAGATTTCATAATAACTAAATATCTGTTGAAGAAAGAGGTGCAAAACTTTTGATTTTTCAACCATCGGATGTGCATGGTCCGTGCTAGTGGCACTGGATATCTGTTGAAGAAAGAGGTGCAAAACTTTTTTGATTTTTTAACCATCGGATGTGCATGGTCCGTACTAGTGGCACTGAATATCTGTTGAAGAAAGAGGTGCAAAACTTTTTTGATTTTTTAACTATCGGATGTGTATGGTTCGTGCTAGTGGTGGAGAGAAAAAAACTAAATATCTGTTAAGAAAGAGGTGCAAAACTTATTTGATTTTTTAACCATCGGATGTGCATGGTCCGTGCTAGTGTCAGAGAGAAAAAAATTGCGCGCAAATAGGATTTGAGACGTGGGAGGAAAAGTAGACTTATTCCGAGTAATAATAAGCATAAAAGTTTTTGATAGGGTAATCTGGCCTAGGAGAGGGACAACTTTTTTGATTTTTTAACCATTGGATGTGCATGGTCCGTGCTAGTGGCGGAGAGAAAAAATTGCACGAAAATAGAATTTGAGATGTGAGAGGTAAAGTAGACTTATTCTAAGTAATAATAAGTGTAAAAGCTTTTGATAGGGTAATTTGGCCTAGGAGAGGCCCATAGACAGTGCAAATCTATATCTATATCTATATACCAAAAATAAGTAAGGCTTCCGTAAATATTTTCATACGTTATTAAGCGTGGGCCCACATGATATTTCGTCGCTAATCATGATTCGGAAGCTGACAGCGATCTCTTAAGCCCGCAAATAAAAGAGAAAAAAAAAGAGAGAAAGCGCATCCAAAGCAGCCCTGATTTGTGGATTAGGGAGAAATATTGCAACCCATCCAAAGCAACAGCAGGCCGGCCCAGAAAAAAGCAGTCGCAGCCCACCAGCGCGCCCACAGAGCAGAGGAGCTACAGCCCAGCACAATAATGCGTGATACTGTAGCAATCAAGTAGGAATAAAGTTTGGACTCATGCCTACCAGGTATCGGATAAAAAATAGTTCATTTTGTAACTTAAAAACATGTAATCACCACAAAATGAACTATTTACCGACAAAATAAATTATTTTTAAAAATAAAAAACAATCACATGTGTCTTTGTTTTTAAAAACATGTAATCACCAACAAAATAAATCGTGTTTACATCCGGATTTTTTTCCCTCATCAATTTCTCATTCGTCATAGAACATCTAATCACATCACTTTTTTTCCATTCATTGTATGATTTATTCTGTTGTTAAGAGTGAAAGTTATTATGCGATACACCACTTTTTTTTTCTTTCCATTGATTGTATCATTTCCTTCTGATTTTTTTAGTGAGCGATTATGCAATTGGAGTACAGTGAGGTTGATCTGATAGCTAGCGAAAAATATATCTTGTACTATGGCTACTCTTTATAATATGAAAAAACGTTTATCAATACCGAGTACCAAAAAATAATCATGTATTGCAACTGACTCATAATAATACATGAATCTTGTACTATGGCTACTCTTTATAATATGAAAAAACGTTTATCAATACCGAGTACCAAAAAATAATCATGTATTGCAACTGACTCATAATAATACATGACAAAAAAAGTAGCAAATAATTATATCATGTTAGTGTCTTATTTGCTCCCACACACTAATTATTATTATTATTTTTTCTTCACACTAATTATTAGGATGGTGGGAATCGAATCCTGGTGGCCAGGGCGCAAATTTTCTTCACTAACCAAGTAGGCAAACTGCTACTTGTGCTTGGTGGTTACATGAAAGAACACATATTCTATATTAACCGCATTTTGTATTAGATTGGAAAATGTCCGACCGGACTATTAAGGGATTAAAACAGATTTTAGTAATGGGATCAGGATGATGGGCGAAAAAAAGAATATCCGAAACCTTACATATCTTTTTATTAGGTACTAGAAAAAATGCCCGTGCGTTACAACGGATAAAACCTATTTAATCTTATTATTATTATACGGTTTAGCTAAGGTGAAATTTACTATGGGAACTCTTTTTTTTTCAAAATCATGAGCTACAATTAGAAGTCCGATCGTCTCAAGTTAGCATGTGAGTTTTTTTTAAAGAGATGTCTTATACGACTTCTTTTATATTTCTAAAACCGAAAGAACTTAAAAACCAATTCAAACATGGATCTGTATTTCCAAAAGTGAATGAAATTAAAAGCCGACTCAAATACGGATGACATACCAAAGTACCGACAAAAACATCTTCAATTTTTATAATAACTAGAAAAAAGCCCGTGCTTTGCGACGGGTGAAGGCTATTTTAGTTTTATTGTTGTTGTTATACGGTTTAGCTAGGGTGAAAATCATCGTAGGAATTTGCTTGGATCTTTGTTTTAGAAAGTCATGAGTTGTAATTAGGAGTCGACTCTTATCTCAAATTAGCATGAAGTTTTTTTTAAATGATTTCTTATATGGCTCCTTTTGTATTTTCAAAAGCGTCATAAGTTACCATGCAGGTTTTTTTAAAGAGATTTCTTATAAGACGTCTTTTGTATTTCCTAAAGCGAACAAACTTAAAAACCGACTCAAACACAGATCTGTATTTCCAAACCAAACGAACTTAAAAACCGACTCAAACACGGATGACCTACCAAAGTACCGGAAAAAACATCTTAAATTTTTTACAATAGTAGAGACTAGATAAAATGCCCGTGCGTTGCAACGGGTGAAATCTATTTTAATCTTATTATTGTTATATGGTTTAGTTAAGATGAAAAAAAGTTAGCATGCGAGTTTTTTTTAAACGGGTTTCTTATATGATTCCTTCTATATTAAAAAAGTGAAGGATCTTAAAAACCGACTCAAATACGAATATATATTTTCAAAAGCAAACAAACTTAAAAACCGACTCATACGCTTCAATTTTTATAATAGTAGATAGAGATATATAGATATATTGAGAAATATCTACAAATATATGATTTTATTGAAGTACATTTTAAGAGTAATCTACTTAAAATCTATATGTATGGTCTCCATGTTTCTAACACAAATATTTTAGAAGTTATTCATAGTTGAATCGAAGTTTTTAAAGTTTGACATTGATATTGTACAAAACGAATATTATTTTCGAGCAGGAGGGAGAAGGGAGTAGTTTTAGGTGACTGAAAATTTGTAAATCTTTTCAGCCGCATGAAAATCTACCTTATTATAACAATATACTTACAAGTAACATGACAAATTAAATGACATATATAGATAAGCCAAGTGACATGACAAAATGATATAATATAATCAAGCAGCTGCCAACATCCAGCGATCGATCGACTACCTAGCTAGAACCACACGAGCGCCGCCGCAGCCACGGCGCCGGCGACCGCGCCACCGCGGGCCCTGTAGTTGAGCCGCCCGGCGGACGACGACGAAGACGGCGGCGGCGGCGGCGACGCCGGCGCCGGCGCGTTGGGGTCGGCGACGTCGACGACGAGCTTCATGCCCAGCTCGCAGTGGTTGTCGACGTTGCAGAAGAACCACCTCTTGCCGGCCTTGTCGAGCGCCACCGTGTCGTTGCCGGAGTTCCACGTCATCAACGTGTTGCCCTGCCGGTTGCACGCGTGGAACGCTGCGCCGTCCACCTCCGTCACCGTGTGCTTGCCCTTAGTATACGTGAACACTGCGATTATTAATTAAAGAAAACAAAAAGGGTTGGAACCATGCATATAATTCTTTTAAACAAAATGGTATAAGTCAGAAATAAGTATCGAAATAATCGAGAAATGAAAAAGGGAACTATTCGGATGAAAACATGCCGGCATCTATTGGGAATATGTAATTCATGTCAGAATTGTGAAATATAAAATAGAATTTAAAAATTATCATGATGAAATATAAAATAGTATAAATTAGTTCATGCTTATACTATGCAAATTGTGGACAATCTCTCCTTTAACCACATACTCAAAATAATGGTTTAATGCTAGAGTTAATTAAGCACCTGTGCTATGGATGAAGTGGAGTCCTGGGCCAAATGTATATATTGTCACATTTATAAGTACGGTAATGTACCATATTATATAAAACTTTGCCTGAAAAAATGGCAAACCTAAAACTATTTCTGGTTCCATTTCAATTACAAATATAAAACCATTTTCAGATGATTCGGCCCGTAAAAACATTTTTTTAAAAAAATAAAAATTAAAACGACAGTTGGTTGGTCGGAAATTACAGAAAACGTTTTCAACCCCCTAAGTATAAATACCTAGTTTGTCGCCGATTTGGAATGATTTGCCGTCGGCCCAGTTGGTGGAAGGGTACTCGAGAGTCCAGCCATGGCCATCGCCGACGGTGTAATCCGTGGCAGAGACCATCGCCGGGAGCAACGCGACGGCGGAGACGATGGCCAAGAGCAGCACTTGCCGGGAAGCCATTGGTCTTGCGGTTGGAGATAGCTTGCTCGAACTTATATATCAACTTAATTCTGCTTCTAAACAGCTCTTAATTAGTATCAGAGCTTTATTAGCAAGCTGTAGGATTCAATGTCTTGGAGAGAAGAGTGTAAATGATCACATCTATTTATACAGAGGTAAATTAAGATCAATATTATTCCATGACAGGTCGAGATAGCAAGATCGATGTGCAGGTAGCTGACGCAGCAGATGGTATGCTAGCTCCAGGTGGCGCATGATATGGAGGCAATTAATATTAATTAGTTATTTGTCTGTGAAGAGTTCAATTAATTAAATTAATCTTGTGTATGCTTTGGTGCTATCAGTGGCTGGGTGTACGTATTATGGCTGAAGCCAAGGGGAAGAAACGACTGGCACATTGTTGTTTCCCCTAGCTAGTAGCTAACTCGCTCTTTGCTTTTTTTCTTCTTCTTTATTTTCTTTTTTTCTTTTCTTTTTTTTTTTTGCTTGGGTCGACGTTTTCCTGATGAATTAGCTGGGTCAATGGCCGGCTTGATCGGTTGTCAGCAAACCAAGTTACTGATCCAACAGAGATTATTTGTTGTAGAGGGAATTGAATATATATAGGTGGCTGATTCCATTTTAAGTGTCCATGTCTCAGTATATATAGGTGGCTGATTCCAACATGGATACTTGGTGGCATTTGGCAAAATTTATGTGTTTTGTTTTCCATACATTCAACTAGGATAGTATACGTAGTGGTGCCACAATCTTAAAAATAGTCATGAGACTTTTGTTCTGTTTTGGATAGGACAGTACCTATAGAATTAGTGCAAAAAATCTATATGATTTGTCTTAGTTTTTAATTCAGATGGTCATATATCATACGCAATGGTGCTACACTCTTAAAATTAGAAGCCAGGAGACTTTTGTTTCATTTTGGATAGCGTAGTACCTACAGAATTAGTGCTAGAATTTATATGATTTGACTTAAATTTTGATTCAAATGGTCATGTTTTACAAAAGTTGGGGAATTGTTCCATCACTCAATATTGTTTTTCCTTTTCTTTATCAACTCAATGACTTTTGTTTAGAAAAATAGTACAAATTGGTTGCGTGTCTGTTGAAAAAATTCGAAGATGTATCCATTTCCATTATCTAAAGAAAAGTCCTCATGTTTTTTACCAAGCCTGCAGGATATACATAAAGTGAATTGGAATTTCAGTATTCAGGTTTAGAAGTAGGCAAATAATCGTTGCCTGTCATCAATTTCAATTATTACTTGGTTTACTTAAGCAAGGTGAAAATAGTACTGTTAGATCTGTCATCAAAATTACTTTAAACTGGTATGTTTGTCTATCTATCTGTGTATAAATATTTCCAAGAAAAATGAATAGTCAAAACAAATTACAAAAACCAATTTCTTCATATATTAAAAAAACATACACACAGAGAAAACTTCTCTAAAGCTACAATCAATTAATTAATTAAACAAGGCTACAATTAATTAATCAACAAACAAAGGATCGAGGCCTTGTTCTTCGTCATGTATGATCAAGCTGAAGTACGAAACGAGCAGCCAGAGCACACCAACTGCTAGGATGAAGCCACACATGACCTGCACATCTAACCGTTGATCAGCGATGCTTTGCCCTGGATTCGGGTGCACCGTGGAGTAGATCGTCGTGCTCGACGCCAATGCGATCAAGGCGAAGCAGATGACCTGCATGCAATTAAATAATTACTCCTTTCGTTCTAAATTATAGGACGCCCCTCTTTTTAAAAAAAATTAAACTCGGTAACTTTTAACTAATAATCATAATAACTATATCTATATTAAGTATTATGCATGTTATATCACTAGATTCATATTCATATTTTAAAGTACTTTCAGTGATGCTAATTTTATATTTGTTGGGAATATATATACAATAGAATAAAATACTGGTCAAACTATGTTATTGCAGGCCGTGTAAAAAAATATAGGGCATATAATTTGGGACAAAGGAAAAGGAAGTAATAAACTATTGTCATAAACAAGTTAATCCATACATATAATTATCTATATTTGATTATTATTACGAGAAATGCCTAGGGCATTTCTGGTGGCCAGCTCCACAAGGTGGTGGGTTAAACGACCTGAGTTTTAAGCCTCACCACTTCTAATTATTTGATATTAGCTAGGTCATTCCCTAATATTCACTCTTTATTATTATTATTATTATTATTATTATTATTATTATTATTATTATTATTATTATTACTACTACTACTACTTCCTTCGTTTTTCATATTATAAGTTTGATTAAGTTAATAGATAATTAGAAACATTTACAACATCAAATTGGTTTTAATAAAACTAATTTTTAATATATTTTTTATCATATGTTTATTTTGTATCAAACATATTACTATATTCTTCTATAAATTTAATCAAATTTAAAGTTTAACTAGAAAAATAGTCAAAACGATATATTTATAATATGAAACAAGAAGTATTAATTTGATCTATCGTGAAGATAATATACTCCACTGTATATATATGATATACCTTGAAGATGAATAGGACGGTGCGAATAGTTTTGTTCGCCTCACTAGAAGGACGAAGACGAGGCTGAAACGCCGCTGCCGCCGGCAAGATGCGAGGCGGCGCTGCAGCACGGGCTGGCGGCGGCGGAGGTGGCGGCGCGAGGTCCTTGATGACGTGGATGATGAACTCCGGTGAGTGGCCGTCGGAATTCATGGCTGACACACCGACCGATCGAACGAACGAACGAGCGTAAGTGCAAGCAAAAGCAAAATTGAGGATGGTCAATATATATCAGCACGGGATTAAAAACAAATTAGTACTCTCTCCTCCCCTAAATGTTTAACTCCGTTGATTTTTTTAAACATTTTTGACCATTTGTTTTATTCAAAAACTTTTGTAAAATGTGTAAAACTATATGTATGCATAAAAGCATATTTAACAATAAATCAAATGATAGGAAAAGAATTAATAATTACTTAAATTTTTTAATAAGACGAATGGTCAAACATTTTTAAAAAAAGTCAACGGCGTCAAATATTTTGGGATGGAGAGAGTACTTGTATATCCGATTCGGATCTATAGTACTTACAGTGAATCGAATTCCTAGTAGGATTCCTCTAAAATTGGACACACAAGATCGACCGTCCAATCTAAGCGTTATTCCGTCCTCAAACAAACCTCCGTAAAGACATTTTATGCCTCACATAACATGCTTCTTACTTAACAAGTTTCAGGTATTATGTTCTGTATCACAAACAGAACAAACGCAACATAAGGCACCAGAAGCATGCGAAGTATGCATACGCAACCTTCAATTGAATTTTTTGAGAGCTTTCAAAAGAATTTGCAGCAATGAATGTTGTTAACATGCGAAGCGGCCAAAGAAAAAGAAGTCCAATCTGACCATATGAAACTGTGCTGATCTAAAGAAATTGTGTTTTCAAGGTCTTACTAGATACTAAGTTATGTATGTACCTAAAATAAGGGAGTATATGCACCCGAAAGGTTTTCTGCAGCAAATTTGAGCAAACAGCTTTAAGCACTATACCATGGTAATGACCAGCCAATGTGAGAGTACGTGCAGTTGTGGGTAAAAAAAACATTTGCAATACAATATATCCAATTGGATATAGAGGCCGTGTAAAAATTACTCTTCTCTAAAATAAATAAATAAATAAGCCTTTGCAAGTAATATTCACATCGCAATCTTCTCGTTCCTAAATCATACTTGTGAACTGCTAACAACTTTGCTGCCAACGTATCAAAGGCAGATCTCTGAGCTTGATGGATCCAACTCGTCATCACCAACAAGGGTATATCTGTAAATGAAATGAAGCATCGCCTGCAAAGAGTCAGGGTGCGCAGGGGCGAGCAACTGGCGACGATGGTGCGTGGTGGCCGCCGGCGAGCTCTTCCGGCGTTTCTATGAACACGAGACGTACGTGAGCGAGGACGAGCACGTGAACACGACCGTGAGCAGGGGCAAAAACGTCCGGGATAAAATAAATTGGATGAAAAATGATTTAGAAATAGCGAAAATAGCATTCTAGCGAATGCCCACGGCTTGACAGTGGTATTCGAGCTAATCCCACTTTAACGACGGTATTCTAGCGAAACTAATTTTTAATAATGGCAGATATACAAATTTCTCCTCGCTGAACCAACCGGTGGGAGAGCCCTCCACCTTCTCCTTCCATTGGAAAAAATTACTGATCCACCAAACTAATTCTTATATATATTTTTGAAGGAATAAAAAACAATACTATAATTCTTAATTTTTCAAAAATATTCTCATTGAAACAATAAAAAATAGGAATAGGTATTTGTTTGTTAAAGTCAAAAGAAACAACTTCGTTCCCTAGTTATTATAAGGACTTTTATTAAAATAAAAAAAAGATTGAATTATTTTACCTCGGTCTGTTTAGTTCCCAAACAAAATTTTTCATGTTATCACATCGAATGTTTGGATAGATGCATGGAGCATTAAATGTAGACAAAAAAAACAAACCAATTACACAGTTCGCCAGGAATGCGAGATAAATCTTTTAAGCCTGATTGCGTGTTGATTTGACAATATGGTGCTACAGTAAACATTTGCTAATGATAGATTAATTAGGCTTAATAAATTCGTATCGCAGTTTCCTGGTGGAATATGTAATTTGTTTTATTATTAGACTACGTTTAATACTTCAAATATGTGTCCATATATCCGATGTAACATTCAGGGGCAAAATTTTTTGCCAACCAAACAAACCCTTAGGCCTGCTTTAGTTCCCCAATTTATTTTCCTAAAAACATCACATCGAATCTTTGGACATATGTATGGAGCATTAAATATATATTAAAAAACTAATTACATAGTTAGAGAGAAATTATGAGACAAATCTTTTGAGCCTAATTAGTCCATGATAAGCCATAAGTGTTACGGTAACCCATATATGCTAATGATGAATTAATTAGGCTCAAAAGATTCGCCTCGCGATTTCCAGACAAGTTATAAAATTAGTTTTTTTATTTGTATCAAAAACCCCATTCAAAATCCGATCAAACATCTAATATCCGATATAACATACAAAAAAATCCATTTCACGAACCCGTTAGTATCCTTCCCGGGCGGCGCTGCCGCCATGTCCCGCGTCGGATGGGATGGAGGAGGGTTTGGGAATTTTGGGCTAAGGCATAGCTTTGGACCTCTCGGCTCGGCTCATCTCCTCTCGGCTCGGCTTAAAAACAGCCGGGCGGCTGCCACGCTAGCTGCCTCTCCCCTTCCCTTTCTCCCCGCTCGGACTTAAACCCCCCCACAAAAAAAAAAAAAAAATCCCCCACCTCCTCGGATTCCCCTCTCCTCCTCCTACTTCCTCTCCGGCGAACCCCACGCGGCGGCGGAATGGGGAACTCCTGCTCCTCCGTCGACGAGAGCGCCGCCGCCATCGCCACATTAGCGGAGAGCGCTGCTGCAGGGGCTCGGGAAACCGTCGCCGACGAGTTCGCCAGGGCAGCGGGGTCGGGAGCGGGAGGGCGAGGCGACGTCGCCGGATCAGCGGCCGCAGGAGTCGCCTCTGGAGCGGGAGGGCGAGACGACGCCGCCGGGGACGAGGTTGTGATCGCTGGCGTCCTGTCGCTGGCCGACGGGCAGAAAGCCGCCGCCGCGGGCGCCATTAGCGGGGTCGAGTCGATGCAGTCCTACATGAGAGGTACTCGATTCTTCTGTTTCGGAGAGCGCGTGTGCTCGGACCAGATGGCCGCGCTCAAGATGGCCGCCGCGTGTGGTTCGGCCGCCGGCATGAGGGCGGTAGCCATGGTTGCCGCCCGAGCTCGGCACGCCGCACGGATTGCCGCGAATCCAGACGTTGAGAATCCTCTGCATGATATCCCCGAGGTAATTTTCTCTTGTTTTTCATTTGTGATGTTGCAATCGATGCATTTGTGTGTCAGGAACCCACACTCTAACCTCAATAGATAGTATCCAATACAAAACAGTAGTGGATCGGTGTGGAATTGATGGTGGAGAAATTATGGAATACAAACTGAATAGAAGGTTCTAGTAGTTTCTAGATAAGTAGAGGAAGAGGAAGGGTAGAGAAGAAGATCAACAAGGGTGCCAAGCCCGGCCACCCAAGTCGCCGCCACCGCCGATTCCAAATGTTCGATGCCTCTAAGTGATTGCTGTTGCTGCTCATATATGCTGCTAGTTGTGCTTGTGTGGGCCAGGATTGAAACATGACTAACTTATCCCATCTGCAGCCCAACTGTGTTCCTAACAATCCCCTCTCCTTAATATTCGACTTGTCCTCAAGTCGATGCAAATTATTGCCATGCCACCAGGATCCCAAGGTGTCTGAAGTTCTTGCATATAGTTAGCAACCCTCTGAATAACAAGTGATTGTGGATTATTACCAGCAACGCTTCTCGATTTCATCTTCTGGTTATCATCCATCAGCCAATGCACCAAAAGTTGATTTTAGTTGATTTGCAATTCTCCCTTATTACTGACCTTTTCTCTCCCTTTTTCCAATTGATGTGCTGTTACAGGATCGTCCTGATTACATGCTATCCGCCGCTGCCACTGGAGCAAGAGCAGGGGTTCTATGTGCACGGATGAAGATACAAGCAGCTGGTGGTGATTCTACTTCACATGTTAGTGCCAGATCCCAACTATTTTACATCTTCTTTAAACAATTAGAATTAGGGCCTGTTTAGATCCCACCCAAAAATTTTACACCCTGTTGCATCGAACGTTTGAACACTTCTATGAAGTATTAAATATAGGCTAAAAAATAACTAATTGCACAAATTTCGACTATTTTGCGAGACGAATCTTGTAAGCCTACTTGCTCCATGATTTGACAATGTGGTGCTACAGTAAACATGTGCTAATGATGGATTAATTAGGCTTAATAAATTCGTCTCGCGGTTTACTAATGGATACTGTAATTAGTTTTTTATTAGTGCCCGAACACCCCATGCGGCACCCTATATAATACCCGATGTGACATGCCAAAACTTTACACCCCTGGATCTAAACACCCCCTTCATCGTAAAAAAACACCCCCTTAGTATGCTTTATACCAAATTCATAGTTTGTTACTTACAAAGATTTGTTGTTTATTGTATTCATGACTACAAATAGTATCAAATTACCATGTTTGTTGATGTTTATTGTAGGCGAAGTATGTCCCTTTTCTCGCACCGTTCATTGGAGGTGCACTACCAGGGTCATATGCGGCCTATCACCTCGTGAAACATTCTCCTGAATGGGTCATGGGCGTGGTCTTTGGTAGCATTTCTTTGGGTTTCTTCGCAGCTTGCACAGGAACTGTTTCTGGTTTACTAGGCACGTCATCCGCCACATTCCAGTACAGCAGATTTGCTGCCATTACAACCTTCACGGCTGTATGGTTTTTATTCAGCTTCGCTATGACTTCCGTGTTTTCAAAAACATGGCGCAAGATTCTCTGTGGATTTATATGTGGTGTGCCTGGGGTAACTTTCGTGGGGGCCTGGCTATATTCAGGGTGGTAAGAGTTGTTAACCCTTAGCTAGTAAAAATCAACTCAGTATGTAAATTATTTGCTCATTTTTGTTATTTTTTTTATTGCAGGTGAGAACGAGTTGCAACAACCGTTTCATCTGTGGAGACTATAGTTTACCATAGCTTGTTTTCTTTGATGTGGTTGTAGAGACTTCCATCCACATAGTACAGTCTTTACTTCAGTACATTTTCGTAGTGATTACAGAACATGACAAAGGGAGAACAGATCATAGTTCCTACCCATATACAGGGTGAAAAGGTGGTGCTAAAACCTCTCTTTAAATCAAATATTTTCCAATATGCAAGGGGCCTGTTTGCAAATCTTTTTTTGCCCTTGCTTTTGGATGGGACCATTCCTATCAAAACAGTAAATACTGTTGTTCTGGGTGTCTGAACTGTGTTTCTTGATGTTTACAGATTTTTTCCTCCCCGTATCAATGCCAAGTTCTTGGTTCTATGTGTGTTTGGACTGAAGGTTTTGTGTGTTGGGTGGCATTATAATCGATAGTTCAATTTCAGATTAGTAATTTAATCCTCGGTAAGACAAATATTGACTGAATATTAAGGGCTTTGTTATATATTAGTGTTGAGAATTTTGATATTCGTGTTCTAATTCCAATACTATGTTCGCTGAAAGTTCACTGCCATGGTTTAGCCCCAGTTAATTTTACTTATGTATATTATTATATATTTTCTTTCTGCATATGCTAATATATTCTTTCTGAAGAATATATATTAGGTCTTCTGTAATGCATAAGCACATATTCTTCAGAAAGAATACCTAATACATTTTTTAAGAAAGAATACCTATCATGGTTTACACTGTAGTGTCGGTACTGCTAATAAAAAAATATTCTTTCCGAAGAGCGAGTAACGAGTTGCTGGAGTGCATTTTCTATATATTAAGTATACCTGAAAAAATATGTATCTGTACTGCATTCAATGTAGCCAAGTAATGCTCGATCCTAATCGTACTATTTCTACATCTTATATACCGAATTCAGGGGTAGAACCCTGGTATTTGATTGGGCCACATGCCACTACCATTACAACTGCTGCTGAATTCTCGGTTAGAGAAACTAGAATGGGGATGCGTGGCCCCGCACAACCACCACCGCACACAAATCTCTACTATTATAAAAATTAAATATGTTTTTGCCGGTACTTTAGTACGTTATCTATGTATAAGTCGATTTTTAAGTTCGTTCGATTTTGAAAATACATATCCGTATTTGAATCGGATTTTAATTTCGTTCGCTTTTGGAAATACATAATGAGTTGTATAAGATATCTCTCTAAAAACTCGCATCTAACTTGAGATGATCGGACTCCTGATGCTCATGATTTTCTAGAAAAATATATATCCAAGCAAATTTGAATAGTGAATTTCATCTTAACTAAACCGTATCTTTACTATTATAAAAATTAAAGATGTTTTTACCAAAATTGAAGATGTTTTTGCCGGTATTTTAGTACGTCATTCGTGTGAAACAATGCTAACTTGAAACGATCGAACTCCTAACTGCAGCTCATGATTTTCTAATATATATATATATATATATAAGCGAATTTCACTTTAACTAGACCAAACAATAATAAGATTAAAATAGTCTCCACCCATTGCAACGTCGGATATTTTCTTTTCTAGTATAACTTAAACATAAATTTTATTAAACACAAAAATTAGCTATCGTTGATCAAATGTTCTCCATTTCGTTTAACCTAAAAGGGTAATGTCAAATGTAGTATATATATAATTACAAAGTGTGTACAGTATCAACCTTCTATGTGATTGGACCACACGCAATTTAAGACTAAAGGAGGAAGAAGTAAAAAAGCTGCAAAAAAGAAGAAAGATTGACAACGATATTTAAGTCAAGCTTTGTGAACTAAAGTACAATGGTCTAAAGAGAGATAAATCCATGTGTAGCATAGCATATTTTGCATGAAAAAAAGATAATATAGATCGCTAATATGCATGAATACCACCATACCCATCACGGTGAGCAGCATTCCAAGGATGATCTTCACGGTGAGGGCCGAGTCGAACATAACCCAGATAAGAATCAACATGCACTCGGTCTTCATGTGGCCCCAGGAAAACTTCATGATAGTAACTGTTCTGTCTGGTTAGCAATAACTTCATCTGGCCTTCAGGGCAGCACAGAAAATACAATACCATCTGAATCCATGCAGCAAGATTCTTTACTTGTTATAATTAAGCTCAACAAATATAATAGGCTTTCATTGGCTGATTCAAATTGTTGAATTGAAGGGTGCCTATAAAACAAAGCAATAAAAATGAATTATTTTTCTTGAACTGTTAATTAAAAGAACATGACAATATAAGAGGGAAAAGAAACTAATACGAAAACCTCCTGTAAATATAATAGGCTTCCGTAGGGCAAGTTGTTATTTGGTTAGTGATCGATCTACGGAAGAATTCAGCAGTTCCATACCTTTTGATTTGTTAGAGAGACAAACCAATAACATATACATATTTTTGGTGCAAAACACAAGGCATTTTAAAAATAAGGGATGCATGAAAAATAAGATCTGGAATAGATTAAAGAAGCAAGGTCAACTTCTAAATTTCAATGTTGTACCCACCACAAGTGCATCGATTCTTTAAAAAAAAAGAAGAGGAGTTAACATATCATCCAGACCGGTAGTTCTATCAAACATTTAATACTTAAATTATGTGTAGGGAAAGTTTATATAACATGTAAGTATTCCAATTAGAAATACATAGAAGTATTCAGATTCAATTCGAAACTTAATCAACTAAGGGTTAAAAACTGTAAATCAAATCAAAATTTCTTATTGTGGAAATATAAGTACCCATACAGAGATATCAGCAGCTAAGCATGACCGTTGATCATTCTGTGCAGCAGTACAGAGAGCAATAGAAAACTCCAGCTAGAGGCTATGGAGGCACCTATACTCGTGAACTCAGCTTCACCTAATACTAACGAGCCAAGACCTGTTGCAGTTCTTGTAGTGGAGAACAAAGTGAAAGGGCAGATCGATCAATATAGTTGCCATCACTGCATGCAGTTTATATAAATTTTTATGCATGATTGACGAAAATTATGAAGGGATTTGCAGTATAATGTTAACCATGGATTGATCCATATTAGTAAGATATAAAACTAATATTCAAAAAGAACACCAAGCCACTAAAACTTCTTAATGGAGTGGAAAGAAGGCCAATAAGTAAGCATGACGTGCGTACAGCCATAACTGAAAAAGGCCGAATAATAGACTTGCAGTTTTGGACCTTTGGTAGGATTATAGAAGGTCCCTGCTATAAACTTGATTGTTGTAGCAAATGAATAAGTCCATCAAAGAACATCTTTTGGAATCACAAGGCCATTGTTTATCTTACAGCACCAGTGCTGCAGCTGCAAGAGCATTGAGTAGGAACATGCCCATCATGAACATAAAAATGGGAAGAGAATAACATCAAAGTATTGTTCAGCACATATACCTGACAACGTTCTTTGAAGGTGGCTCTAAAATACTTTGCTCTGACTCCCAATAAAAATCTCAATAGCCTCCTCTTGAAGGAAAGTAAATCAAAAGGAACATGTCAAAACTACTTATCAAAGCTAAGGATAGTAATATTTATTCGAATTGAAGTGCATAATAGCAAGCCTAGAGGAAGTTGAAAAGGCACCTTCATCGGTCTTGAAATCAAATGGCTACTGTTCATCATATCCCTTCTTCGAAAATATTGTGCCATCCTGAAATATTCTAATTATTTTAAGTGTCAACAATGAATACAACTTTATTATTATCAGTAGTAATCACACGCAGTTGACCTCTAGCTGATATATGCACAAGAGAAAATAACAAGATCAACAACCATTGTGCTTTAGCATACTTTTGTCAGCTGCACCTTCATTGTGACGCTCATACCCTTGACCCTCCTTGAGAACTTTGTTCAAAATATTTTCTTAATGACACCCATTTCTATGAGTATTTCTAGTGAAAACAAGTTAAGATCAAGTGATAAACACGAAGAGTGGCATTTTATTTGGTGGTACAGCATCTTCCTCAATAGCTGTAGGTCCACCACTCTCACCAAATCTATCTACCATTACAAAGTTTTAAATCTTTTCAATCAACTCAGAGAAAGAGATGGCAAGCCATACAAAAGAGAGTGTGAAATCAAAGAAGCTTACATTATGGCTTCTTTTCATGATCTTGACAGCTTTCGCTAGTGCAGGACAGAAAAACCCTGGAACAAAAATACCGAACTTTCATTAGTTAGCAAGCAACCGATTGCGTTCAATACTATGAACGTGAAATGCTGACAGGGAGATAAAGGGAGATGGATAATGACCATCGTTAAGAGTAAATTCATCATCTTTAAGAACACAGCAGAAAGCACACAAAAGATAAAGAAGGACAATAAGATAATCAAACTCATGTTATCATCCAGATTCACAAGAAAGTACTTTGCCTGACTGCTAGAAAGTACCAATTCGTACAATACAACCGATCTCACACATTCCAAAGAATTCATGATTTGACTAAAGATCATTTTGTGATGATCATGAATAACATGTACATGCAACAACGACGAATGACTAACTATGGTCTAAGTACTATGATTACTCAATAATGATAGGTAAATTATACAACACAGCGCCGCCGCGGATCACAACGCCGCCGCGAGGAGAGTGGGACACAGGCATCGGCTCCAACATCGTCACCGGCCACAACACCGTCGCGGGGGGATAGAGAGGAGGAGGAAGGGGGACACCGGCGACGGTCCCCAAACCGCCACTGGCCCAGACGTGGCCGCGGGGGAGGGGGACACCTACGCCAGCCCCGCTGCTGCCACCGCTGACGGACTTGCATCTCGGCGGCTCTGCAGCATGCCCTTTTGCCGCCACAGGGGGTAGAAGAAGAGGGGAGACGACGGGCGGCGGTCGAGCGGCCGATTTCACTGCTGCAGCAGACCCCTTTGCCACCACATGTGGCCTGTGGTGAAGGGGTGTCACGACGGCAGCAGCAGCTCAAGAACCGGGCAATTCAAATCACGAAGCAATGGGCCGAACGGGGGGTCGGCCCATTCGTTAATGACAGCCCGACAAGCGCTTTCCAGCGAGTGAGTGGACCCAGTAACTATCGGCTGGGCCACGGCTAGTGAGTGAGGCTTGATAGCGTATTGCTATATAGGCCAGCAGCGATAGAGAGAAGGCGTATTATTATAATCAACAAACAGAAACTCAATTCGAATATCTCTGCTGCTTCTATCGTCTTCCTCCTCTATCTTCCTCTTCTTCCTCAACAAATCCCTCTCGATTCTCTCTCTCTCTCGAATTCTCCTTGGTGACCAAATCCTTCGCGAGAAAGACCTAGAATCGTGACAAGGGGGCGTCGGCTCCGACGGACGCCATGCCTATGCGCTCCTTTGCCACGGAAGAGGGACGGCGGAAGGCACCCGTGCCACCGCAGTCTCGTGCTCCGCCGCCACCAACCTCGTCGACTCCTGTGCCACCGCGGCCTCCCCGATCCCCGCCTATGTGGCCATCGTCAAGTTCCACGACGGCGAAGCAGGACTTCGCCTCCAGAGGGAAGGGGTAGGGGGAAGGTTGGTGCTGGAGGATTAGGGGGAGGGCCGACGCCGCCGTGGGGCATGGGTGGTCGGTGCCGACCACGTCATCTCCCTGCAACCCCAGCCGAAGTAGCCGCGTGCGGCCGTCCTGGCCTTGCGTGCGGCCCTGCTGCCTTGTCGCCGCCTTCACGGCATGGAGGGGAGCCTCGCTTAGGTGGGCAGCGCCGCCAGCCACCAGGAGGAGATGCTGAAACAGCGGTTGCGGCGATGGCAGGAGGAGGGCGAGAGGCGCCGGTCCACGGGCGGCGTTGGGATGGGTAGGCAGGAGATAGGATTTGGATGTGTTTTTGCAAAAACACCCTTGTATTTCCTTGGATTACAGTGCCATCCCTGAAAACAGAATTTTCTCTTTTTCGTGTTATATTTCTCAGAAGTATATGGGGCTTTCATTAAAAAGTGTAGTAAGGTAAAAACGGTGGAAGGATTGCTTCAAGATTTCTTAGAGTATTAGGTTTTTTCTGCAAAAACAAGTGGGGTGCGTGTGGCTTGCATGCATGCCTCAACCGCCCATTCCTTGTTAATCACACCGGACACGAAGGGGATACATGTCTATGGAAACAGAGAAATGACCGTGGGAACCGCGAACAACCAGTCACATTCGCGCGCACGAGGAGCCTTAAACACAAAACGAAGACGTGTAAAAAATGAGATAGCCAGAAAAAATTGAAAAACCGAAGAAAAAGGAATGGTTAGGGGAGTTATTGATTGATGATGTGCCACGTATTCACAGGCCTCCCTCAGCCGTTTGATTGTAAATCAATGATAGATATGATGCAACGGTCCAATCTGTGATTTCTTAATAAATGATTGGTTGTTCTCAATGCCCATCAGTACACGGCACGTGGCAAAACATACGGAACCGGAAACGGATTGCACAGGAAAAAAAAGAAAATAAAAAGAAAAGAACCAGAACAAAAGGAAAAAAAAATTCCCATTCCTGATCGTCAACGCTCTCGCCACTCGGCCGCTGCAGCCACTCAATACGCCGTGGTACATGGCGGCCTTCCCCGTACTGGACCATTTATAACCCAATGATTAGGATGGTGTCTATATCATTGAATAAGTTACCACCTAAGATGAAAAATAATGTGTCAAAGTGAATAAATGAGGAAAGAGAAAGAAACCATGTCTTGTATGAGACATGGTTTCTACACAACATCCAAGACATCATGTGAGATAAGTAGCATTAAATTTAAGTATGGAATAGTGATGTTTGCATTGGAAGAGTAGTGTCTAGTACTAGTTTTTTTATGATGTAGAGTTTATGGAAATTATGTCTAGTGTCTTGGGTTGTGAATGGCCTAATCCACTCATTAAGAAGATGCCACATCATCATCCACTAACAATCATCACATTTAAACATCATGCAAACATATTATATCTTTATAGTTTTTATAGTTTAAGAGCTTTTCAAATACAAACATGTTAAATTATCACCCAACATAATTTACATAATGTTTCAATGTATATCTTTATTATGTTTTATGATATCCTATATACTTATATAGTTCATCTTCACTTAGTTAGTGCTTAAATGATTAATCTATGGTCCAAATTATCTTTCTCCTTTTTTCCTCTAATTAAGTCATATCACATCAATTATTTTTAGCCTTTAGATGATTAATCTACGGTCCAAACTATCTTCCTACTTTTCTTCTTCCATAAAGTCATACCACCTTACTTTTTACGTTTGAATCATCATTCTACATACTATTTAAATTTAAATTAGCATAAACCATAATAATTTACTTAATCTAATGTTATGTAGCTATCTTACACGTTATTTTTTTTATTGTTATCGTACTAAATTCCCGCAGCAATGCGCGGGGTTTCACCTAGTATTACTAATTTGTATGCCTTTGTTTGTCTTAACAATAATCTGAAAATGTATGCTTTCAATCATCCTCTCGCTTATGTTTTTCCAAATAACTCATTACTATATTTATCTGTAAAGCATATGTCTTTAGTGATTCACAAGCAAATACTATAAAACAAAAAATTTGGCTCAGAGTCTAGGAATCGATTAAATATGTAAAACTAAGATTCAACTCGACAAAAAGCTGGCTGGTGCATAACTAAGATGGTGAAGAGGAAATTAGGATACGCAAAACGAGAAAACCATTAGCGCATGATTAGTTGTCCTTTAATTATTACAAACGTGAAAAATGATTTTATTTGATATTTTAAAGAAATTTCTATGTAGAAAGTTATTTTCTGCTTTCAATATAGTTATTTTACGATAAATAGAAGGAGCTAAAATGAATTTATTACGGGACAGAGGACGTAGAATTCACTATTTTTTCTAATTGTTTTTCATTTAGTCTATTAGAGCAAAATCATGCTTAAGTGATTATAGATAATAAGATAACCACTAAATTTTCTGAAGGGCCTTTCACATATAGATTTGTCGGGTCCTAGATTTTAAAACATGATCGACGACCGCTGCTTGATCCATCTTTTTTCCATTTCATATATGAACTATTTTTTAAATAACCTATACAATACTTATGCACCCAAAATATACAATATCTACGGGTTATCCATTCAGTGTGCCAAAAGGCACGCTTATTTTCTAGTACTTCTCTGAAGCGAGAGCTCATGAAAGTGGCATCCACAGAGGAGCTAGGATTTAGACACGAGAAACGCCTTATATACTACTTCATCCATATTCGTAGTGTTGCTGACTTTTTTATTTGACCATTTGTCTTATTCGATTTGTTTTATAAATATAAAAATATTTGGGCGCGACTATGCATCGGTCGTCCAACGGGGAGAGGGGGAAAGCGCCCGATTTCCGTGCAAAAACTATTTTAAATTGATTTTTCTCTTAAATTACTTATCCAAATCATGATCCGATTGCACAATTAAATTCGTTGCAATTAAATCTTCAAAACAAGACCACACATGGATATATTCCGACAAAATTTTTTTAAGCTTATTATTGAATTATTTTTAAATGTTGCATGATGTTCCACTAGGTATATTGGAATTGTTTGGCTAAGCAGATTAAAAATGTTTTACTCGTTTAAATCGGGTGTTGTTTCACCTTATATAAAAACAATGTTTCAGCAAATAACGAAAGATTGTTTCAGTTCATTGCAATATTTGATCCATATATAGTGAAACATTATAAGTACACTAGGTGAAACATTTTTCGGTGGAACAAAAAATAAAACGAATTCCCTTAATAGGGGGTTTCAAAAATATGTGGGTTTTTTTGTTGCAATGAAATATTTCAGTTCACTGCAACATTAGATCTATACATAGTGAAACATTGTGAGTACACCAGGTGAAACATTTTTGGTGGAATAAAAAATAAACCAAATTCCTTTAATAGAGGGTTTCCAAAATATGTGGTTGATTTGTTGCAGGTGGGGACATGTATTGTGGTGGGGCCCAGCAATATCACCGCGCGCGGGGGGAGCGCCCGATTTTTGCTCCCGCCACCCGGCCGCTCGAAGACAAGTATTTTCGAAAATATTTATGTCATGCTTAACCATCTGACCATTTGAACATATGCCTTAGACTTTGTTCGATACATGGGGTTGGAAACCCATCACCTCCATACGGAAAACGGAGCAGTCCATTAGCGCGTGATTAATTAAGTATTAGCTATTTTTTTTCAAAAATGATCAATATGATTTTTTAAGTAACTTTCGTATAGAAACTTTTTTTAAAAAACACACCGTTTAATAGTTTGAAAAACGTGCGTGCGGAATACGAGAAAGAGGGGTTGGGAACCCCCTTCATCCTAACGCAGCCTAAAGAATATTTTATGATAAATCTAGTCACAATAAAATAATGGAAAATGATGCCATCCGGGCGACCGGCGTGGGGGTGCCGGATGGGGCGCTCCCCCGCGCGGCCCTCTCCCCAAGCGCCTACATGCATGCCGCTGGGCTCCACCACAGTGCCTGCCCCACCTGCAATTGCAACAAATCAACCACATATTTTGGAAACCCTCTATTAAGGGAATTTGGTTTATTTTTCTGTTCCACCAAAAATGTTTCACCTAATGTACTCACAATGTTTCATTGTGTATAGATCTAATGTTGCAGTGAACTGAAATATTCCATTGCAACAAAAAAAATCCACATATTTTGGAAACCCCCTGTTAAGGGAATTCGTTTTATTTTTTGTTCCACCGAAATATGTTTCACCTAGTGTACTTATAATGTTTCACTATGTATGGATCAAATGTTGCAGTGAACTGAAACATTCTTTCGCTATTTGCTGAAACATTGTTTTTATATAAGGTGAAACAACACCCGATTTAAACGAGTGAAACATTTTCGATCTACTTAGGGAAACAATTCCGATATACCTGGTGAAACATCGTGCAACATTTAAAAATAATTCTTAAAAAATTTTTCCGTCGGAATATATCCATGTGTGGTCTTGTTTTGAAGATTTAATTGCAATGAATTTAATGGTGCAATCGGATCATGATTTGGATAAGTAATTTAAGAGAAAAATCAGTTTAAAGTAGTTTTGCACGTAAATCGGGCGCTGACGTCCTCGCCCGATTTAGCGCGTCCTAAAATAATTAATAATTACATTATTTTTTTAATAAAACAAATGGTCAAACGTCGATAAAAAAAAGTTAACGGCGTCGTGCATTAATATAGGAAGAAAATATTATCATCCTAGATGATTATTATGTGAAAACATAGAAGGGTTGGCCACCAGGCCACTGAACATGGCCCCTTGTCTCAGCTACTGGGTTGCCAGCTTGTTGTTCTTCGTCGTCTAGGATTACGCACTTGTCATCGCAGCTGAAGTAGGAAAGGAGCAGCCAGATCACAGCAACTGCTAGGATGAAGCCACACATGAGCCGCACACCTGATCGTTCATCGGCGATGCTGTCCCCTTTGATAGGGTGCACCATGAAGTAGATCGTCACACTCGATGCCATCGCGATCGCGGCGAAGCAGCTGACCTGCACGCAATAATCAATCATATATTATAACAAGTTAATATATGCATATTTAAGAGGATGACTATAGGAAACGCTATATCATTACTTTCGAGGCAGATTTAGTACCAAGGGTATAAGATACCATACCCATACCCATATGAGTGACGCAATCATGCCATCAACAATGGTCCAAGGCCCAACACTTAACCCTATTTCGAAGCCTAACTACTAATTTGACCCTATTTTTTTATTTGCTAATTTAACCTCATTTTTCAAAATTGAATATGCCATCTGACCATATTTGCACTGCACCATTAGGATTTCACAAAAAGATAATACCAAAAAATCACATTTCACTTCAACCCTATCTCTCTCATCTCCCGACCTCCCTTCTCATCTTCTCTGGCCCAACCCTCTCTCTTGCCCGTATCTCCTATGGCACGACCAGCTGCCGTGGTGCGGGGAGGGAGGAGGAAGCGGCGACGTGCGAAGGGAGGCAGCGGTGGCGGTGCTGGCTTGCAAAGGGAAGGCGCGGCGGTGGTTCCTGCGCACGGAGGTCCGGCTTGCAAAGGGAAGGCCGGCGCGGCGGTGGAGCTGCGCGCGGAGGTAGGCGACAACGACAGCATCGGCATGCGGACTGAAGCGGCGGCGGCGTGTGAAGGGAGGGCACAGCGGTGGCGCCAATGCACGAAGGGAGGAGCGGCGATGGGGCCGGCGCAAGGAGGGAGGTGGGGCGGTCAGCGCACGAAGGGAGGAGGGAAGCACGGGCAGTGGTGTGCCGACATGTGGAGGGAGGGGGTGGCGGCGCGTCAGCACTCGGAGGGAGTACTATATTTTTCTATAAACTAGATCACAATTAAAAAAAAATAAAAAGTCCAAATTACCCCCTCGACTAATGTGGCAGTACGAATTACCGCTTCATTTTAAAGACCACACATTCTTTACCCTCAGACTACGGAGCGGTTTTGGTCCATACGTGACGTACACGTAACAGTCCAGTCAACATAAAAAATATAATAAAAATGGTGGGGCACATGCCTCTTCTCTTGATCACCACATCTGGGCTCTACATTTTTTTATATTCTTTATGCTTACTAGACTACCACGTGTTCGCCACGTAGGGCTAAAACCACTCCGGTGGAGAGTAAGCTAGTGTTTGGGTGGGAGGGACTAAACTCAAAAAACATAAGTCCCTCCCATCCCAAACACCGGGTGGGAGGGACTAAACCCACAAAAATATAAAAGTCCCTTCCATTCCAAACACCACCTAACTTATCAAGTACAACAAGTTGAGGGTCGTTTTTGAATTGAGAGGGATAATTTATACCGCTATTATAGTTCAGTGGGGTAATTTGGATTAATTTCTTAAAAGAAAATGAGTGAAAAAGAAGACCGAAACGAAGATAGTAGTATATATACCTTAAAAATAAAAAGAATGCCACGGGCCGCTCTGACCGCCTCACTAGGAGGCGGAGGACGTCGTCGAAACGCCGTCGCCGGCGGCAAGATGCGAGGAGGTACTGCAATGGCGTTTGGCGGCGGCGGCGCGAGATCGTCGACGACGTGGATGATGATCTCCGGTGGGTTGTGGACGGACTCGGCGTTGGAATTCATAGCCGGCGGCCGAACACGTACGTAACGTCGACCTAGCAAGATCGCGCAACTCCACAAGACACAGGTGCCAGAGAAAAGTTAATTAAGGGCGATGGATGTATAGTATAGATTGATACTACATCACCACGCGATATTATATATACATATATAGTCTACGTTACGTATGGTGAACTAATCCTAGTAGGATTATTGGACTCGATACGGAGGCGTGTTAGGAGCACTGATCAGTGCCCCATCTCCGACTTGGAGTTGGAGGCGCTCAAGGCAGCGGCGGCATGTGGCTCTGCCGCCGGCTTGAGGGCGGTGGCAACCATGGCCGCGCGACGAGAGGAATTTACGGTCGTTGAGAAAGTATCTAGAGGAATATGGTCGTTGAGAAAGTATCTTGCGGTACTTAAATTTTACATTAAAATTTTTGATATCTTGAGGTATCTAATAATATCTAAAGACATCAAATTTTACACTAGAAAATATGGAACCTTAATATACTTTCTTATTTTGAAGCCCCTAAAAGTAGATTGAGGCTATCCCCATTTTCTAACACTACTACAAAACATCAAATAGGTGTCACCACTATAGGTGCCGGTAACCTTTTCTCACCTCCGCGGATTGAAATCGTAAAAAACCGATATCTTTAAATAATTATAGGTATCAGTTCTAAATAAAAACCGACACATATTATATTTTGTGTTAGTTTTTTTAATAAAACCGACACCCATAATATATTAAAGGTGCCGTTTTTTTTAAAACTGACACCCTACCAAACGAGCCGAGCCGAGGGACAGCCATATCCACTAGCCGAGTGAGGGAGCAACCTTATCCTCTCACCCGTGAGGCCGTGACCTCTCTCTTTCTCTCACGCTCTCCATTCTCTCTCGGCCTCTCTCTCTCTGCGCTTTCGAGGGAGGCGCCAGGCGGTGCCTGCGGCGGCGGGAGGAGAGGCGGCAGCGGCGGGTGGCGACGGGAAGAGAGACGGCAGCGACGGAAGGAGTGCAGCAACGGCGGGCGGCGCCCTCCCCTCCGCCAGGTCTAGCGGCAGAGGAGGTTGCGTCGGCGGCCCGGCGGTGGAAGTGGATGCGGCGGCGGCGGGTCGGTGGCGGGAGGGGAGGCGGCGGTGGTCCGACGGCCCGGTGGCGGCGCCCTCCCCTCCACCAGATCTAGCGGGAGGGATGGTGGTGGCGGCGGCTCGGTGTTGGCTCAGCGGCGGATGGTGGCAACAGCGGCTTCCTCGGCAGCGGCAGCATAGTGGCGGCGCCCTCCTCCTCTCCATCCAGCAATGGCGGTGGTGATGAAGGCAGCCTCCTCCTCGATCCGATTCATTATTGATGAATGTGTGTTCTTGATGAATGTGTGACTGTGTTCATGAATGTGCTCTTGATGTTGATGTGTTGTTCTTGATGAAATTTTGGGATTTGGGTGTTAGATTGGATCGGCTTGATGGCTCAATGCATGCATTGAGCCGATTTTTTTTTTGGCTCATGGGCGCCTCAAAGGCCAAAACTGGCACCTTTGACCTTGGGAAAACCGGCACCGAAGGGGGTTTCCCAGCCGGCACCCTTTAGAGTTTCTGTAGTAGTGTAAGGACCAAGAAATGCCTCCAACTCCAGCAGCAACCCCTATTTCTTAGTCCATACTCTTGGTTATCTTGTATTTTAAAATACAATCCATATTTACACTACGTTTAACACCACAATAATTCAAACATAAATATTTCTAACGCATATAATTTAACCATACTTAAATTCACAATTTCAAACACCACAATTCAAATTCAAAATTAAAATTTTCAAACATGTAAATATGGTGTGGGCACAGTGCCATATACAACAACAACATGCACCCAAGATTCATAATTCACCAATGAAAATGAAAATTGCTCATCAAAAATAGACTTTGTGAATCCAATGATCAATTATATAAATTAAAAATAACACATCCTACAACCATGAATGGTTCCATTATAAATAACAAATCTGAAAGTAATATAAATTATTGCGGAAATATTTAACAAAAAAGGGCTCCAAAGGCCAATCGTGGTAATGACATATCCTACTAGTAAAGGACACATGGATCATCCAATAGAAACCAATTTATTCCATCGAAGTGCTCAAACTCTCTCCATTACCGCCACCAAACTCACCTCCAAAGCCACTACTCCCATCAAATCCATCATTGAGGGCAGCCACATTTGAAGCTACAATATGTGCCCTCATAGCCAAGGTGGAAACATCAAAAAACATGATCTTATGTTGTTGATCCCACACTAACTTACGTTCAGCAAATAGGAGCTTGCGCTCTTGAATCTCCTTAGTTTTCTTCCATCTCTCTTCTTTCAATTTTGCTTCTTTCTCTTTGGCGTCAAGCAAATCTTTCATTGCCTCCCTGTATGGTCCATCTTCTCCTCCATTCTTCAACTTCTCCTTTGCTTGCTTCCTACATATTGGTCTCTTTTTAGCACTCGCCTGTGATAAATCAAGATTTGTACTCTTGCTAGCATCATCTCCTTCTTCATTTTCTTCATCAACTCTCTCAATTGGTGTCGAAGACTTCCTAGACCTTGGCTTCTTGTGGGATTCTAGTGTTTGAAACTTTGGAGAATTCCTCAACTTGAACCAACAATGATTAAATTGAAATGCCCTGTTCTTTGGTGCATTGAAAGAGTACAATGCCTCAGCTTCAAGAACCTACAACAAATTCAAGTGTTAGTTCTCATACATACAACATCGTTATTAACAATAACGAATAACAATTTAACATACAAGCTCTTGATGTTATATGCCACTTGGATGTCGATGCTCAATTTGATTGTAGCAGCCCTAAAACTTGCTTACTTCCTTCTGAATGTTACCCCAACGGTGCTCAAGAGAGTTTGCATTCCTATCAGACTCTGTCGAGGAGTGATCCTCTCTAGCGGGAGGTTGTGATGTCACACCCTGAAGTTCTCCTCCCAATCCTAAAATTTAATTTATAAATGACCCTAAGAAAATACCGGTGCAAATCAAGAGAAAACCCTAAGAAAGTAATACAAATAATAATCGAATCTGGCATGTGGAATTTTTCTTGAGTTCTACATGTCGAAATTCACTAACAAGATTTTTAGTGGAATTTTCAGAGCCCTAGAAATAATTTTAACCAATTAAAATTGAGCAAGCAATATTTTAATTCCAGGGAAAATCCTTTTCTTCCTTTTTCTTTTTCTTTTTCCCCCTTTTTCTTTTCGAGTGGGCCGCCGGCCCATTCTCCTTCCTCCTCTCCCCTCCGCTGGGCCGGCCGTAGGCCGAGGCCCAGCCAGGCCACCCCGTCTCCCTCCTCCCACCCGGGACACCGACAGGTGGGCCCCACCTGTCGGGCCCGTCTCCTACCTCGCGCCCGTGCCGCCGCGCCCACAACCGCTGCCGCGCCCACGCCTCCGCCTCCTCCGGGCCACGTCGGTCACGCCCGCGCATGCGCCGTACCTCCCGCGCCCACTCCCCTCTCTCTCCCGCCCGCGCCCGCGCCCGAGATGGCCAGGATTCGATTTTCGAATCCCGCCTCTCTCTCTCTCCTCTCCCACTCCCCCACGTTGGCCGGCGGAATCTCGCCCCTACCGGCCACGTCCGGGACTCCCCTCCCCTATTTAAGCTCAGCCGTCGCCCCCTCTCTCTTTTTCCCCATTTCGCCGAACTCCCTCGTGCTCCCCATCGCTCCCGCGCCGTGCACCCACCCGCCGCCGCCTTTCCCGCCGCTCCGGCCGCCGCTAGCCGCCCCTAGGCTCGCCGCCGCACCGCGCCGACGCCGCCGTCAGGTTTGCAAGGACGAACTCCACCCCGTCCGCCCTTCCTCCGTCGGGATTCGTCGCCGGAATTCGCATCCCCTCGCGCTCCGATGAGTTCTACCTCTACCGCCGCCTTCGGCCATGGATGCCGGCCGCCGTGGTTCATCTCCCTCTCTCTAATCTCTCTCTCCTCCTTCCTTAGGGCACCCCGAAGCCCGTCCGCCGGTTGCCGTCGTCCCCCCGTGGCTTGCCGTCGCCGTTTGCCGTCGTCTTCCTCCGCGCCGGCCACCCTCGGTGAGGCGTCCTCTCCCCTCTACTCCCCTCCCTCTCCTTCCTAGCCGCCGCTTAGCACCGCCGCCTTCACGTCGCCTTTGTGCCGCCGCCTCCGCCGCCGGTTGCTGTCGCCGGCAACGCGTGCGCGCGCGCCGTCGCCATCGCCGTGGCCGGTCGGCCGGCCTTGAGCCGAGCCGAGCCGGGTCACCGCCGCCCGTCCGATCAACCCCGGGGACGATCTGGGCCGTCGGTCCCGTGGACCGGCGGTGGACCACCTGCGTGGTCCCAGTCCACGGTGGACCGCCCCCCCTTGAGCCGCAGACGAGTGGGGCCCGCGTGCCGGCACCCCTTTTCCCTCTCCCCCGAGCCGCTGACCGGTGGGGCCAGCATGTCGGCGCCGCGCCCCCCCCCCCCCTTGATGACGTCAGCCCTGGGAATTATTGCGCAATAAATTATTTAAGGACTTTTTGTTATAGTAATAAACACAGTGAATCTTCTAAAATTCATAACTAATTCATCCGAGCTCCGTTTAAGCCCATTCAAGTCTCAGTAAATCAAGAAAAATGCGTAGAATCCATTAAAAATGGTTTTGTTCTCTGTTTGAGTAGTCTTATAGCCTGTTTGTATTGTTTGCTTTGTATGTCGCCTAGATTCCGGTTCTTCCGACGCTCCGGTGTACTTCGAGATAGTCGCCAAGGTTCCTCCAGCAGCAGAGCAAGGCAAGTCATGCCTGTCACTTGAACATGTTGATCCTATATTGCAAATGCTCTATTGTTTTTCTTCAAATACTGCATCGTTTTATAATATTACTATGGGGTGTTTACCTATTGTTACAGCCATGCCATTTTTGATACCATGCTCCTTTGTTAGCTTGGGTTATAACATGAATAGACGTTGGACTAGGAGTTGTTTAGCCATGCTTAGTTCAACTAGCACACAATGGGGAAATCCCATTTAAAATATAGACTGTAGGTTCATATGATAATGTTGGTTTAGTACCACCGCTTTGATGTTGGTTAATTAAAATGAATCACGGTGGGCTGTGGGTGCATGGTTTTGTTGGTCGCACCCATGGCAGTTAAGGACCAGTTCGCGGGATGCCCTGGAAGAACTTATCGTACTTACCACAAGCCAGCGTGGGCAACGGCTGGGCTTGCAGTGTAGCTTTTCTCTAGCCGACGCATCCAGGCAAGGGTGGGCGTGATGGAGTTTGGATGGGCCCTACGACGGCCTATGTGGCTTCCGGATTCACCTAGGCACGAGAGGGGACTGCCCGCTGCCTTGCGAGGAGTGGGGTGAAACCTGAGGTGTGGTGTGCTTGGTTAGAGGGGGTTATGCGAAGGGTCCTGTCACGGCTTCTTTTCGGTATGTCGTGGTGGCATGTCGGCGCACGGAAACGTGTCGTGAGGCTGTGTCTTGTGGGTACAGTTGTACACCTCTGATCAGAGTAAAACTATTCGAATAGCCATGCCCGCGGTTATGGGCGGTCAACCAGATTCACCGTGATTAGTTTCACCCTAGTTTAGTCTAATGAAATTGGATAGTATAGGTGGATGGTTGGGCCTATTGCAACGTGGGATAGCGTTGGACAGCGGATGATCAATATTAATTAATTATTGCAACTGTTTAATTCTTTCAACTTCTGTTTATAAATGCTCACTTTATGCAAATGAACCACTCTAGCTCTCCTTTGATAATTCCCTGCATCATACCCCTATTCTGGTATGACTTGCTGAGTACAGTGGGTAGTACTCAGTCTTGCTCTATTTTCCCCAACCCCAGAGTACGAGTATGTGTCCGATGGCGGGTTCTCCGAGGAGTAGGCTTCGTCCGTGCCGTCGAGGGTGCCTGTGGAGTGGTGTTCCCACTGCAGTTCAAGTCCAGGCTTAGCCCCAGTTATCTTTTGTTTTTCCGCTGCATTTATGTAAGACTTTTATGATGTTTGTAAGACGTGGATCTGAATGTCAACATTGTCGTTTGTGTACCCCGGCCGGTCCTGGACGGGGATTTTAATGCACATTCTGCTTGGAATTCTATTCGGGAATTTCTGGGCGTGACAAGTTGGTATCAAAGCCGACCTTGACCGTAGGACAAGCCAAATGGAAAAACCTAAGAGCCCTCTGAATCCTTTTCATTGCATATGTTCTTTGCAATTGGATTTGTTCCGGGAAAATTGGGATCTGTTCTTGTGGTTCAAGGGAAAAATCTTGGTCGCTCGTTTAAGTGAGATTTGTCAAAACAAGTCAGTCTAGGGTTTTAGTAAAATTATTGAGATTTATTCGTCAGTCAGTTGGGATTTGATGGGTGAAATGCATTAGGTCCTAGCTCAGGAATATGGGTTGCAAGGTACTTATGCTCTTATTGTTATTATTAGTATGTATCTAATTTCCCCATTATTTTATCGTTATGTAAGTCTGTCTTATTTATTCGCTCTCATGCAAAATGATCTATGCATAAAATTTCGCTCTTATTCGATTCTCTTATTTGAGTCCTTTATTGCTTTATTTAAAATTGGTTTTGAGCATGCATTGATCCTACTCCTTTGTCTTCTCTAGATGGCCGGCCACCCACCCAACCACCGCGGAGAAGGTATGATTGACTTTGTGGCAGAGTTAGCACGTATGACGCTGGTGGTGGGCTACCCCAACGCGCCAGAGTACACGACGGTTCCACCGCTCAGTGGCGAGCTTCCTCACCGTGTCCGCCTGGAGGTCTATGGCTATGTGGGCACCTGCCTCGCTAATATGGTGGTTGAGGCGTCCGGAGGCACAGCAGATCACGCCTGTCAGGAGGCAGCATACCTGATGATGGCCAGACTACGGGAGCGCCACAACTACATCTTCCACGACACGGCGTACCGATTTCACCCTCGTCGAGCCAGCGGTGATGATGTCAGTACTTTCCGTCCGACAGCCGGCGAGAACTTCACCACCTTTGGTCACATGTGCGTTGTGATGAGGGGGATGGACAGGATGCACTCGGACCTGCACAAGGCGTCCAAGGCCTTGAATGATGGGAAGCTCATGAGGATCATCGCTCTGAAGGACGAGATAGCGCGCCTGAAGAGGGAGAATGCTCAGTTAAAGGGTCTTCCCGCGCCAGGAGGAGTCCGGATCCGCACTACGCCCCGCAAGTCGACAACGGCACCCGTGCGCATCCAGCTTGCGCCCAGGAACCCACCTCCATCAGCAGCTCCGGCAGCACCTCCAGTTCCGCCCGCAGCTCCAGCAGTTCCTGCAGCTCCAGCTCTAGCTCCTGTTCCCGTGTCAGCTCCTGCATCCGCTCTCTCCTTCGCGCCTGCATCAGCCGTCAGGGTCCCCTCTAGTGGCAATGGAGGTTGGTTACCAGCTACTCCCAGTGGCAGTCGCGACCTCAGCAGCAGCAGCTCCAGTGGCTCAGAGCCGGGCAGCGGCGAGACTTATCTGCCAGGCTCCAGGAGTCGCTCAGAGGGACCTGGTGACGAGCAGGAGGACGCCTTCGACTCCACCGACCGCAGGAGCCGTTCCGAGCATTAGGCTCATTTTCCATTAGTTTATCGACTGTCTAGCATTTGTTTGTTAGTTTGTGTGTTTAGGTTGCTTGCTTGTGGGTCAGTCGACGGTCGATATCATGTGCCTATGATATGACTGTCTTAATAAGGATTTTTTCTTGCTTTTT